CCATTGTCTAATAATTTGCAGCATTTTTATTATTTTTTTTCATGGCCTTCTTGAGTTGAATCTAGAGCTTCCGAGGACCGGTCGTTTTCTTCCTACCGCCAGCTGCCGATGCATAAGTAGATCTCGCCCGGAATACTAATATAAGTATTTTTAAAGCTCGTTTTACGACCTCCCGCCATTCCCTATTCTATTATTTTTATGAACGTTTCGATCATAACGTTTCTTATTGTTTTATATAATGCCAGCCTATAAATAACTTCGGAAGTTCGAATCAATAAAATCGTCAAGCTTTCTCTTACCATCTATTATTTATTAGGTAGAATCATTTAAATGATAGTTGAATGAAACGTCATTATCAATGAAAGTTCCTTCGATTTTTTATTAAAGTGAATTTATCTCAATAGTTCAAGTTGTGGCATAATAGGAATCGTTTACATTTTTCTTCATATCTTGTTTTTTGAAAATGACACGGTAAACGTGCTGCATTCATCAAGGGTCGTTTGGTTTTAGCTTTGTTTACATAACCCAAAGCACGTTGTATTGTAAGTGTAAAGTATTTAGTTGGCATGTTGAAGATTTAAGTTTATTTGATAATTAATATAACATAGGCTAGTACCGGATATATACTGGGAGAACTCTCACATTATATAGCTATACCTTAACCTATTAGACTAGGAGTTACCGAACCATTTGATTTAACGGGAGGACATAAATCTAGTAACCATTTTAAATTATAGATAATCCTCATCTGAAGACACAACTTCGTTCAGTCGGTTGAAAGTCGTTGCTTTCTATACGGAAATTTAAATTAAAGAGATGAAATTTAACTGTTCATTAAACAGAAGAACTGACGGCTGAAATTTCGATATGACGTAAAGAATATGTCCCTAAAAGAGAATCCATTTTGACCGATTCTTACTCGGTTGCGTTTTGAAAACTGACGACGTCAAAGTCATCAAATTAGGCCAATCGGAAGGTAGTTGGATGAGGAAAAAATTCAAATAGTCGGTTTCTCTTTGTTTATTTTGTGTTTTTTGGAATGATGAATCTGATTTTGATGCTCCCGTATGGAATTTTCTATTGCGGTAACATCCGCCTGAAACTTCGTAAATAGCTTCATCTCATCGTAACCTACAAATATTTTATTTACGAAAATCTTTGTATATTTAGTTAGTTACTAAAAACTGGTAAATACTCATTTGGTTTTCACGTGGATCGTAAGAAAATTTGAGCACAAAGTCTAGTAAAAAGGTGGCCTTTAAAAAAAATTTAGCCGTTCAGCGTGACCTACATTTCAATAGTGTTAAAATAACGAGGTTATATAGACCAAACGGCGCAATATTTTTTTAGGCCACCTTTTTTATCGATTTTGTGATAATATTATCTTATGATCCAAGTGGAAAGCAAACGATTATTTACGAGTTTTTAGTAGCTAATTAAATAGAAAAAGTGTGCAGACCTCCAGATTGAAAATACCCCAATTTCGAGAATTTTCTTAAATATAATATTTGTTGGTTACGATGAAATGAAGCTGTTTACGAAGTCTCAGGTGGATGTTAATAATTTGACAAAAAGGTGTCTATAACACGAACTACTACTATCAATTTTATACTTAGCATTTTGATATAGAGCCAACGGATGAGGAGTTAAGACAATGTTTGCTTATTTCACAAGAAATATCTGTTTTCTTCCAAATTTTTTTTAAGAGCTAAAATTCGCTTTAATTTAATTAGTTACCTTCTAGTCTTTAATGGATTAAAGCGGAATTCCATTGAGGCAACACTGAACGGCTTGCTGATACTTGATACTTGTTTCCTAGTCCGACTATTAGGCACAAAATTCAATTAATGGCGCATGCCGCATTTTTTGCCTCACATCGCATGCGCTTTATCGTACACTTGTGCAGCATGCGACTAAAGCGATTCCATTCAGATAATTTCAGTTTGCTACATCGTCATTACAAACAGTCGCGGTAGCTGCATGTTTGGTATCGCTTTGAATAAAAGGAAAAAAAAAACACCACGATCGGCGTTTCTTGACTGTGATTAACGAACATACCACTTAACCAAATTATTAAGTTTACTTACTCGTTCGAATCACAATTTAACTTTATTTTTAATTTATGAAAGAAAAGATTGTTCGCTTTGTTGCAACGTTTAGGAACTATTGGTGAAAAGAAACAAAAAAAGATCGAAATAATCTGGCTTTTTGGGCTTTAAAAAGTTTTTCTTTGGTTGCTCGCGCCAGCAATTTTCTTTTTACATGTTTCAATCAGTGTTAAAAAAAATAAAAACTTTCTTACATTTTCCACCATGAATTTCCCGTTACGATTCTCAAGTTTACCGGCCCAATATTCATTAAATAAGCCGCTACAGGAAGTTAGAACCGACTGGCAAACTCTCATTTTTTAAAGGAAGGAGATGGTCCGGGGTGGCAGTCATAAATACGCTAAATAGTGGTAAAACTATTTTATTGAAAGCCGACGTTTCGACCCGACTTTCAAGGCTAGAACGGACAAATTACAAAAAGATAAAGAATTGTGGCAGTTACATAATATTTAGACTTATTATATCATAATATTATTATAATATTATCATTTTGTATCTTGTCCGTTCTAGCCCTGAAGAAGACCTGCAAAAAGAAGACGGGTCGAAACGTCGGCTTTCAATAAAATAGTTTTACCACTATTTAGCCTATTTATGACCGCCACCCCGGACCATCTCCTTCCTTTACAATGCAACGGTCAACTATTAAATATTCAAAAAATGCTTTTAAAATTTTCATCAAATGATTTTTTTCATATTTGCTCTCGGACAATTTGGGTTTGTAGCAAGTGTATTTCGTGTCATCACTGATTATCATCGTGTCATCACCTAAACATTTAGCTGTTGACAATATTGATTTGGGTACATCGACGTCCAATAAAAAATTCAGTAGCTCGTAAGCAAACCACTTCCCGTTTTTGCTAGGAGATGAGCCATTATTTTCTTGCTGAAATTTTCAGTGCTCGCGATCAAATGCTGACAAATTCTTAATTAATTTTTACCTCAATCACAGTACAATTATTTTTTCCTATTTAAATAAATTAACGATTAATAAATAAACCAATAATTGTTCAACTTATCGTTTTTAATTCTTATATCTTTGTATTCGACGATTATATTATTTCAATATTCGGCAGAATTATTGCAATCGTCAATAAAACACGTAGTTTTTTCGCTCGTCCACTCCATGTTGCCCGCAACATGCCGTAACCGATCCGAGGGCTGTTGGATAGACAGCGACACTGTTGAATGTTGAATCATGTGGAGAGATGACGCATTCGACAGGTAACAACTTGTAGCATGCGGCAAGGAGACATGTTTTTGTCGCTTTGTGTTCCTTCTATGGAAAGACTGTGTGTAGCATGCGTCAATGCCGCATGCTACATGTTCCCTAAAAGTTGCCTCAGTGGAATTCCGCTTTTAGTCGCATAAACGACTTCAGAGGAACATGTTTATTTTATTATAGAATATAATATTATCAAGATATTAACTTACTAAGTGGTTAGCTTGTCCTATTGAAAAATATCTCTTCAGTTTAATAATTTTAGCAACAAGCCTCAGCTATTCCTCAACTTAAACTAATACAGTATTGTATTAGTTTTTGACCTATTTGTTTAGTACATTTGTGTCTTGGTCACTAACCAGGAGGAAATACATTCTGTGAGTCACCGAATTTAACCATTTTTTTTTTTTTTTGTGATATTACACCGACAAATATTAGACACGTGTCCCGTTTTTTTTTATCCACTGAGCTCCAGGAGCCTAGAACAAAAATATTGTATTTAATTTCAAACAAAATTTATTTTTCCTTTGCTTTGGCCGGATTTTTTTAAGTGACCAAACTGCAAAAATTAACCAAGGACCTCAAAATAAGAAAAAAAAAATCCCCTGAAGGTATGTCCGCAAACGCTTTGTTGTTATTCACAACCTAAAGATTTTCGTTGTTATGAATTATTTGCTTTATATGAAAAAAATAAAACCTATTAATAATTTCTAATTTCATTTCTTTTTGGAATTCCCTTTCTTCTATTTTCACCCTGGAATTTTTTCTGTAGAATTGGAGATCTTCACTGTGCTCCATTTTATAATTTCTTTGTTTATCCTAAGGGAGATACTTATTTTCTAGATATATAAGTAAGAATATTTATTTCAGTAATTTATTCTCCCAATCATTCCACTCAATTACATTATTACATATAACGTTTCGGGATCCACTTATATCTTCAGACTAAAAATTATAACATATAGCTATCAACAATTATATATAAATAATATAACATTTATTTAACTACAAATAACAATAATTTGTTTTTTTATTTATTTTGCCAATCTTACCAGTATCCCGCACTATCTTATCCTCCATAAGACTTGTCATATAATACTATTGTTTTATTTGATTATTGTCCTATTCCTAAAATGCAGTAATTTTAAATTTATTTTTTATTTAATTATTACTATTATTATATGTATTTAATTATTTTCAATGTTGAATGTATTACTATTTTAGTCTCCTCTAGAGAGAGTCTAGTCAGATACTGAAAATTAAACTTTAAGCAAGCGGTCGAACTCCAATTCTTATATTTATTTTTATATGTCTGATTTGTTTATAATATAGGCATAGTGACTTCCTCTTTGTTTGTTCTAACTACTTTATTAATTAAACGTAAACATTAACATTCATATTAAATGTTGTTTAAAGTGATTTCCTTTGAGCATTTTGAGACATTTTTCTTCTTGAGAAAAACTTCTTCTATTATATTTGCAAGAACTGAAAAATTACCTTATATTATTTCTGTAGTCTTTGAGTAAAAGGGTACTATTTTCTTTCATTTATTTTTTTCCGAACTGAATTCATATTTTATTTGTTTATAATGATCTAAACCTTTGAGAAAAATAATTTAAGAGTTTCAAATGGAATATGACTCACTGCTTCATTGATTTATATTCGTTTTATCAATGGTAAAGCTTTAAGTATGATAGAACTCATTATCGTAAAAAATGTGATTCTCAAGGACCTCATCGTTCTAATGAAATGTTCAAAGCTATTGCTTTTACATAATTACAATTAGAAAAAAACTTCCTTGGAGAAATCACTAAAAACTGTTTATTCTCTGGTGTAACTTGCTGTGGAAAAATAAACTTTCCTTTTTTTTCTCGACGATTCTCGAAGGTATATATTAGTTCTAGCTGGAACAGGGAAGCAGTGTAACCAACGTGACCCACTTTTCGGTGTTGGTTTTGCCTCTCTTAGGAGTAGGCACTAACGGATCCAGGATTTAATTTTGGGGGGGCTTCAGCCCGAAAGATTTTTATTTGTATGTATATATTAGGATAATAATAAGAAAGAAACTAACTACATATATGAAATGGTGTTTAAGTGATTCTCTAAGTACTATTAAATGTTATTAGACGAACAATAATACTTTTAGAAATTATTTTTTAAGAAAATATGGTGTTACGTTTTACCATTTTGGGGGGGCTTCAGCGAGAAAGCTCCTCCCCCCATCCTCCGGAGATCCGCCTGTGGATATAGGCACTAGTTAGATCCTATTCGAACTAGAAACAATTTGTTGGAACTGTTATTCAATGTAACCATAACCTGATATTTTGTTAAACTTTAATATGCAGTTTTTAATTTAATTTATTTTATTCACTATAGACATTATACAAGCGCCTACATATACACATCTTTAGCTTCCTAAATCAGTCTTTTCCACAAGTTGTCTTCAGCTCTGTATCATCATTTTTTCAATCTAGCTATCCAACCGGATCTAGTATTGATATATTTATTTTTGTGTAGAGGTTCCTGATGCTACATATTAACCTCATTGCTTTCATATCATGAAATATTGATTCATCAGTTTCCATAAATAGTTCTTTATTGGCCATTCACCTCTATTTGTTAGTATTCAGATTGTAGATCGCTCAAAAAACATCATGCGAAATCATCTCAAATCTTTTAATTCTTCTTTTTGAGGTTTTGGTTAATGTTCATCTCTCGTATATCAGAACTGGTCTTATTAGTATTTTACACCCTTAGTTCGGAATATTTCAATACCCTCTAAAGTTCAAGAAGAAAGTTCTCTTTGCGTTTGTAAATGCTGGTCTATTTTTGATTACAGACAATTAAAATAACGATTCATTTTTAACGAATTACATTACTTCCTCAAGCTTAGTTTATTATGGAAGGATAGCTATCTGGATTGGGCCAGATCTGAAACATAAGAAACATTAAGGTCGTTATGGATGGTTTTATTTGTAACGAAGTAGGGAGCATTGAGGATTTTACGAAGGATTTTGGATTGTAAGAATTGGATACGAGAGGAATTCTATGGTTTAGTGGAATCATGTATATGAGTCATGGAGTCATGTATATGAGTCTTTTGTAATTAATTGGAAGTTGAGCGCGTTTATCTAGTAAGTGCTGAAGTAATCGGAAACGTCGAGAGGTTTCTTGTCGTTTCAGTCTAGTATGAGGATTCCAAGTTAGACGTTTGTCCAGGTGGAGTCCTAGGTTGCGAATTTGCTCAACAGGGATAAGTTGAGTATTGTTAAAGGAAACTGTAGGACAGGAAGTCATTGGTTCATGACGTAAAAACAAATTATAACGAGTTTTATTGAAGACATGGATTAAAATAGCTAAAAACTAAAAATCGAAGCTGCATACTCTAATCTAGGGAATTGTGCAGCATTTCATCCTCTCTGTAATGGGCTATTATTTATAATTTTTTATTTGATATGATTAATCTCGCCACGTTTTCACTTCTATCGTGTGGTCTAAAAAATACACCTTAGTTATTGTTTTTTTTTTTCAATTTTTTCATTTATTAAATTTAAAGGACAATAGAATCCTGGAAATAATTAATTATTTACCCAATAGCTACACTGATCCTACTTGTCTGATGTTTTATTCGTTTTCTGGTTCATTTATATTTTTACGAGTTTTAAACTTTAAGTAGGTTTTGTTGGAATATACATTGAAGTAATTGTTTTTTAGATTGGACAAAAAAAAAAAAATACTTTCTACCACGTATATAAGAAGCAATGGATTTTAACTGTTCTTCGAAAACCTTGAATTAAGGAAATGAACATCTGTCAATCGAGAATAGATAAGGATTTATTTTCCGATTTTTTTGTTAATCAAATCGTGTAATATTTGCTTTTGTTCTGTTTCATTTTAGAACTTATCATGAGCGAGTGTTAATATTTTTTGAAAAATAGTTACGTGCTTAAAATAAATAAACAGTTTCAAAATACTTTCTTACAATCGGGAATCCAGAGAGAAAGATGATAATGTTTTAAATTAAAGATATATGAAGGAGTTGCCCACTTTGTGGTGTGGAAAGTAACGAATCATTTTTTGCATTTAATAGGTCGTGATGATCAATGTAATGACGTGTGCCATTGCTATCTGTCAGTACAATGCCTCTATGATCACATTCAACTGTCTTAAAGAAGAATATAATCATCTTGACGTTTTAGCAAGTTAAATTATACAATAAAATTACTTTCGAAATGGAAATTACTTTTTGATGACGTGGAAAATTTTATGGCATCATTTTTATATATTTTTTGTTATCATAGTTCTATTAATATCCTCGTTAACATTAATAATCACAATCGGTATACTTTGAGATACTAAAAAATACCGATATAATGCATTTAGGCATTTCACCAACTGTGGGACAAATATATAAATTATTATTTCATAATGCTAGTATTTTTTTGGGGGGGGGGGATAAATATTCAGGACGCAGTCGTTTTTAAAAAAAAAATTTTTTTTTTATTTATGCCAACGTTTCAACGTGTCAGTACTTGCCCTGAAGATGACCCACATGTTTGAGTTGAAACTGAAACGTTGGCATAAATAAAAAATGTGTTTCAGCGTTGATATAAAGTGGCACTCAGATTCAAAAATTTTCTCGATCGCAATACTTACTCTTACTATATATTACATATATACGTAAGTGAAAGTAAAAATATTTTAAAGTCAACTAATAGTGCTTTGATTTCGATGAAACTTCTTTTGTTTTTTAGGCAATTTAAATACCTTTGAAACATCTTAATACAACATTCCCAAAAAAAGTGTATACTTTTTGAGTTATTCGGAATTTAATTTTACCATCCCTCGTAACTTTTTTTCCAGCTTCTTTTCGCTGAAGTATGTTATATAGATAAATTTGAATGGTGTCGAGAAAATGACTAGCGAAGTTTCAATGAAATCGGTACATTCGTTTATGCGCTACTGTCTATAGCTACGCAGTTTTTTTTTCTCCTTTATTAACTTATCAAATTCTTTCAAAAGTTATATTTAGCATTTTTTCGTAACTCTGAATAATGTGAAATAATTAACTTTTTAAAATAAAACCATATTAAAGGTCCTTTAGAGGAAGACGTATATGAACATTGGGCATTTAAGCCCTGTAAAGTGACATCAATGGAGATAAGACCTAATTGATATTAAAGACCACTTAATTATACAATGATACACCGAGTTTAATCAAAATCTTTAGAGCCGTTTTTGAGAAAATTGTGATAATGTGTTTCAGCATTGATATAAAGTGGCACTTCCGGTAAGCCGATTTTAAGGAAAACGTTGCTGTCACAAGTAAGGATATACCTATCTTAAATACGTGATATCAGTTTCATAGGACTTTTCGTTTTTGAGCTAGACTGCTAATATACAGACACACAGACCATTTTTCGGGACTTGGTCATTTCGACTCAGGGTACCTCAAAACGTATAAATCCGTCGAAAACTCAGATTCAAAATTTTTCTCGATCGCAATACTACCCTTACTGTATATTACATCATATATACGTAAGTAAAAGTAAAAATATAAATTAAAAAAAAAAAAAAGACTCCGTCCTGAATATTTATTATCCATGATGTGTAGAGCAGTTAACTAACTTATTTCAATAATTCGCTAGCATTTTTGTTTATTGTTTTTTATGTTTTCCATCTGCTCTCGGTATCAAGAGAAATAAAAAAGAAAAACTATGGTGTATGCTTAAAACCACACGATAGAAGTTAAAACGTCAACGAGTCGATATTAATAATATGAAATATAAAATTTTTATTGTTCTATATTCGAAAAGAAATAACATATACAATATATGCAATTATAGTTGTGAATAAACTATTTTTGGTTCTATATTCACAAAGTTATAACTAGAGACCGGATTTCCATGTTATTGCACTTTTTATTCGATTTATTTATTGCGTGTAAAAGTTCGGTCCCGACCATCTATCTGTTTCAGAACGTGTAGAATAAGATATTTAAATTTTATATTGCACGTTTTGGTTTAAATAACACGATTTTGAATTTTTGTTGCATTAAATCGAACATTTTGGTTTATTATTTTCAATAATCAACCATTGTGATCGACCGAAAAATTCAAAAACTTAATCCCCTCTCAAAATTTGAGGTTTCACGTTTCAGGATGCGTAGAATTCGAAAAACGAATAAAAATTTTTTTGTCCGTCCGCCGTTCGGGCATTTTCTCCGAAACTACTGGACCGATTTTTTTTCAAATTTTGATATAAAATCAGAGATCACCCGAGGATGATCCTCCTTCATCGACATTATTATCCGACTTTTACTTTCGAAATGGCGTTCGAAAAACCTGCGTTGCTATAGACTGTAGTTCCTAAACGAATGTACCGGGTTCAATGAAACTTCGCTAAAGTCATTTTCTCTACACCCTTTAAATTTATCTATATAACATACTTCAACGAAAAGAAGCTGGAGAAAAAGTTAAGAGGGGTGGTAAAATTAAATTCCGAATAACTCAACAAGTTAACGAAATTTCCTGAAAAACAAAAAACAATCATTAAAATTGGACAATTAAGAGAAAAGACATGGTCTCTAGTTTTTTTATATATTCTACTCCAAATGTTATATCCTAGGTTTGGTTTTTCAATTTTGAATGTTTTACTGATGTAATGCTCTTTTTTTTTTTTTTTTTTTAGCATATTACTAATGATTAAAAAAAAAAGTTTAGTCCAATAATTGGAATCACTTTTTATTTATTTTACTTTGTAACTAGGAAGGTAATGTTACTTTAGATGTATAATTGTTTGGAAATTATAAACCATTGTGGAATAATTTTCAGTGTTTTTTCGAAGCGTTTGAACCACCTATCTCCACCTCCTAGTCTTCATATAATAAATATAAAGTGATCAGTTTTTGTAAACAGTTCTTTATTGGTCTTTCTACTCCATCCGTTGGTACTCTGATCTCAGTCTACCGCTCCGATTACCGTGCAAGGGTCTTTCCTCTCAAATCTTTACATTATTTTTTCTAAGGTGGTGGTCAGAGTTCAGTATTGTACTCCCTTAATTTGAGATTTCTTTTATTTATTTTTCTTTGTAACTAGGAAGGTAATGTTACTTGCAATATTCTATAATGCTAACAAGATGTCATTTCTATTTATCAAGTTTATTTAAAGTCAAAAAGTTTCTCCAAATCAAACAAGATTGTTAAAAGAAATTATTGAAACTAGTGGAAGTTGCTTTAAATAAGAATGGTATCACTAAAGTCTATTTTTCTTCCATACTCTTGGAATTGAAATCCCCACCCAACTTAATATCAAATCAGTTATTTTATTGTTTAATATATATATATATATTTTAGGTTGAATATTTAAAATTGTTTAATTTAATTTTTAACATGCTCTTTTTAAAATATTTTCTATTTTATTATTTTTAGGTTTCTGCGACTTTTGCTGCTAGTATGGTGATCAGCCCTGCCTTGGGAGCTTACATAATGGACGTTTATAGTGAAAGCGTTGTAGTCGCATTGGCCACTGCGATCGCTCTCCTAGATGTGTTCTTTATCCTTGTCGCTGTTCCTGAGAGTCTCCCTGAGAAGGTTCGCCCATCATCTTGGGGTGCACCCATCTCTTGGGAACAAGCTGATCCATTTGCTGTATGTATAAATATTTGTCATATCATGTATTTAAATTAAATTTTTTTAAAAAAATCTTCAAAATTGTAGTATTTTGATAAATATAATAAATAATTTATCTATCAAAAACTTTAATCATGCTAATGTTCTTCAGGCCATGCGGAAAGTTGGAAAGGACCATACAGTGCTGATGCTATGCATGACCGTTTTCTTATCTTACCTTCCTGAAGCCGGACAGTATTCTTGTATTTTTGTATATCTCAAATTGGTGAGTTTAAAATACATAGAATAGATAACCACACTGCATAAGCCTGTAAGTAAAATTTTATTAGAACGTGCAGTTTTAATCTTTTCTGGTCAATCTTTGCCTCACATATATTCAGAAATACAAACCTAAAATGTTATTTAGAACATTAAATATTTCTCTGAACGATGTTCACAAAATTTAATGAAAAATCTAGTTCATAAAGTAAGAAATCAGGAATTTTATTTTGTCTTATGAATAATTTTAGTTTTTGTACTTATGGACTTTTGCAGCGTGTGGCCGTCGATATATGTTTCAATTCACTTTTTAAATTGTAATATATATTGTTAATAAATTGTAATTTTAATTGAAAATTAAACCATAATTTTAGTTGACTGTTGAATGGACTTACAAAACTGAGGTGTCTTTTAATGAATGAATATATAGAAAGCTAATTAGCTTTAACTGAATCAATGAGTAAACATGACCAATCCTTGAGCTAGAAAATTACAAAAGGCCTTGACGTCCGATCATGTTAATGTTTTGCCCGCTTTAACATTCTTAAGTATAGCGCCCGTGGTTCGAATCTGGCCTGGGCAGGTTGAAATTTATTTTTTGGCGTATTCACGGAATGGAGTGTGACCTTCCCAATGTGGTTAGAATTGATTTGGTTGTACCTTTTGAAAAATCCCCCTCCCTCCTTCTTCCCTAACATATGCCAGAAATGGCTGGGTAGGGGATAAAAGGAAAAAGAATAAATGTGGGAAAATTATGTTTTGGCTGGCTGTTTAGAATTCTTGTTTGTTGAACCTTTATTCTGATTACAAATCGGCAATAAGGATATTTATAATTATTAATAACATAAATTGGCAATAAGGCATGATATATAATATAGATTTTTAAAGAAATTAAAATCAATCAGAAGCTCCATATAGCTTTCGTGGACCTCGAGCAGGTGTTCCAGGAACTATAAAGTGGACAGCACTGAGAGAGACTGGAATCGACGAAGCCCTAATAGATGTAGTGAGAAACCCTACCGAGATGACATTTACAGGATAAAGCTTGGAAGTCGTCTGATGGAGCCTTTCTCGGGTACTAAAGATCTGAAATAAAAGAAAACAAGCGAAGGATAAACCACGCCATCATAGGACCCATCCTGACATAAGCAGCTGACACCTAGTTAGCTGGCTCTATTCAAAGGAACAAGTTGTGCAAAGGAACTTTTGGAGTAGATGCCTAAGTGTGACATGGATGGATATTGGGTTGACTGCGTTCTCCGGAGCTCAGCCCTGACATGAAGGCAACCCTCGCTAATAATAATAATAATAAAAAAGAAATAAAAAATTTGCCCAAACTGGGTGTAAGGGGGTGTCAAGATAAAATAATTGCTTTGAATCAGCACATAAATGAAAAATTTATTGTTGCAACTAATTTAACATGCTAATCAAAAGATATAAATAAACCATTTACAAAAACAAACATTTGAATAACTCGCTCTTCAAAATATTTACAATAAAAGCAAACTTCGCAATGTAAACTATTTACAAACAAATACAATGTCTATTATCCCTGCTGCATCTATATTGGTTATCTACCTGCAGTCTTCCTGCCTGGGTAGTGTTACCCCTAGACAGTGTTCCTATGTACGAGATTCATTCCCAGGCTCTCCTCCACACTGTGGTTCAGTTCTGTTTATTTTATGTTGATAAAAAATAATACAATCTCAACTACAGAATACATGTATATTACAGTTATACAATTTGTGCAATGTATAGTACAATTAAATGAACAGTTCTGTAATATGTAAAATTGGGTTTGGTCTGCCCTTAGACTACTACTATTTTATCTCTACTATTTTAAATGTTAAAAGAATCTTTATTAACACAACTAATTGTAGGTTTATTGTAAAAAAAAGTCATTGACTGACATTTCATAACCTTAGATTACTAAGAACTTCAATGAATTTTCTTTTCGTGAAATCACAAAATAGTGCACTTAGTGTTTTTTTTTACAAATAAATAATCTCAAAATTCATAACAAAGTTCTGAAAAGTTCAGCTCCATCAAAAATGTACTAAATTATTTTTTGCAATCAACCTATATAATATTCTGTGTTTAGTAGTTTTTAATTTGATACTAACTTGTACTCTTCCTTCAGGTTATGGGCTTTAGCGTTCTCATGGTTGCAGTTTTCATTGCGACTGTTGGAATCCTCTCCGTAGGTGCACAGCTTGTCTTAGGTTTCTTAATGAAGTCTCTAGGAAGCAAGCATACCATTATGTTGGGTTTGCTCTTTGAGATGCTACAACTGATGTGGTATGGTTTCGGATCTCAGACGTGGTAAGAAAAATTCTGATAACTATAAAGTAAAAAACTATAATTTTTTTTTTCTTTAGTAAAAATTTAAACAGGAAAATATTTATTTTGTTATGAGATCATAGTCATGAATGGTTTCTCTTGAATTATATTGTCTACTTAATTTCACATTTTTAGAGTGCTACCAGTGGGTAGTTTCTCAACAAGCGTGTTTCATGTAATAATATTTCTCTGTACAAATTTACTAGATGTATTCATACTAATACAGTTGTAAATATCATAATAAAAGTTTAAAAAAAAAAAAAAATTTCACATTTAACAGTTGTAACGACAATATATATTGAAAAACAGCAATATTTTAAATGTTTTACATACTTTATTTTATCCTTTCATAATGTATCAGTATATATATACCTAGTTCTGTCATAAATACTGTTACAAAAGTTGAACTTTGTTTATATCCTTGCGTATTATTTAGATAATCCTTACTTCTATCAGGTTATTTTCTTTACATGTCAGGATAATAATCCCAATGGGTTTGTATTTTTCTTTCACTCAGTTAACATGGAGTGGGGTGAAAAAAAAAAACTGAATAACTGTGATCACAAAGCCTTATACAAAGTTGGAAAATGTAGATCAGAGATTTTCAACACTTTGAAGCCTTCGAGTATCAGCTGTATGTTCGTGTATCGCTCTATAAATATATATAATGAGAACCCTGTCTGTATATGACTGACATTGACCAGGCCATCCCCGCACTGTTAGAATGGCAAATGCAGTGAGAGCAGTGGCAGCTCGAATCAGAAGAAATCCCATTTGAAAACAACAAATCATGTCTCGAGAAATGGGAATCTCTGTCAGATCAATTTCTCGCATAATAAAAAGTGACCTTAAGATGGGTGCATTTTGATGAATGACAGGACAAAGGCTAACCCCTTCTCTAAAAAAAATTGGAGTGGATAGGTGCAAAGTGCTCCTTCGCGGTTACACCAATGCTCTTCATCTAAAGATTTTGTTTAGCAATGAGAAAAATTTTATTACCAAAATGATCTTGTGTATGCATACAGCTTTAAAAAAAGCCCACAAACTCCATTTTTTGTGAAAAAGGAGTTTAAATAGCCACTAAAAACTTACAGAACATTATTTTGGAACCTGTTGTCAAGCCTCTAAATGATACTCTGTTTGCTGGAAGTCATTGGGTTTTCCAGCAGGATTCCACTCCAGCTCATAAGGCTAGGTCAACTTGGCAATGGCTGTAAAAGAACATTTCAGAGTTCATCATCTCTGCTTCGGACTGGCCCTCAGGAAGCCCTGATCTCAACCCACTAGATTATCGGCTTTGGTCCGAACTGGAGAGGATGGCATACCACAGGGCACACCCTAACTTGGAAAACCTCAAACAATCTCTGGCCAAAGCAGTTGAGCGCTTTTCTCAAGAAGTGCTGCGTGCTGCTATTGGTTAGGGAGATTAAATGCCTGTCTCAAGACAATAGGGGGATATTTTAAGTAATTTCTTTTTTGTTTTACTCTCTATATCTATACATTTTATTTTTCAATAAAGTTTTTGAAAAAATTACTTTATCTGTTGAAATCTGTAAGTATGTCCTTGTTACAATATTTATGACAGGACTAGGTATATATATAGATGTTTTATCAGTTATTTAATCAATAAATATCTGAATTATATTGTCTTTGAAGATTAGTTTGATTGCGTGTTTGTGGTTTATTGTTACAATTAAAAATGATTGTGACACATTTTTATAGTCAAGATATGTGGTTGTGTTAATTGAATTATGGATACTTAAACTCAGTTCTTATCTTGCTTGGTTCATCAATATTTTTAGCTAGCTATCTGCATGCCTATATCCTGTAAGCAATAAAATTTAAAAAAAAAAATGAATTTTCTAAAATGCGTATCATGTAGTTTTTGAAAAAACATCAGTTCTGTTATACAAAAATAATATTCCACTTGGTTTACAAAATTCTAAAATTACATGAGGTTTTTTTTCTGATCCATATTCTAAATATAATTTATTTAAATGGAACCAAATTGTGAAAAGAAACTATTAATCTTCCCACAAGTTAATTAGTTGGTGTAAGCAAAATTTATTGATAACATTATTCCATTTTATCAAAGAGTCAAACATTCATTGTTTTAATTAGCATATATTACTGTAATTATATAAATTAAATATAATAATTATATAAAAGATACTATAACATGTTACAGCATGTCTCTTGTAGAGTGGATCCACTTCAAAAACAGTCATTCATAAAGTTTATTTGTTTTGAGTTGTTATATTTAATTGAATATAACTTTTGTGTTTCTGAAATAACAAATTAATTTAATCATATAGCTCTCCTTATTAATTAATTATATACATTTAATAATAAAAACATACATGATTACAAAATGTTTTTATTTTTACAATTTTTAGGATGATGTGGGCTGCAGGTACATTGGCTTCAATATCGAGCATCACATATCCTGCCATTAGTGCTTTTGTATCCATGCATTCAGATGCTGATAAACAAGGTATTTTTTTTAAATTTATTTATCTGAATAATTTATTTATGTAAGTTTAAAATTAAGTATCTGATAAAATAATTTATCTTGTGTTGTATAACTAAATATTTGTGTTGGGTTGAGAAAAACATAATTTCGTTTTATCCCAATTTTTTACTTAAAAATCTCTTACCTCTTCTAATCCTTATTCAATGAAGCCATTCTAAAGTGTGTTTGAAAGATCACAGTCTATAGAACATTCTATATATCAAAATTGTGTCATTCATTTAATTAGTAAACAGTTATTGCAAATTAAAAATAGAGGATTCAGATCATTTTTGTCATATTTTGAAAAAAATGAAAAAATAATTTTATTCTGGGACTACTGTCCCCTAAGAATAATAACAGAGTTACAAATTTATGGGTCTTAGTCTGACATAATAAAAATACAAACTAATTTACTGTTAATTGTTATTTCAATTGTGCAATAGGTTGAAATTAAACATTGTACAGATACAAGTAATTTTACATGTTAGGGGAAGTTTGAATGTGGAGTAAGTGTTGGAACAGGAGTTGGTGGACGAGGATTGACACATGGAGGTAGGAAGTGAGTTCCATAAGGAAGCAGCACGAATGACGAAGGATTTGCTGAAGGAGGAAGTTTTATGGGAAGGAATATATAAGTCTATAGGTTGAGACCTAGTATTGAAAGAGTGGATAGAGGAGCGCAGAGTAAGGAGTTTCAGGATGTAGGGAGGGTTTTTGGTTCTGAAGACTTGGAAAAGGAAAACACCAAGGAGGAATTGTCGTCGGGAAGTAGGATAAAGTCACTTCAACTTGGTGTACCAGAGTGAAACATGTGAACGCCTTGGGATCCCGACAATGTATCTTATAAAACAATTTTGCTGTTTTATTTCCAAAAAGAGGAAAATGCAGTAGAGGCTGATCGAAAATTGTATGATATTTATGGTGATGAGTGCTTAAGCTAATAATAGTTTCAGAATTATTTTGCTCGTTTACAAGGAAAATTTCATGTGCTATTTGAACAGGTTATGAAATGGTTTTGAACGCTAAACATAAAAAAAAAATTAAATAATTGACCAATGTTAGTGAACAATTTTTATTTTAGACTTTCCCTCAAAGCATTGAAAAAATCATGTGGGGAGATAACTGGATATTTTTAATATATAACTATTTGAGAATAATAAGCCATTTGTGAAATAATTTGCCTTTTTTTTTTTTTTTTCTTTTTTTTAATATATTTTGTTTTATTCTATTTCTATTGAATATATTTTTAGAAAGAATTTAACCTGTGCTCTATCTTTTTTAGACTAGGCTATAAGATAGCTTTTTGTACCCATATTATCGTACTTATTTCAGTACAGGTTTTATATTAAATTAGTTCAAACACTATTGATAATTTTGATAGAACATACTTCTATACATTAAAAACAAAGTAGCAGTCTATGTTTAATTTAATGGATTGAGATCCTCTGGTTGTTAATTAACTGTCATTCCCATAACTTGTATCATAGAGTATTTAATGAATGATAATAATCTTCTCTGTCTCCTGCTGATTCTGTTTGTTTATAACTGGAAGATAATTAACATAAAAATATATTTCAGGGTTAGTCCAGGGGATGGTAACAGGAATGAGGGGATTGTGCAATGGCCTGGGTCCTGCGATGTTCGGAATCATATTCTACCTCTTCCACGTTGATCTCAATTACGACCCCGCTAGGTACGACAATAACACTTCTGGCCAGCACATGGACGTCATCCCTCAGGTATTATATATTATATATACTTATATATATTATTTATGTATAGTTATATATATTTATAATTGTTAGTTAAGTTATTATTAATTTTATGGCTCAGGTCACTGACATTATTAGTTTCTGCCAGGTCGAAATAATAAAACGGTTCTGATTAATTTGTTTTATGTTTTGATGTTCATCCTTTTTGTTACCATGGCTAACAGGAACCCGTCTGGAATATGATTCAACAGGTACTTGTAACTTAATTCAATTAAGTAAATAGCTTAATTTTTAATTTATTATATCATTTCTCATCACATTAAATAAATATTAAATATTAACCAAAATATATTTTAAAAAATGAAAAAATCATGTTGTAAACTATTTTATAAACCAAAATTTTTATTTATTCTTTTTAATGCACTAGCAAATCATTTTATTTAGTGCTTTTAAAGTTACACATCAAAAGATGGAGGGGGCTTCCTATAGCGTTACTTTTATCATTTTCTTTCTTTTTTCAATTTTATCACTTCTTTAAGTTTGTAGCAGCACTGTTATACCAATAAATTGTGTTAACAATTTAAGTTTTCTTCATGGCATCAACACACCTAAACCCTGTTTACTTTTGTTTCTTATGTATGAAATTTTATATTATTTAAGATTGTTATAATATTCACTAACGTGTCCTATTCTGACATTTTTTTTAATGTGACTTTTGAAAAATAATTATGCTGATCTGTAGTGTAGTTTCTTTGAACATCATCGTTTTTGTTCGATAGAATGTTATTATTCTTTTATCTTTCAGATAACTGCAACTTTCTTGCATCTAATGTCTGTCAGAAAAATGTATGCCCTTGTGAAATGAGAAACATTCTTAAATATTATAAATTGAATTGATTCCCTTTGTTAAGAAATCTTTGGAAATAGTATAACTAGCAGATCTTATCTATATTAGTGGGGTAATAATAATAAGAGACTTAGCGAACCCGAAGGTTCGATGCCGACACCACCAATCTCTTATTACACACCACCGTTCGCCGTCCAAACCTAGTCCCACCTTTGCTTCGGTCTATCCCTCGGACGTTTACCATTTGGTACAGCAAATATTAACCTTTTAGGAATTCTCTTGTTACTAAGCCCAACAATTTTACAGGCCCATTTGATACGCCGGGATGAAATCACCTCAATTATATTAGCCGGATTTAAAATTAATTTAATTTAAAATCCCATCCGGTGCCGGGACGCGAACTCGTACTTTTTATATCATCTCAAATCTGTTATCCGGTTGCCAGGCAACTAGCGGTGCTGTGCCCACGCTTTAGCCTATTCGGCCACCCCGTCTCCCTAAGAACCTAAATACCTAAACTTCTCTACCTGTTCAAACATATTACCATCTATATTGATATCACTTTAGTTCACCATACACCACAAATAGTCATGGATCTCCCTACGGTATATTAGTGGGGTAATTTTTAAAATTTATGCGACATTGCAATCTATAGGTTTCAATTTCATTTTTACTTTTTCTAATTTTCTAATCAATAAAGGAAAAGTTATTATAACAAACTGGCAGTAAGTATATAACAATATCTTATTATTTGAGCTAATAAAAGAAAAAAATACAATGTTGAAAATGAGTTTTTTTCTTTTTTTTTTGTCTCTAATCCAATTCTAACCTCTTTAATCACTTCTGTATAATAATAATAATAAGGCTTAGCGAATCCGAAGGTTCGATACCGCTACCACCAATTAATGTCCACATTCTTCCATCCACCGGGCTCCGTCTATACCCAATCCCACCAGAGCCTTCAGCCCTAATCCATTCTTCCCACCTTCGCTTTGGTCTACTCTTCAGCCTTTTTTGGTCTGAATATTCTGCGCAATACTTTATTTTCAAAAACAATAAGACGTTGCTCATTCCTTTATGTAAGCGGCAACGTTTCGCATCCATAAAGAATCATAGGTATGATAGTGGTTTTGTAAATTCTAATTTTTAAGTTTCGGGACGGGAGGCGAGAACTAAGTAGTTTCGATAAAGAAGAATAACATTTCCTACCTTCAGCCTAACCTTAATATTCTCTTCAATTTCGTTTTTTCTAGTTATTGTAGACCCTAGACACCTAAAATTCTTAACTTGTTCAAACACATTCCCCTTTGTATCAATATCATCGAAATTGTCACTATTTTTGCAGCTAACCGTATATTTTGTTTTATCCGTATTTATCTCTAGTCCTAGTTCTTTACCGGCTTCCATCAATGTTGTTGTATTTAGTTTTATTGTTTCCATGTCTTGTTGTTGCTTAACAGTACCAAATCATCAGCATACCTAAGCACAGATATTGTTCCACCCAGGTTACCAAACCTTTTTTGGTATAAATCACCTCTCTAATGGCATGTGGTGTGAATGTGTTCATATATCACTATAATTATTATCCATGTGACAGATTATTATATTTCCAAATAAATAAATTAAAAAAAAAATATATATATATTTGTCATAAAGAAAATATTTGATCGATAGTCAAACGGTTCTGCCTAAACCCACATTGGTAGTCTCCAATAATTTCCTCGGTGTATTCCGTGATTCGGTTAGTTAAAATTAACATGAATATTTTATAACATACCTGAAGGAGTGAGATTCCTCGATAGTTATTACAATCCGTCCTCAGGCCTTTTTTAATCACTTCTGTATGCATTAATAAATTTGTTTATTAATTATACCACAGTATGTTTTACTAGTCAGATAGGGCAATACGAGATATACCATAACAATTATTCTTACTATGTCGGTTTATCAAGTTTTATTACTATCCTGATAATATGCATGAGTGTTACCATGGTTTAAAAGGGATTTATGAGAATTTCGGTTCTGTGAGGCAGACAAAAAGTCGCTATTTTGGTTCCAGGCAAGGTGTGATTGTGCAGAAAGAAAAATTCATAAACCAGAATAATATATATTTTTATTTTCACGAGTGTTACTCTAATAATTTATTGTAAATGTAAAGTTTTGAAAATTCATTCAATTTAATATCCCATTGCCAGGTATCTTCACTCGGCTATCTTAATACCAAAATTTACCATGTATATAATATGCAATCCAAGTTCTCAGAGTTTTATACTGAGGAAGTAACAATCATTGGTCATAAATAACACTGAATGTAATATAAAACAGAGAATGATACAATATTATTCAATAATAAGACAAAAAAATAATGAAATTAAAAAAATTGTAATTTTAAAGATAAACAGTAATAAAATAAAATATAATTTAAATATTTTAATATGTTTTAACAAAGTAAAATTTATGGCGAACTTCTATGCACAAATTAAAAAAGTTCATTGAAAAAATTTCTTTAACTCAGAGAAGTGAGTACATACAAATGGTAACATAGGTAAAAAAAAAAAAAAACTAGAGGAAAGAAAAAATAGAGAAAATCTAAATGAAATTAAAATATATAAAACACATTCATACCTATATACATAAAATATATTAATGCGATATTACCACTTTGCGTTCTTAATGTTTTAAGACATCATATTATGTCATAATTATTTATGAACTTGAAACTTATGAAGAATAATATTTTAAGTTGTTTATTATTTTGAATACTCTTAATGTTATTTTAGGGGAGTGAGGTAGCTCTGTGGTAGGGCACTAAGCTTCCAATGCTAAAGGTCTCAGGTTCGAATCCTGGCTCATGGCAGAAAAATTATTTATTCTGTTTCACCGGCCGTGGGGTGACCCTGGGTGGGTAGATCCTCCTAGAGCACACCTAGCCTCTATAAATTGGGTACCCTTAATTAAAATAATTGATTAAGGGGAAAAACCTGGTGGTTAAGTATGATCTCGGTCAAATCACCTTCTTGCACAACCGTAGACCAAGAAACAGTGCTTTCCCTAAATAGTACTGAACCCAAGACCCTTCATGGGTTGTAGTGGCACAGGTTTTTTTTATTTTTTTGTTAAATGTCATTTAATTATTCTGAAAAAAATTATATGCAATTCAATTAATCCTTTAACATTGGTGTACTCATTTATGATTAGAGACTGAATCGGGCCTTGGTGACGGAGTACTCGGTCATCAATACATATATATATATATATATATATATATATATTTTTTATAAAAAATTATATAAATGATTATTGATGGATTATGGATGTAACCATAACCATTTTATATTTAATGATTCTTCAAGATTTGCTCAGTTTTAAATTAATGTAAAAAAATCCTAAATATTAAAGGAGGGAGTGAAGGGAGAACAGTTCATAATTTCTTGAATATTCATTGTATTAATGTTGAATCTCTGAATATGAGTACTTTAGGATTAAATCTATTTTTACTCATTCCAAGCAAAACATGCTGTATAAAACTGAATTTTATAAATCCCAGTAATAATGTATTTTTTCATCTCATTATTCATTATATTTTATAGAAATGTTTTGGAATTTTTTCTATAATATTACAAAGATATGTTAGATATATATTACTCCTATATGCATAATATATCATAGGTGGGAACACATGGCCTCTAGGCCGCTAGAAACATATGGCCTATGAAATATAGCTGCAGTCTCTGAACGGTTTTGCCTGATATTAATTAACCTAGTGCTAGAATTAATTAATATTTAATTATTTAAGTTACAAAAATTTGAAAATTAATAGAATAAGGTTTAATATACTTATAAGGGTATGTGTATTTAGTGATAAATAAAAATAGCAACAGTAAAATATAAAGATTGTTACGGCCACCATTAGCACTTCCTAACCTTACTGCGGCCTCTTACGATATAAAGTTCCCCACCTATAATATATATATATATATATTCAGTATATCACTCTTAATATATATATTTTCATGATATTTGATGGAATATAATATTTAAAGTGCTATTTTAATTTTGATTGTGATATAAAAAAATTACAATTATGCTGATGTAATGAATCAATATTTTTTAGGTGAGTACTAACCTAACTTTAAGAAGCAGAAATATTTTAGTTTTGTTTTTACATTGTTTTAGTTGGTGCCTGGCCCCCCGTTTGTTTTCGGCGCATTCCTTGTTATCTGTGCTTTACTGGTCGCTGCATTTATTCCCGAAGGATCCAATCAAGCGATAACGCTCAAGCCAACGACACGAAGGCAGTCAGGTATCTACAACAACGATTATACATCAGGTTAGGTTTTAAGATTTAAAATTTAAGCTCGGTAGTTTGCGGCATGTGGACTGTATCTGTAGAATCAGTAGACGAGCCCCTCATGTCAATTACTGGAAATTGTTGGAGCAGGTAATCGTTGAGTTATTTATAAAATGGAATTGCTTTAATAATTTTATCGGATTGACCAAAACCACTTTTTTTTAGAAACTGCATATGCGATGATATTTTAATATAGTTTATAAATAAAAGGTAAAAATTTTATTTATAATGATCTTATTCATCAACTAAATTATTTCTCGATTTTTAGTCTGTGGTATAGACCCATTTTAATCAAATTATTATAACATTCCCCTAAAATTTTGTAAATAGCTTCATCTCATTGTAACCTACAAATATTTTATTTAGCAAATTCTTGGGATCGGGGCCTTTTCAACCTGGAGATCAGTAAACTTTGTCTATTTAATTGGGTACTAAAAACTCATGAACATGTTAAAACTTGTGATCAAATTATCTTCCGATTTTAAAAAATTTCATTTCATTTCATTAGTTTTTAGTACCTCTTTAAATTAATTAATTTAATGAGAAAACCTCCACTTTTGAAAATTTTCATAGATAAAAATTTATGTAGGTTACGATAAGATGAAGCCATTTATGAAGTTTTAGGCAGATGTTTATAATTTGCTAAAAAGGGGTCTGTATAAAGGACTATTTAATTCACTACCTATTGTTGGATGCGATAACTTTTAAAACCAATGATAGGTTTCTCATCAAAAATTTAAATTAAGATATGCTCAAATCTGCATTTTTCTAATATTTTGGAAATAATTGTTGATTTGTCGGTTTACTACGGATGCCTATAATGGTTCCTAGGACAAAAATTGGTAGGAACTGTAGCTTTCAGTAATGGCTAAAAAATATCTTGCGTTATTAATAATCAATATTTTTTTATTTAAATATATTGTCGATCTATTAGAAAACATTTGTATGAGTAAGAAAAGGAGAAGTTAGTTCAATCATTTGATAAACCAACAATTAATCTTTTTTATCTTTCATAAGATGAACCGGCTATTACTACAGACACTTATGCCGTTAAACTACAAGGAAATAATTTAAAAGAAATTGTCAACATTGATAAATTGGTGGAATATTCTTGATATATAGTGATGTTATATCTATAGTACTGGAGGCAAAAAAATATGAGAACAGCTTCGCTTTCATCTAAGTTGTACTTCTTTAAATTAAAGTTCAGAGTTTCATTCTTTGCACTGCCATAAGGAGTGGAATAATGAACCATTATTAATTAAGTCTGATCCGCAAATCATGGAAGAGGAGAGGTTTACCCAACTCATTAAAATGATCAGATTTATGAGAGGTGCTCTCATTTTATATCATTTTCCACGAAACAATTTCGAATAAATTTTATATTTTACTAATCATCAGTGAACATATTTTAAATTTGTGCTTTAATTTACTGCTATTCCATTATTTAGTATTTGTGAAAATCTCTGTTCAATCTTAGGATATTGCATGTAAAAAAAAAAAAAAAAATTTTACATATCTTCTCTAATCAATGCTCAATGGCCCTGTAGCATATTAAGCTTTTGAATGAATGTTTTTTATATGAATATAATTTTTTTTTTTAAATGATATGTGGTTGTATTGTTCTTTTGGGGATAACATTAATGAAATATGGGTGAAGACAACAGTTTATTCATGTGTAAATTAGTCATTAGACCTCAAAACGTTTATTTACGTTGAAAACTGAGATTCGAAAATTTCCACGATCACAATTCTATGTGTTACAATACATTACACATATAGGTAATTGAAAGTAATAAAGGTCGCCTAAAAAATATTGGGCCGTTTGGTCTATATAACCTTGCTATTTTGACATTTGGAAGTCAACCGACCAATATTTCAACTTTGTGATCATATTATCTTACGATTCGAGTGGAAAGCAAATAGATATTCATGAATTTTTAGTCCCTACTTCAATATACAAAATTTGCCGATCTCCATATTGAAAACGTCCCAATTCTGAGAATTTTTGCAAATAAAATGTTTGTAAGTTACTATGAGATGAAGCTATTTACGTTGTTTTAAGCGGATGTTAATAATTTGATAAAAAAGGGTCTATAGCATGGACTATAGCAATATTTAAAGAACAAAAAAAATGGCAACACAACGAGCTAGGCCCGTTAATTGAACAGACAGCTTATTTAAATATATATTACATTTACAATGTCTGCATGGTTAAATCAGTTTACAGTTTAACACCTTTAAGTTGAAACATTTATCATTTTTATAAAAATGTAGTTTATTTGAAAACTTTTTCACACCACTATATGTTAATTTGTATATCATCATATTAATACTTTTGTAATTTTTAATATATAATCTTTGATGTTTGTTGATAGGTCTTTCAATGGAGGTTCATTACGAGATGGAGAGGTGCAAGAAGCACGACGGACTGAGCCCACTCTCTCCTCTAGTCGACAGTTCTGCTCTGCTTTGAATCTATAACGATGGAGGTATCTTTGGTTGCCACATGCAACGGCGTAAGTCTCGCCTTCCTCACTCATTACTGCTTCGTTCCAGTTCAAATGGGAATTTATCACTGCCCTTTAACCGATTATGGTATACGAGCATATTTTCTTTGGGAAATACAAATTTTTCCTCTCCCCACCCCTTATATGCCTAATTTCCTAACTAAAAAAAAAAAGAAACATTGCATTTGTAAATTTGAAAAAAACAAAAAAATAAAAAAAAATACCTGAACTGCTCACATATTACTCTAAATATGCACAGTGTATTGAGATGAACTAACCCACCTCTTAATGGATATTGAATTAGCGTACACTTGACCTGCGTGTAAGTGTGAGTACATGTGGACTGCATAGGTTAGTAGAGACCCCAACCAAAGTATAGTTTATGTAAGCGTATTGTTTTCGTTTTTTCTTCTTTTTGGCTGGAGAATAAGGCTGTTAAAATAACTAATTTATTTTTCCCTTTGCTGGGTGATAAGTCCTCTCGGCCTTGCGTACGACTTTGATGGCTGTTATGTTTAATTTTTTCTTGAGCTTCTGTCGTTGGAAGTATTAGGTTTTTACTTGTTATTATTATTTTTTTTTTGTTCTATAATTAATGGAATCCTACTTGACTATAATTTTACCAAAGTTGAACATCGTAGCCCAGGATGTAAGTGTACTTTTCTTTCGTATAAGTATTTATTTAATGGGCATTTTGTGATGTGTTATATGTACAGTATTCCTTTTTGGAACTAACCATTGAGTGATAATTTGTTAGTGATTTATACATTCCTTGTAAATATTGAACCTTTTTAAAAATTTTAAATATTTAATTGTTTTGTTGAAGAAAAAAAAAATATGTGTAATGGTACTTGTTAATAGTTACGTACACAAGTGGGAATTGAAATTGCCGTTGAAAAGTCATCTACTCAAATATATGCTTCATCAGAATGATAAAGGGACTTAATTTACTACAAATAATATAATATAAGCTTGTAGTAGGCGATTATGTCTTTCATTGTCTGTGATGTCAATCTTTTACCTGATGATTATAATTGAGAGTGAAGTTTTAATCCACTATTTCTTATTGAGTGGTCGATCGATAGTAATCCACCTCCTAAGGTAACATAATTTTTAAAATAAAATTATTCTCTATTTATCATTAATAAGAAAATTTAATCATATCTGAATTTTTAATTACTTCGTAATTTCAAATAAACTCTTCATTTTCCTAAGCACTTGATATATATATATATATATATATATATATATATATTTTAATCAAAACAATGCACTGTCAATTTATAAACTTTTATTCTTTCTTAACAATATATTATCAAACAGATGAGAGAAAATATTTATAATATTTAATCTCAAAACTATTTTCTTCTTTGGTTCAACTAAGCCGAATTTGTATTTTTAACTAGATGGTAGTTAAATAAATTTGTTTTATTTTTAAAACCTAGTCACTCGATGTTAATATTTTATTCTTTAAATCTAATAATATACAAGTACAGTAAAAATTTCTGTTTTTGCAATAAGAATTTTTTTCATTATTAAAATACTTTTACTGAAACTTCAGATATAAAATCATATGGTTATATATTATTTATTCTTGTATATTATCAATCACTGTTTTGTAATCAAGCTTCTTGTCTTCCGAAAATTTTCTTTTGATGTATGGAGATGTTATTTAATTTACAGGTTAATAAAATTTCAAGGTTTCTTTTAAATAAAATAAGTAATTATTAGAACATAAAAGTATTTATGGGTCAACTTTATTCAGGTATTAATAGTTTGCTGCTATTTACAAAACAAAACTAAAAAAAAAACCGTCCGAAGTGATCTTCGAGGCAATATTGATGTATTATGAGACAAAAGAGAATTATCCACAGAGCTTATGATTTTTTAGTCAATTGATATTAAGTACTTTTTCAAATGCAATTTCAATTTTGACCTGTGTACTTCTGTATATTTGAAAACATACTATTCTATTGAAATCTAATTGTAAGTATTAAAAGTCGAGGAAGTTAAGAATAAGATACTAGTTCCAAAGCACTACTCTTTCAGCCATCTTAGTTGATGCCAGATTATCCACGATGTTTCAGGTAAGGTTTACAACAGATAGCACCGGGCAGCGCTACTATCGCAGAGGGGTAGTCTTGTCAGCCCTTGACCCCTCCACCTTATCTTCATTACAAATAATTACTAAATATAATCTTTGGAATATATATGACGAGCCTTTTTTTTAACTTGTCGACTTTTTTTTGTCTCTTCAGTATATCGATTAAGGAAACTTTCAATTTTCGATGTCATTTATAGACACATATTACTTCAATCATTTTTTTTTTTCATTATATATTTATAATTATTGTGTTTATATATTGCCTGTTTTTGTTTTTTTAACTTGGTAATTTATCATTATTAATGCTTTTCAGTTTTGTTATCCTAAATTAAAGAAGTTGATTAACTTAAGTTTTGTTTTAATTGTGACACTTTATCTGTAATTGTATTATTTCTAAGAAGTAAAATAATTTCAATTTCTGTTTTCCACCGAAGAAAATGTTTCAGGATCATGTAGGAGAGCTCTAGCGATTGATTAATAATCAATTAACAAAACAATGAAAAAGGTGGGAAAAGAATGCTAACTTTAAAAAAAGGCGGATTATATGTAACCTAAACGATATAATTTCTATATTTACTTAAAATAAAGGAGAGGTGGAGGGTACAAAACTACCCCTCCGCAATAGTGGCGCTGCCTGGTGCTATCTGTTGTACACCTTATCTGAAACATTGTGGATAATCTAGCATCAACCAAGATAGCTGAAAGAGTAGTGCTTTCGAACTAGTACCAAGAATAATATATAAAATTAAATTCTTATTGTGTATATGTACAGTAGAGCTATTTTAGGTAAAGTGAACGACTATGTTTATTTTTTGCCCAATACTGTTTTGGGATTGTAGTGCAGAAGTTTTAAATGAAACTATGTGAATAAAAAATGTAAAGAGAGAAGTAATCGAGGTATTGAAATATTTTTGGGAGAATGATTATATAGTAGTGTATAAGCGTTTTAATGCACGCTCTTATATGAGAGTTTTATTATTTGAAGTTTTATTGTTTTGAAGTAGATTAATAATTGTTGAAAATCGAATATATATAGTGAAAAAACAGGAAATGTTTGTTTATCAATACGAAAAATAAAATGTCCGACCTAAATTGAATTAGAAAATATCATCACTCATGCTTGGCAAATTACATCACTTGTTTTTTTTTTTTTATTTTAATCAATAAATATTGTTTTAACTATTATTTGTTAAAAAATTTCTTGGAAGTTCTTTTTAATTCTGATATTAAACAAAAATCAGGTTTGCATATTTTACCTCATGATATTATATTAGAGAAAACAACATGAATCAACTGTTAAAAATGAGGTATTGATTGTATATTGTAAGGTAATATATAAATATTATTGTCATGAAATACAGTTATTTTTTATTGTAAAAAAAAAAAATCAATAATGTAAATTATTTGTAATGTATTTTTGATTTAATTAAAACGTTGTTGAACATACATAAGTTTATATTTATTTCTAAACACCCATAAATTTTCTAAAAAAAGTTTTATTTTTATAAAATACATAATAAATTATGCCTTGAAAAATATAAATACATTGATTTTAAATCTTATTTAGGAGATAGAAAAATATATTAATAAAACATTTTTCCATAAATTTTAAACTTTAATATAGGTTAATGTAAACCATATTGTCATTGAATATGATAAATATATACAAGCTAATTTAAGTAATAATTTAAAAATTACATGATACAGTGATATACTTGTTAAAAAAAATCATTTGTATTACATATTTACAAACAAAACATTATAGATAAATTTCATTTGAGTCTTTCTTTCTTATTTTCATTTCGTAACTAAATAAATCTAAGTTATAATTAATTAAAAATATACACAGCCTTGAAGAATACTTGGAGAATGGAGTGATTATCATTTGTCCAATTTTCTTTTCCCCATCGCCAATTCCGAAATGATTTCTCTCATTCTTCTCTGCTCGCTCAATTCCTTGTTCATTTCTGATATTTCTTTGTCCTTTTCAGAGATGACTTTTTCTAGTTTAGAGAGAACTAATGACTGTTGCAATATTTCCTGTAAAAAAATATATAAAATAAATGTGCAAATTGCTTAGATTTGTTCTATTTACCATCAACTTATAAATTACAGAGATAAAATTAAGTAAACATAAAGCTGTTGTATAAAGGACCTTTTATAATAAATAAATATCAATAAATCAAAGCTGGCTTTTCGTTTATTATATGCTGCCATATAACTAAAAACTCATGAACACACATTTGCTTTTCACTTGAATTGTAAGATAATTTGGTCACAAAATTTAGAATATAGGTGGCATATTGGACCATTTGGCATGACCTTCACTCCCACAACATGTCAAAATAACAATTAGGCTAAACAGCCCAATATTTTTCTATGCCACCTTTTTTTTTTTTTCTGATTTTGTGATCAAATTATTCTACGATTCAAGCAGAAAGAAAAATTAATGAGTTTTAGTACCTAATTTAATGAGAAAACACCCCATTTCTGAAAATTTTCAAACATAAAAAAAAATTGTAGGTTATGATAAGATGAAGGCATTCACGAAGTTTTGGGCAGATGTTAATAATTTGATAAAAAGGGGGCTCTATAACACAGACTTATATAATAAATATAATATTGGTAGTTTCTAATATCATTTCAGAAATTTGTAATTACTAATTTCCTAATTGCAATTTTAATCAAAATCTTAAATTAAATACTTAAAAATGCAAATTTACCTCTGTGGTTCAGAAGTACTTAAGGATTTTTTTTAAGAGAGTGGTTGATAGTTAACATTTATAGCTTATATTTTTGTTGATGGGTAATCAATATAAAATTAACTGTACTTAAGAAGACAGAATCTAGCAATCAACTATATTACTAAGTTATACCCGCAAACTATACACTCCTCCCATAAATATGTTTTTTCAACCTAAATTTTCAAAAAGATTTAAAGAAAAGAGGAATACCACATTACCACTGGCAGAAAGAATGTCTCTTATTACAAGTAAATTAAAATAAATAAGATTAAATGAAATAGAAAAAGAAATACCCCCTTGGACTTATGTACAACCAAAATTAAATTTCCAACTCACCAAAGATAGTACATTAACTGCAGATTATAAAGAAACGTTCCAAAAATTAATCATGACATTACCTGAACATCTTATAATATTCACCGACGGATCCAAATCAGATACATCTACTGTATCAGCCTTTGTCACCCCTGATACTACTTACAAATATAAATTACATCATCTTTGTAGTGTTTACACAGCAGAGATTAACTCCATTGCAATGAATCCGATACGCCATGAAGAAGCCAGTTGCAAATGTGGTCATGGTATCGGATTCTCTAAGTACTCTGAAAATCATGGATAACATGTACCCAGACCATCCAGGGATACACTGTATTTTAAATCTTATAAAAATGCTTCATGGAGTTGGTGCAATGGCACGTTTTATCTGGCTGCCTTGCCATATAGGCGTTAAAGGAAACGAAATGGCTGATAGAGCAGCAAAAGAAGCCCTCACCCTTCCAGGCTGTGGTAAAGCTTTTTTGACACCATCTGAAGTTGCATGACCTCTAAGAGAAACCATATCCCAAGAATGGCAAAGACGGTGGGACAACAGCGCACCTAGCAAATTAAAGACAATAAAGAAAGATGTGGAACCATAGAGCAACTCCAAACACAGCAATCGTAGTGAAGAGTTCGTCCTCACGCGGATCCTCAGTCAGTCGGACATACTAGACTGACACACCACCACCTCATAACAAAAGATCTTGTCCCCAGATGTCAAAAGTGTGACCAGTCATTAACTATAAAACATGTTTTGGACGAGTGCCCTTTTTACACCGCAAAAGTTAAAAGATCTCGGACTATATCAGCATCCCTGGGAAATCAACAAGAAATCATTACCAAAGTTATGAAGTTCCTAGATAATGAAAGACTTATAAAACATATATTACAAGTTTATAACTAATAATCCTTTGCAGATTTATTTTTTTATTTTAAAAGTTCATTTATTTATTAATTTCAATTCATTTATTGATTTTATTGCGATTTTTTAAAAGTTTATTTATTTATCTATTCTATCTTATTAATTATAAGTGTCCATTATTATCTGTATTTATTTATTTAATTCTATTAATTTATATATTTTTTTTTGTACCAACCACCTAAACAGTATAAAAGTAGTGTTATTGAGTTGACCGGGCGCTGATAACCTGGATGTTTTGCGCCTAGACATCGAAACAAACAACGATATAAAACTAAAAAATAAGTTTTTGTTTTATCTTCAATATTAAAGGAGCATGCATGACAGACATAGGGACTCATTAATGCCACATGGCTGGGCTAAAGCATTGGCAGTCAGAATTAATAAAACGAAAATGCTTGTTGAATGACTGTACCCTGTTTTTTTTTTTTTTAATTTAATTAAGAGGACTGAGTAAGATGAAATTCCTAACTGCAAAATTTAAACTTACTGCTTGCCAAATGACATTTATGTATGTTTGTTTAATTTTTAATGTTATGGAGTTTTCCACCTCACCTTCCTTTTTACTTCGAGTGATCATAATTTTATACTTCTTTTTTTTTTTTCTTTTCTGAACTATATTAAAATAATCAAAAATGTTATTGCAGAATCATCGATAAGATATTAACGAAGAAACATATCTTGTAAGATGAATGGAACTGGCTTACTATTCCAGTCTTCGAGATATCCAAACAGTGCTCCCTTAAGAGACAGAGGTACATTGTGAAGCAGAGAAGAAGAACCATATGAACTTCTATAAAATTTGATACTTATGCTATGAGCACATGAATAGTTAACGGCTTAGCTGAAGGTGAAAGACATGAAAGGTTATCGGAACCTGCCGACCTTAAGAGAGAGAAATGTAACTATATAGAATAAATATGTCGACAGGTGGAATCTAGGAAGGTAGAGAGAAAAATAAAGCAGCTTTCATTTTAAAAACGTCTTAAAAGCAAAGCTCTTGTAAGATTTGGAAAGTATGCCAAATAAATAAACATCAAATTGTCAATACTAAGAACCAATATTGAAATTTTTTTGGGTTAAATAAATTCCTTGAGTTCATTAACTTCATTAAGTGACCTCAATTGAGAAAGATAAAGAAGATGAAGTTTAGATGAGAAAGAAGAACATTAATAAGAAAAATATGTTCTTACCAACATATGCCATAAACATCAACGAAATAAAGTAGTAGTAATTTACCTTGTTTATTTTTATTAATCATACATTAGACGTTCATATCGATAATACTTTTTTGGCAACGTAAAATAGAGGTGATATGGAAATAGGAAATAATAATAAAAAAAAAGATTTGTTCTTTTCCACAGTTTCTTTGACTCCAAAAATTTTATAAAAAGCTTCACTAATGCTTATTTTGCATCATTTTTTCCAAATAAAAGTCAATATCATTAAGAACAGGTAAGGGTGTTGCGACAATATCGATATCGATATTTTCTTTGCGATATCGTCCAATATAATATCAAAACAAAGGATTTCATTTATTATAATATCAAAAGAAACAAACCAATATCGGATTTCGATTCTCCCCCTCACCCCGTTCTCATTATTAACTTAAATCAATGTAAAATTAAAAAAAAAACATGAAATGAGGGTATTATCATATATTAAAATTTTCTAATATTCTATCTCATAATTGAGGTAATTTCGTCGCGGCGAATTAAATGGGCTTGTAAAGTTGGGCTTAGTAACAAGAGAATCCCTAAAAGATTAATATTTGCTGTGCTGAATGGTAAGCGTCCGAGGGGTAGACCGAAGCGAAGGTGGGAAGATTGCATTAAAGACGATCTGAAGGGACTGGGTTTGGACGGCGAACGGTGGAGGGAGGTGTGTAATAAGCGATTGGTGGTGTCGGCATCGAACCTTCGGGTTCGCTAAGCCTTTTATTATTATTAAAATTTTCTAAACCATAAACCAAGAATGGGGGAAGATAGAGTTCCAAAAAAGTGTACGTTAGTACAGTCAACTAGGAGGTAAGAGACTATGAGGCAGGGCTAGAAGAACATACCTAGAGCATATCCAACGACTAGTTCAGGAAAGAGGGAAAACCCTTGCTCTGTTGAATGAATAGGCGAGAGACCGAGATGTGTGGTCTAAGTGGTTCGAGGCTCCTTCATGTTAAAAGGCAATCAGGAGGAAGAAAAATAAGAGAATACATTTTCCACCCCTATCTAAAAGTCAACTCATAGGACAATAGAATGCTCCTCAACTTTCACAACAGAACTCATCATTTCAGAGTTTATATAAAATTTATATAAACTGCTAATGTAGACAGATACACCAAACGATAACTGGTATCAGCAGTGGTTTTTCATTTAGAAAAACATATTTTAATTTTATATAAAATAAAGCAAAATCTTGACAATTCAATAAACATGGGATGAGCAAAAGTTGTTCATATTATCAAATATTCCGGACTAATGAGCATCCTATTCAATTCAAATGAGGCATTAATGCGAAACTTGTTAATTTTTATAACGAATGAATGAAAATAATAATCCTATTTCCTATGAATTATTTTGGGACTGATTGTCCCTTAAAAACAAATTATAAATACAGATTATATATTAACATTCTGGTGTGTCCATAAAATACCATTATATATTTACAGGATGATTGATAATAAAATAAAAGTACAGATAATGAAAAGATATATAAAAACGTACATAAATATAAAATAGAAAGTGAAAGTAAAATAAATAAACAAAATATCAATAAATCACAAAATAATCAAAGTATATGGGGGTACTTTGAGATTCTTACAACTTAGATTTTTAAGTGCATTTGATAATCAACCGGATTGGGAATGGAGTAGTGTTAAAAGCGGAGAGATTTGAAAGAGGATGCTGACTTTGCATGTCGAATATCAGAAGGGATAGAATTGCAGAGGAAAACAGCTTGAATTAAAAAGGATTAGTCAGCAGTTCAGTGAGGAGGAGGATAGAGATAGGATGTACGGGATCTGGTGGAACGGGATTGAAAGGAGCATTTGAATTATAGGATCTGTAGAACATAGGAGGATCGCCTGAGAATCCACCATACACCATACAGCCATAGTCAAAGTGAGAGAAAACAAGAGATGAAACCAGGAGCTGATGGGTTTTAAATGGAAGAAGATAACATAGATGGTTAAACTGGATCAGGGTAAAAATAGTACAGCGGGAAATTTGGGAGATGTGTGGTTTCCAGGAGAGGGTTTGATCGAGGATAACACCAAGGTTTTTGATGTGGAAATGGTTGAGCATGATTATAATTCGAGGAGTTATTCAGGGGTGCTGTCAAATTAAATACTATATATTATAATAGTATTTTATTGATTAAGCCAACATTTCGACCAATTTTATAGGTCTCATCAGGGCTACAAAATATAAAAGGTAAAAATAAAGTGTTCTTTAAAAAGAAAGAGTTTTTTAATTTATTCATCAGACACCTGTTACTTATTTAATATCTACTAATAATTCATTAACTTTATTATTTTTTATTTTTTGTACCTTTTGTAGCCCTGATGAAGACCTAGAAAGTGGGTCGAAACGTTGTTATAATAAAATACTATTATAATATATAACATTTAATTTCACCGTGCCCCGATTTACTCCTTCTCAAATTAATTTTTATATTTTATTTTTCAAATATCTCCCTCAGCACTCAAAAGCTATGAATGTGCCATAGTTTTTTTTTAAATATTATTTCACCACTAATGATGAAAAATAATTACACACCAAGAAAACGGAGAAAAAATAACTTTATTAAGGAAAATGAAATGGTGTTGACCGAAATATGGACTTTTTGTAGGAGAATAGTAGGATTTGGGTATATCCAAGGTTTTAAAGTCGAAATGGTTATAATGAATTGGTTTATTCATAATGATGGAAGACTGGTGTACAGTATGTAGTACTCTTCCTTTAAAAACATACAAAAAATATACCAGGCAGGACCAGACCCAGAACTTGTAGAATGTCCTAATAGACATTCTTCATAAATTGTACCTTTTATAGACATTCTTCAACTAGAGGCAGGTAGGTATGATCATAGTACATGTTATAGATAGGATCATCTGGGGCAAAATGATTGCTCTATGCACCTTTCATGCCACCATAAATGGAAAATAGAATAGACTATCAAAATTGTATTTCATAACAATTACCTTTTTGCTTGTTTCCACAGTTGCTTCTAAACTGGTCAAGTTTTTCTTTAAAGCTGAAATTTTAAAGAATTATTATTAATTTAATAGTTATAAAAGACAAAAAAATAATTTGAATTTATTATGTAAAGAGGCAAATTTACTTTTGAAACTAAGTACAATTAGTTCTTAAACTGGCTAACATACAATTAAAGTAAAATTCCCTGACATTTCCCTATTTAATGATAGTTTTCTCTGACCAAATTATTTATTATACATAAAAAAAAATGAATAGAGTAAAAAAAAAATCAAACTTTTAAATAACAAATAAAATGTTTAAGAGGAAGAATTTTTTAAGCTTGATTAGGATTTTTTATTTTAGAAAACTAAACTTTTAGTAATTTATTATTATCGCTTTTATTTTATTTTCATAAACTGAGAGGAGGTAAAAGTTGATACTTAATATATAATGCTCTGATTTTCTCTATTATAAAATAAAGTTAGCTGCGGGAGATTCTAATATTAACATAGTTTCTCATAAGTAATTTAGTTTCTTTGTTACTATAAACAGCATAATAATTATCTATATGACACGAACTGTGACATTTGTGGTTGATAAATGTTGTTTAAAGGAGCACCATGGGTCGAAAGAATGAGTGCTTGCCAACCAGATCTTGACCAAGATGTATATATTACAAATCGTAAATAGTATTGGTACGTTTTTCTCCTCAAAAAAGCACCGTTTTAACTCCATTTTTCTTAAATTTTATTCATTAGCCTTGTTTGATTTCAATATAACAACCAGTGCTGTTATTGAAATTTAAAGGTGAATGAATATAATGACTGTGGTCGTTTAAAATGACAAATTTTACCCCTTCAAGGTCATTATAAACGATATCCGCTATACATTTATTTCCAAATTGAAACAGTATTTACGTGTGAAAAATTCCCTGACTTTAACAATTTTTCCCTGTTTTGAAGATTCCCTGATTTCTCCCAATTTTCCACGTCGGTCGCTACCCTGTTAATGAATAATCTATCATTTTAGTCATATCTTGTTGAAAATATACGGTATTTATTTATGACTCTAAAGCAAATTTTTTATTCACCATTATTTTTTATAATATTATCTTAGGAAATAAATTAATAAATAAAAAGAATATATGTATGATCTAATTTGTTTGGTTTTCAAAATTATCACTGAACTACTATTGAAAATTATTACAATAATAATTAAAATCTTTAAAAACTGCTGAAACAGTGTTATACTAAGATAAAACATTAAAATGCTCGTAAAATATAAATCAGTAATACCAGTAATAAACACTGTACTAATAATAGACAGTTTTCAGTTTATTAACAGATAATAGGCTTTATATGCCTACGAGAGATTGCAAATATGAGTTAATTTGCAGTTAAAACACTTAAGATGGCTTATACCTGAACTTTGGAAATAACCTGCTGAAAGTTAATTGTAAATGATTAGTTTTGGCGGGAATAGGCGAATAGCCTTTCGCTTTTATATCGGGGATATAGGTTATTTACACTGGATATAGAATTTTTTGAGGGTGTTGAACTGCCGTTGGAAATTCGGGAATCTAATATCTTTTGTGACACTGAGTGAGAAAAAACAATAAGAATACATATATGAAATGTGGGACTTAGTAAACACTTTGAATGAATTGACTCACCTGGTTTATTCTTCAATTGTGAGGCCTATAGGACAACTAAATAAAATGATTATTCACTCCTGTCTAAGAAAACAAATTTATTGTAACAACTGATAATAAATGAATATATATAAGTGAACGGTCGGCTTGATAATCTTGGTCCTCAATGTAGTAAGGCTCTCTTCCCAGATGACGTCTTCTCGTGTTCCTGTCCAGGCCTCAAGTGACTGGCGTCCCCAGCTACCTGCTCTGACTTTTTTCCAGCGTCCCTCCTCATCGATTGTTTATCGATGAGACCTTTCCATGAATAATTTGTCCACTGCATAATTGAGTAAAATTCACAGTGCAACCTCACATTCCTATATATTCCTTCTCATTCCCTCACCCAATGTCAACTAAAGGAGTAAATACAGGGGGATGTCTACTACAACTTCGACTGATAACAGCCGATTGCCAGTTGATTTTTAAATGACACTAGGTTAGGGTTGTTTCTTGGAGGTTTCCTTATCAATTTTGCTTATAAGTTATAAGTTTGAAATTTTGATATATTTATCTGTAGTTTCCCACTTCTTAGTTTAAATTTATGCATAATTTATTTTTTTTAATTATTTAAAAAACCTATTGACCCCAAAACCTGTGTGTCTATTACTGGTACAATATGCGCTGTCAGAATTTCCTAATTTTTTCATGAGTAATTAACTAATCGACTGTATAGAAAAAAATAAAATAAAAGACTAAATTTACAGTCAATTAAACACATTTCCAAAGATCCACAAACATAACTTAAGCTATGGTTCAGATTAATGTTGAAAATTTCTCTTCAAGTGTCTATTACTTGTTACATTTTTCCTAATGGTGTATCATACAGATTTTAAGCAGTGTTATGTTACCTGATATTGTTTCTCTCGCTTCAAGAAGTTCACTGTTGATTTGAGTATATTCTTGAGCTTTAAGTTTAAGTTCTCCTTCCAGATTAACAATTTTGTCTTCTTTAATTTCTACTTGATTTTTGTAACTTTCAATTTCTTGATTTTGTTGCGTTATTATAACAGTTTTAGAACGTAAATTTTGAAGTACCTAAAAATAAAAATTACCAATTATATAATATCGTCTATTATTCCAATTAAAGATATTGATTAATAATTGGGTACTTGAACTTTAAATTTTGACTACTTAATGTTAAGATTAGTTTATAACAATAAAAACACAAAAAGTCCTAAATTTTTCTGATTCATATCTCCAAAGATAACATTAGCTAAAAGCAAAAATGCTTCTGGATTTAAATTAGCATCTTTGTATTCCATTTTAGTTACAAAAAACTAATTTAATTTTCAAAAAGTTTAGTTAATTTTCAAAATTCCACTCCAATAACAGGATCTGTGTAGAAGGAAAATCATTTCCGTGATTATTTTTGAGTAGAAAAATTCAAATACCTCGGCTCCACAATAACCACAATGAATGACCAATGGGCAGAAATAGATCAGCATATAACTAGGACAAACAGAGCTTTCTTCTTCCTCTCAAAGGTATTGAAATCCCGAAAAATTTCAAATTAAGGATGTACAATGCTGTGATAAAGCCAGTTCTAATATATGGCTGTGAGACCTGGACACTAACCAACACCCTAGAAAAAAGTGTTTACAGATTTCAGAGGAAAATTCTCTATAAATTTCAGATAACCGGAGCTATATGGGAACAGAGTACTAACACCAAACCACAGAAGAAAGAACAATAAAGAACAGCTTACAGAAACTGGTCAATCAATATCCCATGATATGAAGGCACGGAGGTTAGGACGGGCGGGTTTTGTGTTAGTTTTTTTTGTACCGTTGGCTAACCTTGCAAATAATATTTGAAAATAAACTTATACATATATGTGTGTGTATATACACACATAGTTGTAGGTTTTTTTTTTTTTTTTATTCATATGGATATACTTGAAAATATCTGAACAAAACCATAAAATATATTAAGTATTTCTATACTTATACTAAACACGGGTGGTTAGCGACATCTTCCATAATTGTTACATTTCTAGAACTTTTTCAGCTAAAAATGGGTGATGTTAAAAATTGAAAAATATTTTTGATTTTTATAGTTTATACAACCTTGAAATAAAAAACTTTCAGTCTGAATAGTTATGTAAAAATCTCCATAAAAAACATTTCCTATAAAATTATTTATATTTATTAGATATATTTTTTCTCACTTTGCCATCAAAAATATGATAAGAATGTCAGCTGAAAAGACGGAATGAATATAAGGGATGAATGAATCATAAAATCCTAAGATATGCTGTTATGTATTATAATATAAATGAAAATTTGAATAATAGTAACATTCGGATGATGATAAAATAGTTATATAGCTTCTTCTAGGCCTTATCCTAGCCAGCTAGTATAATTTTCTAACTGTCTTAATCGATTTTAGTTTATATATTTTATTCATTCCTATATCTTATTTTTTTTTTAATATTCTTGCCTCTCAATATTTTTATTGGGGGAGTGGGGAAGGAATTGCCTGCTCGAAGAATGTGCGCCTATGTGTTTGATAGCTTTGAGTTAGGGAGCAGTATACGTCATACGAAAGTAGAGTCAGTCAACGCCCCCAAGCTCCCACCATACCTTCCAGACACACTGTTATTTCATATTTTTAGCTAAATATAAACCTTTTTTTGTTATTTGAAAAGTGCAATCTAAATCTAATTTATGTTCTTTATCACTTGAACTATTGCAGTTAAAAATTTATGTGATTTTCTTTTCCATAAATTTACCCAATGAAAAGATATGCAATATATTTTATTGCGATTGAATTAAAAGCTGAAAATAATGATAGAATAAATATAACGCTTTAATTTTAATGAGTAAAAACAAACTTGTACAAACCTCGGAATACTTATTATGAGTTTGTTGTGCCTCCTGCTTGACCTGCGATAGTTGGCTCGCTAAGGAATTAGTTTCTTTCATTGCCAATTCCAAACTTTGCTGGCTGCCGTACAGAAGCTGATGGAGACGACTCACTTCCGAGTTGGTAAGGCACAGGTTGTGTTGAAGCCTCGTGGCTCTTAAGTCTGCGGCCTCTTGACTCATCTGAAGCTGCCTCAGGTTCTGGTTCATCGCTGCCATCTTATACTGGTACAGTTCCATAATTGCTGAAGTCAGGTTGCCCTATACATCAACAAAATATTTAAAAAAAAAATGAATAATGGTATAATTACAAAATACAAGACTCATTTATTCAATTTTACAGCTTTTCAATATCAGTACCCATTTTACAATAAACCGATGACATTTGATTCCGCAGTTTTTTGTTGTTTTCTACAATTTCCATTGAGAAAAATATTTAATAATTTTCTTTTTTTATTCATGCATAGTCATACAGGCGGCCTTAAGATGGTTGGACAGAGTTTGGAATATGGAAGAAATAAGATACCCAAAGCAATGCTTACTTGGGCTGATTGAGATGGCAGGGAAATATCCTAATGAATTGCAATATAATTGGATATCACAGGTGAGACACTTTCTCAGGAGGCACGATATTGAGAATACTGTCTCTTGTAACCCAAGTGATGGATCGAGATAAGAGTTATAATGGAAAAAGTTAAATGCAAGTTAAGACATAAGGATATCCAAAACATGGAATTCTCTACCTACTACCCAAACTACAGACTAATATTTGATCAAGATTTAGAAACTCAGGCCGTCCATACATCTCCAGTCTCATTTAGATTTGTAAAACTTATAACGAAAGTGAGAACTTCATAAGTGGCCATACCACTTTAACCTTTTGGTCCCGATCAGGTGAAGGATGTTCTTTTGACATCCGACCTTGTCTCTAATTGCTGCGTTTGGGATCCTCTTGATTCTAGATATGCCACAGCTTGTTCTCCAGAAATCCATTTCCATGGAAAGCAACCTATTTTCCGCATTATTTTGTAATTGTCCAAACTTTTGATCCATAGGTGGCTACGCTTTCTACAAAGGAATGGTAGATCTTCTTTTTAGTTTCCAATCTTATTTCCTTACTCCATTGTGTTGAATTTATCGAACTTATTGTTCTTTTCCCATTGTTTATTTTGTGTTCGATGTCAATCCCACTACCAATACAGATAGTATGTTATAAAATTGTGTGTAGTAACAAACTATTTAAATTAGTTTGGAGTATTCCAAAAACAGTGAAACATCATATTTTAAAAATTTTTAATGTATAATTCATCGCTTAACCAAAAGTCATAATTCACATTACAAAACAGCAGTATAGACAAAAACAATATTAATTTAGTTAAGATTCACAAATAAATTGGATAGCAATAAATCAAAGCATACTGACCAATCCATAACAGAATTCTATAATTACATAAAATATTATTGACGGAAGCTAGTCGACTGTTCTACATATCATGGGTGATAAATATTAAGGACGCAGTCATTATAAAAATTTTTAATGCACAAATAAAAAATTTTTATAATGACTACGCCCTGAATATTTATCACCCATGATACAAAAAATCTTGTTTAAAACTGGAAGCGAATTGAAACATATGACAAAACAATGAATTATTCTTTGTTATTTGGCAATGATTACTTCCAATTAACAACAATTGAATTTATTTGTTGTATTATCAAAATTGCATGTTTACAAGTTTACGTTTCGGGATATTTACTCCCATCTTCAGAACCACAATCCCAATGATCTTGTGGATACATGGCTAAAAAAATTTTTGAGTTAAAATAGTGAATGTTACAATACATGTCAGAATTGGGTTGTTACAATAAATTTGTAATTATCTTAAAACTAATGTGCTCCATCGTCCGTTTCTAATTCATGTTATAATAAATCTAGGTATATAACATCTAGAGCAACAGATATTACCACCAGATATAGATCCTACCACAGATATCAGGCACAGAACCAAAAAACACCAATTGGAAATTACTTGAAGCCATACACATCACAAAAAACAATAGAACAACAGTAAATTATAAAACAGACACTAAACATTTAGGAACACATTATGCGGACATATTAAACAAAATTAAAATTTAATAAAAATGAAGCTACAGATACATAAAAAATAAACATTAACAACAATAGTATAAAAATAATCAGTCATATCCAAAGGTCAATTGAATTCACTATGGCAGACACCCAATAAGTAGTCTATAAGCAAGATGTTGCTCTAGATGTTATATACCTAGATTTATTACAACATGAATTAGAAACTGACGATGGAACACATTAGTTTAAAGGTAATTACAAACAACCCAATTCTGACATGTATTGTAACATGCACTATATTTTAACTCAAAATTTTTTTTAGCCATGTATCCACAAGATCATTGGGATTGTGGTTCTGAAGATGGGAGTAAATATCCCGAAACATAAACTAGTAAACATGCAATTTTGATAATACAACAAATAAATTCAATTTCTGTTAATTGGAAGTAATAATTGCCAAATAATAAAGAATATCATACAACTTCTCAGAAAAAAGAACAATGAATTATATGACGCATTCTTTAAATTGTTACCTCATTTTTCCTTATGGCTTGTTCACATTTCTCTATCACACTATTAAGATGTCCTTCTTGTGTTATCGTTAACATCGGAACCATGTCAATCGGAGATATGTAACTTGAATTATTGATAACTTGCTGTTCTTGGTTGGCTAGATTTGAAGGTGAAAATATAACAAGTTTGTTCAGTTCAGCCATTCGCTTTGCTAACAAACCAATACTATAATAAAGAAAAAAAATTAGGACTAAAAATTATAGCATGTAATCATCGAATTTATAATAGATTGATAATAATATACCATTCTGTTAAAAATCCAGCAGTTCCTGTGAGCGTCAAAACTTTCTTTTTAATGTATTCCGAACCTGTGTACAATGCTATAGACAGAACCGTTTGAACTTGTTTCTCTTGCAACATTTCATTATAAAGTAACAGCCAACTGGTTTCCCTATCAGAAAGATCTGTGATAAAACATAAGGCCTGGAAATAAAAAAAATTGTAAATAAAAACAAAGTAAGATAAACTAATACCACGTATAAACAGTAACATACTTCTACATAAAAGGTATAAACAGGTTTTTGAAAAAGAACATTTTCTTCGCTCTCTGGACTAATCAGGGGATCGAATAACTTCCGGAACACCTATGAAACAATAAAATTCATATTGACTATTAAATTCTGTTCAACGAATATTTATAGAGGTATATTAAAAAACTTAACTAACTTGCTGGTCCAGCAAAGCAATTATTTTGTCCGAAAACTTCTCTATGCGAACCATTTGCGTCAAAAGATGTAACAATGCAGTAAGTTTCAAGTTTACTTCATTACCACTTAAGATGATTTCATTACTGCCAATCTCAATCAATGATAGTATTATCTAAATGAAAAAATAATAAAAAAACATTAATTCATAAAAGGAGTTTTTAAAACAACGATAAATAAATTAAATATTTCTAATGTTTATAAGATACTATTTACCTAATAATCAACATTTTTAATAGTCAATATTCAATATTGACAGGTATCATTACAATACTAACAAACATTCTAATATCATTTCTTTATCATGTAAGTTACTATGAATAGCCAAATGATTAGTTATAATCCAAAGAATGAGGAATGAATCCAAGATCTCAAATATTACAATAAACCACATATAGTCAGATTGAAAAAAATGTTTTGTGGAAATGTTGGATAGATAATACTAAATATCGAACAGCAAGTTATTGCTGAGCATATTGCTGCAGTATGCGGGATAGAAATATTGAAAGAAAAATTTATAATCCAACCAAAGAAGAAAATTTATTTTGGATGCACTTGTTTTAGGAACAAGGTATATATTAGTATGTAAAAATAAAACTACATGAAGAGTCTCGGGTTGAGAACTTTGTAAGGGAGCTAAATGTTTTCGGCCTGACAGTTATACAAGTGGGTGATATTACCAACATCATACTCAACAGCCAGGTTTCCCTGCCGTTTAGGGTACCCACCTAGTAGAGTTCTGCCCCAGCAGGGTTTCTTGACTCCAGGATCAATTCAAGACTGCTTTAACAGTATAAATAATTATCTGTTTCAGCTGGATTCAAACCCTAGCATAGGATAATCTTAGCACAGTCATTTTATCACTGATCTGTCCCACTTCAAAAAATTGCATCAAAAGAAGATAAAACTTAAAAGCTACCTTATTTATTAGATTTAATTAAAACAACATTACCGGCAAATGTTCACTCAAGAGCTCTTGCACTGTTTCCATTATTTCAAGTTTTTCAGGAGGAGTATTTTTCGATTCCTTTGTAAATAGATCAGTCACAACATTCGAAATTAAAAGAATAGCATCTTTTGCGACTTCATCTGTTTTTAACCACTGTAAAGCCAATACCAAGAAATGTGGATACAGTCCTTCTAATCCTAAGATGTTTAGGCCAATGACACAGGAAAAATAGTCAAAGAGAGCAGCGAGGCAGTCGCCATATAAATTATCAGCATCACTCACTATGTTTAACAACCCTTCAATATCTTCAGCATAACTGAAACAACAAATTATTAAGTTATTAACTACTCCATAGCAGAAATTGATTCCTAGTATGTTTCAAGAATGTTGGGACTTCTTTAATAATCTTAGTGGACTGATTAAGGCATAGGTAAGAAATAAATCAATAATTAATTAAAATAAATATATCCAACATATATAAGGTGGTAAAATTAAAAGCATGCAATAGGTTAATTACTTACTTTGGATAATTATTAACAGCCTTCTTAGCTGTTTCATTCTGAATGATTTTTTTAAAAAAGTCAATGACATGCCTCATTAAACATGAATTGGATAAATTGATTGCTTCTTTAAGAGTTGGACAAGTTGATTTTATAAACGTTTCCATTTCATATTCGGGAACACCTCCTGAAATACCTTCTAGTATAAACAAGAGTTTACACACCTGAAATAGTTATGATTTTAAATTTTGAAAAAAAACAAAAAAAAAATCAATCCGATAGTATATTAAAGAATAAGGACTTACTTGAACTTTTGAAGCAGTATTAGTTTTTTGAACTTTCAATAAAGTTTTAAGAAAACTCTTGACATTTACAGACTTCATTAGAGAATAAACTGCAGCGGAGTTGTTATAACATAGATTAACTAAAACACCAAGCGATAGTGGAACCAATTCCAGCTCATCTCCAGTAATCCATTTCGTCAATGATGATATCAAGTGAGGTAAATGGGCCTCTTGCCATGATATTTTAATTCCATAGGTTAAATCCTAAGCAATCATACAGTTTAATAGAAAAAAAAAAGAGAGAGAGAGAAATACGATGGTGTAAGAAATAAAAAATGGTACCTGCATTAATTGTAAAATTTTAATTTTCTTTTCAAGTATTAGCTTTGAATCAAGAAATTTGGTGAGAATAGGCAAAAACTTGAACGTGTGAGTTAAGCTTTCTCTAGCAGTTGGATTACGACATACTTGTTGCAGAACATCAATGGATGCCCAAGTTAAGTGAGCTTTAGAATCGAGAGTCATCATTAATTCATAAAGATTTGAAAACAATTCCATAGTCTCTCTATTCCCTGGGTTGAACAAATTTATACCTGTTGAACCAGCGAGTACCTATACACACAAATAAAAAAATATTAATTCATTCTTTAGAATATTTTACCGATGATAGAAGGGAAGCTATAATAGTTAATTTTGTATCCTTCTGTTTATAATCAAAATAATAAAAAAAAGTATTGTGTGGAATGATGGAAATTTCAGTAATGGGTTCATTATGAAAATAGGTAAATACAAAATGCTTTAGTCCCTTTACCACTTCTGTTTCTCAACCAATTTTATATTTTTGTTTAGTAGCTGTTGACGAGATTTAATATTATCAATAAAACAATTTTGGAAACAGTACACATAAATAAAAATATAAATGTTTGTTCACACCGATGATTTCTGAAAAATCTTCATTGTTGCTTTGAAATTTTGATTAAACGTAGCAATCAGATTCAAAATTCTTTTTATATACATTTTATTATCATCAGGCCTTTCGTTTCGAAATGGCAAATGAAAAACACAGTCGCCATAGACTATAGCGCCAAAACAATTTTAATGAACTTGACCAAAGTCTTTTCTTTAAAGCTCTTTATTTTATGTACATGACATATTTTTGCGGGAAGAGGCTGAAAAAAAATTATTGATTCAAAATTTTATCTGCGAAAAGTAAACAATTTTCGGTTCATTAAACCTATGAATGTTTGAAAGCTTCCTGAATTCCATGCAAAATAAAATAAAATCATGTTCGATAAGATATTCTTATTGCAATTTTGCAATTTATATTTTATAGGAGAGCTCTATTACAACTAATTTATAATTGGCATATTACTTTAGTATGAGCACAATGATGTACAATAATGGTTATGGTCAAATTTCGAGAACACTAGTTTAAATAAATAACTTGGTTTTAAAACAGAATATATTTAGCAAATTTGATTTACCTGTAAATTTCTGTGTAAATTGTGAGAAGCCTCTTCTGTTTTTAGGCTAAAATATTCTGTAAGTGATTTATTAAAATTTTTTATCGATTCGGATTCCATTTTTAATTTAAAAATTATATAAATACTAGTTCAAAATCATAAAAATTAAGAACAAGAAATAAAAATTAATGATGTGATTAAATACAGAGAAAGTAAATGTTTACAATCACTCTACTTGCTCTACCGCCAAAGCGCTGAAATCGTTAACCTTCTGATAAAGGTTAACTGTGACTAACCGATTCAGTAACCATTGCTCTACTGTGCAGTAAACTAAGAAAATGGCAGATATGACACAAGTCGAGATTCATAGGTAGATGTAAATAGATAGTTTTAACGATGTTTTCCTAATTTTTATCGAATTTTCCTACGTGCTGGACACAAGTGATTCAAAATGATCGAAGTGGAACAAGAGACTGTCTATGGGACAGACGATGATTCCCATGTAATGTCTGATAAGGTACAATCTTTAGCTGGGCGAATTTATCAAGAATTCGAAAAAATGATAGAGAAATATGATGAAGATGTCGTGAAGGATCTTATGCCTCTAGTTGTCAATGTGTTGGAGTCCTTAGATTTGTCTTACACTGAAAATCAGGAGCATGAAGTTGAATTAGAACTGTTAAGGGAAGATAATGAACAGCTGGTTACACAATATGAAAGAGAAAAACAGCTTAGAAAAACCATTGAGCAGGTAATGTACAGTAGGATGGAGCAATATACCTTTAATTTTTATTACTTGAATATTTAGTAGATACATTCTAAGGTTTTCGCTTGAAGTTTCAATGTGTCAATTCATTTTTCTTATCGCGATAATTCCTGGTGTTGTGTATACAAATCAATCATTTTCTTACAGAAACTGCTTGAAGTTGAAGATTTAATTGAAGATGAGAAGAAAGTTAAAGGCAGTAAAATTGAAAGCCTTGAATCCATTGTTCGAATGCTAGAGCTTAAATCTAAAAATTCAGCTGATCATGGTAAAGTCTTCTTTCGTTTACTTATTTAATCATTCAAATTAATATATTTTGTTGTGTCAAGAAATGTGCTACATTGGATTCATTAATGTTTTAGTTTATCGATTAGAAGAAAAAGAACAAGAAATGAAAAAAGAGTATGCAAAGTTACATGAGAGGTATACTGAGTTGTTTAAAACTCATATGGATTATATTGACAGAACTAAAGTTTTAATGGGTACTGGTGAAAGACTAGACGGCGGTAGACCTAGGCTACCACCTTTAAGTCTTGCTCATATGAACAGGTAAATTGTATTTCTTCTATGATGCCATTTTTAAATCTAAAACGTACTTATGATTTTGGACACATGCCAGAACAAGGTTTTTATTTATTCATCCTAGAAAGTATTGATGATTCATTGTTTACTTAATGATATGTCGTAAAGTAATTTTTCCATAGGTCATCCGGCCCTATGTCTTTTGGTTTTCAATCTTTGGAAACTCATACCTTGTCAAGTATTGCCCGCAATGTGGGTAGTCCTGGGGAATTCTCAACTGCAGCTGCCTCACCTCCTGAAAGCAATCACTCTGCCACTAGCCTTAAGAATGAAATGGTACTTTTACTTATAAAATTACCAGTAAATTGGGTAGTAATTTCATATATTCAAGCATATTTATAATTTTTAAGTAATATTTGTATGTCATGTTAGAGATGATTATCCTTTCTGTTCTCACAAATAATTAGGGAAATGAAGCTAATGATAACACCGAGGAAGATGGATCAGCAAGAGAAATTTCCGAGAAGGGATGGTCTGAAACATTAAGCCCGGGTTCCAAAGATGCTACTCCTGACACATCTGAGGAGTGTCCACCACCGCCTAGTGTTACCACTCCAGTGGGCCGAAGTACTACCAAAAAGTAATTATCATTTTTAATTTTAAATAAAGAATTGGTTATTAATTAGTTATAATTTAAAGTTATTTTTTTCTTGGATTATGTGGGTATATTATAAAACATCAACATTTGGTTATGTAACATTTTTAAAAATGTCATGCAAGTATTTCTGATGAATATGCATAGTTTTATAGATGTTTTTGCTTCTTGAAATTAAAATATAAAAATTTAAAAAGTTATTTATTTTTAGATTCATTTGATTTTAATGACCAATATTTTGTTTTTAAATTCAAATTGGGTTTGCTAAAATTGGTCTTGACAATTCTTTTTTATTCCTTACATATGTGTATGTATATTTATTATTTTAAATCCGAGAATATGTTCAATAATTTCAATTAAAATAATAACTATTTTGGACATTTATATTCTTTAAGATTTTTTATAGGGAGGGATTACTTTTGTTGACTAGTGCTTAATACATGTTTCTAAAAATAAAGAATATAAATGCTTTTCAGTTATTACAAGATTTCTTAAATTTATTAATTAAATTCTATAATTTTGCCTACTTTTAGGGAGCAAAGGAGTGGAAACACTTTGTATCAAGAACTTAGTTTCCAGGATGCAGAAGCACTCGGAGAAATGGATGAAGGTGCTGATATAACCGGTAAGATTAGTTGTTTCAATTATGCTTCGGGATATTCCAGTAGCAGATTGAAAATATTTTTGAAAGTTAAAAGAAATAATTTATTTTTCATGATTTTGAATTTTTTAAGAATCACCTTGTTACTCAACCCATACTTTTGTTTCTGCAATGCATATTTTAATTTTTTACTTGTTTGTCTTTAAATTAATGTATTCAGGAGCTTTCTTTGGAATATCAATAACGATAAAAGGTCTTTGTTTTTATAAACAGTTGATTTGAAAATAAAATAAACAGGTTTACTTGGTTATGTAACATTACTGAGTATTTAAAAATAGAAAGAAATCAATATGTAAGAGTGAGATCTCACAGTATCTTATTTCCTTTGAGTCTAGTGTTTTCAATTCTCTTGTTGCTATATAAGTTTAAAATATAAATATGCAGTTGCATACTTATGAAGTATTAGATTTGGTTAATTTCACTTTTTAATTATACTATTACTAATGTTGAATTTAACATTTTAATTATGCTTTATTTTTTAATTAAAACTGTTAATTTGTTAAACTTCAAGCAAGGTTCAAAAGATGCGACCATTCCTGAAATGAGATGATTCCGTATCACTGGCATAACCTGGTAGACTCTTAGATTAGAATAGCCTCCGTTTGGTTTTTAAACATACTGAAATTTAATTTATATATTTTTTTTTTACTTCAATGCGGTTTCATTATCGAGAATTTAATTATTTTTAAAATTATCTTTTTTCTTGTTTCTATTCTTGATATGGTTTGGATATCAAAAGCAATGTCATGTTTAGTATGTAACAATTATTATTATGGCAGTTGCCCAAGCCATTGCCTTATAGTACAATTTCCTTTACTTTTTAGTTTTGATTATACATTTTTTAACAAACAAACAAATTGATTTCAAGTTCTAACAGTAAGTAATTTATGTATCGATTGCATGTTCTTATAAGAATAGATGATTGAAAAGAAGGGATTTGAATGTTAAGAGGGAGGATAAAATTTCTTTGTAGTTTTTAATGAAATACATAATAATATAAAAGAATGGATTCATGTGTAAATAGTCAGTTGCAGGTATGAACTTTAAGAATATTTGATGTGGAAAAAAATTGTAGTCTCTTCAATGTGGACCTGAGAACAAAGTAGCTTAGCTTATAATATTGTTTACTTATTTTCAGCATTATTAATGTGTACGTGACATTTATTTAATTTTAAAAAAGTAAAACTTTAGTTTTGATATATTGAAAGAAATGAGATTGGGGTAGCTCAGTGGCAGGGCATTGACTTCCAATGCTCAAGGTTCTAGATTCGAATAAGGCTGATGGGAGGTAACTTATTTATTCTGTTTCCTCGGGAAACCTCCCTGTGGCACACCCAGATTCTATAAATTGGGTACGCTTAATTAAGGGAGAAAACCTGAGGGTTGAGCGTGATTTAGTCAAAGCACCTCCTTGCATAACTATCCAAGAAATAATAATTCATAACAAAGTACTGAACCCAAGACCCATCATGGTTGCAATAGTACTTTTTTTATTGAAAGAAAATTCCTTTTTCTTTTCAGTTTCTAGTTTTTGGCAAACCATAGGGCAACTGCTTAGTTTTTAATTTTATATGACATTTCGTCTCCTAATTATCATTGTATTAATAAATTAACAGTTTTAATGTACCATTCAGAGTTCATGTTATCTAATATTTTTTTTTTTAATTGATTAGTAGATTTTGATCTGTTTTCTATAATGTTGTTTTTTCCAAAAAAAAAATAAATAAAAACTGAGCTTTACTGAATTGTGCAGGCGGCTGGGTTCATCCTGGAGAATATGCATCATCTGGTCTGTACCACAGCCTACAAATATTAATATTTTCTTTATTTTAATTTAAATACCAACACTTAAATCTTGCTTGCACTCTAATGCACCAATCCGTCTTTCTGTTTTCAAAATTTTTTTTGTTTTTCCATGATAAAGGAGATTTTCAAAGAACCTCCTTTTTGAATCATTATTTGACTGTATATATTTTTAGGTTCATATAATTCACTTGATGATTATATGAAATTTTTTATTCTTTGGGCTGGTGTGTTATTGGCATGAGATCCTGCAGTAGCTATCTTGATGTCTCTATTCTGTTGCATGTGTTCCCAGATTCTGAGTCAGAACCAGACCGTGCTTCTGGTAGGCACCCTTTTTTATTTCCTTAATCCTCATGCCATAGTTTGATTATTTATTTATTTTTTTGTATATATTAATTTTATTTATTTTTTACAACAAATTTTACAAGTGCATTGGTTTATTAATTATTTTGAAGTATAAAATTAGACATTCTCATATTGTCTCCAGTAGTATTTTGTAGTTTCAGTCGTTTTCTTATTAACTCGATGGAATTACTTTAATGTTTTATAACCTTTAATTCATCGATATTGTTATTTGCTTGGTTTCATCACTTTTTCCATTAACACAATAAGTGAAATAATTTTTATTATAACTAATTCACCCTTTGTACATAATATCATATCTAACACCTTCCCAAACAAATTTATAAATAAAATATCAACTTTTCTTGATAACATTCATAAGATATGAATAGTTGTAATCTAATTGTGTAAATTAATAAAAATATATTTCTTGGCTTATCTAATCCTCTTCCAATGAACAAGTTTTTAAATTTTTTTTTCACAGAAGCTTCAAGAATCAAATAAAATCATAAGTCTTCGATAATTTATGCGGTAAATCTGAAAATAGATAGTCATTAATTTTAATAGAAGACTGATAAATTCTCTTTCATTGTGAATCAAAGTTATGTTCTAATTACCATTTCATTTATTTACTTTTTGTTTATTTTCAATAATGAAAATTTTTAATAGGCAAAAAAAAAAAAATTGAGTGCCAAGTAGGGTCTCTATTGCTTCCCCAACATAATTATCTTTATTTCAAGGCATATTATTTGTCATTTGAGAAGAGCCATTTTTTGAAGTATAGTCTTGTGAAAGAAAAATGCCCAAGCAAAAGAAGTGGACGGAATCTGTTGGAATTGATAATAAACCATTCGTACACTATTCCCTAAATTTCCTCTAATTTTAGGACAAGTCGATTGAGCAGTTTTTTAAATATAGGCATGTTTAAGAAAATGCATTTGTGTGTGCTCAAGGAAATTTAATTATTACTTTTTATTAAAGGTTTCTTACAATTAAATTTGAATCTTCTTGTATATATTTCTTTTTTTTTTTTTTAATAACATGGTGGAGGAAGATATGACCTTTACTATTTTAATTTTTTTTATCTTTTCTTCGGTAAATTAGTGCACTTTGAAATTTGTTGTATTTAATTTATTACTTGAAATTTGGTTTTATTGAAGGCTTGGTTAATTAATTGTTTCATTATTTGAACTTATTTAATTTAAATTGTTTTATAAATATCCAATAATAATATTAAATTTCAAGTGTGTTTATTTTGTTATAAAAGACCATAGTACTTTTAAGTGATTTAAAGTTGTGATTATGTTTTATTTGTCATGGCATGTTGCATTTTTAGTTGAAATCATTAGCCTCCACATTTCATATCATTTCCATTCCGTATAACCCTTACTAAAACTTATTAGAATTTTACCATAATTTTCTTCCAATTTATATGCTTTTAACAATATAATATTGCTGTTTCATTCGTAACTTATTACTAATGGTTTCATTCATTGTCTGTAATTATAATATTAATCATGTTGAAGTTTATTTTAGTTACTAATTTATTTTTATATCTGACTCCTTTATTTATATTTAGGTTGAATTAATTTATGTGCTAATTTCATTTAATATTGAAATAAATCTAAGTAAGTGTTCATATTGAATGGATTTGTTTTTGTTTTTTTGCTTGGAATATTTTTTTTTATTTTTAATTTCTTGTTTGTTTACCGTACCATTTCATGTTTGTTATTAATATATTCTGTTTTTTTATAAGAGGATTGGTAATACAAGGTCACCAGACATCTCTCTATTATATAAAATAATTAGTTCTTTGTCTGAATAATTATTAAAAAAGAAACTGTTTTGTTGCATGATAATAATTAGTAAATAATTGGAAATTGGTACTTTTGACTTTATATTAAAGATAGATTTTAAAATTAATACTACATTTGGAATAAAAGGTATGAAGCAAGCAGGAGGGGGGAGGGGGTGGAGTGAAGGTCCTCTTTAATAGTTTTAAGCATTGTGGTTATTTATTTATTTATTTATTTTTCAATTTGTTACAAGTAAATATACTTATAAAGTACTTAAACAGATAATATTTTGGGACTGTTTTCCTCCACTCAACTTTCTATTTATATTGTGTTGACTCATATATAGAAGGTCACTTATATTCTTTCCATTTCCTTCCTCCCCCCTTTTTTTTCTCTTTTTCTTAACAATTAAATTGTTTTACCATATTTAAATTATGAATGAACGTTGATTTTAAAAAAAAAATTGGTCATTCCAAATATTTGGTAAATTTAAATTTTTTGAAACCACCCTTATTTACGGTTAAGTGAATGTACGATGGATATTGGGCAAATTATATCTATGAATTTTTATGCAATAGTGGTTCTAATTATACTTTGATGGTTTGGAAATAGTACATTTTTCAGTTTGTTATTATATTTTATGGAATTTACTACTGTGGACCTTATTACAATAATTTGGGCTAAGGAAGGAGGAATGTCGTTATGGAGTGGAATAATAATAGCAAAAATAATTAAAAATAACACAAGTATTATATATTTTTATTAAGTTCTCATAAAAGTTCTTTTTGTAATACCTAATTTATTTCTGTAATACAATAATAAGATATAAAATTTTGTTTAAAAAATATTCTTATAAGAATTGAGAAGAATAAGTAATTAAATATTAAAAAAGAAAATGTAGTGTATATATATATATATATATATATATATATATATATTAATATTACTTAGATATATTCACAATATCCAAGCCATGTGGTGACACTAGCTTTAAAATAACTATGCTCAAAAACTTAATCTTACCCATTTTTCTTAATTAGGGGCCAGGTTTGTGCTCGGCAATTCAAGATTTGTATCCATCATGAGGCGTTCCAATTCAAAATTTTCTTTTAGCTTGGTCATTATTATACTTCTTGTGTCTTTATATATTTTTACTTACGCTTATATGATAATATATTTTTTTTAATGTGTTAGTAATGCAGGTTTTCCCGATGTCTCATATACTTAATCTTTCCTGAACTCTCGTGATTGTAACCTTATTTTGTTATAGTTCCAACATTTTTTTTTTTTTTTCTCAGCTCAATAATTGAGATAAATTTTTAGTTTTTAACAAAATATTAGACAATGGCAAATTAACCTTTCTAAAGAACGATGCAAAATTAGAGATCTTAATTTTTGCTGTTCCTGGAATCAACTTAAATTTCATGCCTGCTCTCCTATTATAAAAAATATCAATCAGTGTCTGTATTCGTTTTTTAAAGACTCCAATTATTAAAAGTTTTTAATGTATTTAAATTAATAAAATCTTGATAGAGAAAATGAAATTGTCTTTTTATGAGAAGTGTCCATTTGTGAGGAATAAAACTATGTAGTGGACCACCCAGTGGGAATTTAATTATACTTTATGAAGACCTATAAAGTGGGTTGAAACATCTGTTGATTTAGTGTTTTTATTTTTATCACCACTCCAGACCATTTCCTTCCTTCGATGTTCTTATTTTCCTTTTAACTCTTTTATATATATATATATATATATATATATATATATATATATAATTCTTGGGAGCAAAATTATTAAATATAGAATTTATATAATAAAATCGTACTTAGATTTCTCTCCCCATGTTCTTTGCCAATTGAATCTGGTTTTATTAGCCAAATTTTAACAAGATACCACTGCAGTTGGGTTTATAATTTCAATATGGAGAGATATCGTTTCATAGAACCATACTTTCAAGTACTGCAAGTGTAAAATTTTTAAAAAAGTATTTTTTAAGTTACATTCGTTTTTTCTAATTATTAAAATGAATAAGTTAAATAGAAATTTTTTACATATACATATGAGCTGCATCGTGTTGAAAATTTTCTTATTTAAGAAATGAGCATAACGAACAGGTTAAAAGACTGATTTTTTTTTCACGCAGATTCACCTTTCTGTCAATTGTCTAACTAATATAAATTAACAAAGCATTTCATTGTTGTTCTGTCTTTTTTACAAATGTTTTGTCTTGGTCAAGGTAAATAATCTATTTTTATTTGGGTAAAAACATTTGTTGGTTTTATTTGTGAACAATATAATTTTTTTTTCTGTGTTGTGTCATGATTTAGTTTTTTCTAATATTTGTATATGTTTATATCAATATTATGACTATAAAGTATTGTGGTCAAAACTAAGTTTGATATTATTGAGAATTGATATGTAATATTTATATTGCATTAATATAATTAAAAAATTAATTAAATAATATAAAAGCCTCATTAAAACTTTATATAGTATTTATATATATTTTCTTTAGTAAAATAATTCTAAAGAATCTATTTGGCTAGTACTGTCCACAGCAACGGTCGGTAGCGACTACTATTTGTTAATGCTTTTGTATTTCGCTGAAACTACTCACTGTAGTAGCTAACTGCTGTTGTATTTAATCTCTTAATTTAAAATGAAATTTTCATTTATATCAAAAGGGGAGAAATACAAACAGTAGCAAAGTATTGAACTTATTTAATTTATACACGCCATTTGGCATTTTTTTATTCAATAATAAGGCTAGATTATACCTGTACTACAGTATTAACCATCCCCTCTGAAGTGATAGTTTATTGTGATGTATTGATTAAAAAATATATCATCATCGGGATAAAAAAAAACGATGAAATATTATTGTAAAAATTGAAAGTATATCATAAGAATTGATATGATAATTTTAAATTTATTACTTATTATTTTTTTTATTAGTTCACAAATAAATATCATATATATGTAATAAAATCTCAACAGATAATTTTTAATCATTAGATTGTTAGTAAACCAGCTCTTTAATTAATAAAGACATATTGATTATTTAATGTTAGTTTGTTTTAAATTTATTTGAATCACTTTAAGAAAAAGTTTGTGATTAAATCTGAAATGTAACAAAATACTTTTGTTACTTCAGTGCTACAAAAATGATTTTGTGTTCGTTTTGTTTAAATTTTAAACAATTTTTCATTTATAATAGTGTAGAGATGGTTGACCGTGATGATAATATGAGGAGTTGGTTGGGGAGTGCGGTCAAATGAATACTATATATCAAAATAGTATTTTATTGTTTATGCTGACATTTTGACCCACTTTGTAGGTCTTCATCAGTGTGTGGTACTCCCCATCTACCAACTGCTTCCGGCAGTGCCCGATATCACGTCCTGATGAAAATTACAAATTGAGTCAAAACGTCAGCATAAACAATAAAATACTATTTTGATATATAGTATTCATTTGACCACTACCCTCAAACAACTTTTTCTCATTTAGTTTTCCCTGACATGATGGAAAAAAAAAGTTAATGAAATGTAGTAACATCGCCATTATCACAAAAACTCTTTTTGATAAAATAATATAACCTAAAACTGTTGTACTGTCAATAGCTTTACTGATTCTAGAGCGATCAAGACAAAGCAGTTTGATATCTTACTTACATCTACATTACAGTGCCAATGAAATATGCTCCGTTATATTTTCTGAAAGTACATAACTGCTATCTTCTGCAGTGGGCAGTACCAGGCAAATAGTATCTTAAGGTTGAATGATGCTTTAAATACAGCATGCAACATAAAAATAATATATAACTAATTAAGTTATTGTTGGAATGAAGATTTTTAAAAATATTAGTCAAATTCTAAATTATTTGTTTAAGATAGTGGGATTGACTCCTAATATTATAAAAACAGTAAATGGCTGTGGAGGGCTTAATCTTTTAAAGTTGATAGTTTCTAGAGAATATTTATCATTTTAATATATCCTTAATCTATTATTAATTTTATATATATCATATTAGTATTCTAACGTAGGAATTTGAAAGAGGTTAAATATTTTTTTTATTAATTAATAATTATGGAGTAGTGCATAGTAAGAACATTTATTCAAGTTGTGTTTATCTCAAGCTTACATTAAATCATTTAATAAATGAAAAAGTTTTTAGAAATAAAAAGAAAGAACTATGTTACAATGCAAAAAAAAACTTTAAAAAAGCATATGAATATTCTAATGATTAACATAGAAAAACAAAGGGAGGGGCGCACAAACATTCTTTATATTTATGAATATGTAAACACTTCAAGGACATTTTAATTTTTTTATTTATAATGCTAATTAGTAGCTAATGAGCCAATTAAGTATCACTTCTAATATCCGACTCGTCACGATTATTAAAAATAATAATAAGTTTTCTTATATTGGTTATTATTCATTTTTTTTTTCTATATCAAGACATATAGATAGATGATCTGGTTACCCTTCATAGGAAACAATTTTTCATTAATTTTAATACGTATATGTATTAATTTATTTACAAATTTCTATCTGATTAGAGACTGAGAAAAAACAAAAGCAAAATAAATAAACACTTTTATTTCTTATGGTTTATTTTTTATAGAAATATTTTAATTTGTTGCTATTCATCCCTACTAACAAAATTTAATCTGTTCTCTGGTTGTGCCTGCTTCCTCGATTCAACCTACAACAGTTAACGACAATTTCTTTGGTAAGGAAACTAACTGATAGCATGAAATAATTAATTTACCTAATTCTATAATCACAGCTATGTTTATCATTTATAGATTATTTACTATTTGAGTAAAGGATTTAGAATTTCTGAATTATTGAAGGAAGTTAGTCGACTATTCTATATATCATGAGTGATAAATATGCAGGACGCAGTCATTATAAACTTTTTATTGATGCCGACGTGTTTCAACTCAAACATGTGGGTAATCATCAGGGCATGTTCCGAGCACTGAAGGAGAGTGCTAGAGTACTTGAATATCCTCAGTGCTCAAAACACACCCTGATGATGACCCACATGTTTGGGTTGAAACGTCGGCACCAATTGAAACTTTATAATGACTGTGTCCTGAATGTTTATCATCTATGATTTAGAATTTCATTGTAAAGTTTTCTCTTTTTATATTAATTTTATTCATTAATGAAATCTTTTACTCAATATAATAAAAATTATGCTTTTATTTTGTATTATTGTTCTGTTGTTTAGTTAAGTTTGTAATTATAATAATGTATTTTAAAAAATTGCATCAATGTCTTTAAAATCTATATAGTAATTCATGCTTTTTACAGGTATTAATATTCATTGTATATTTTTCATAGCTTATTATTTACTGATACTCATATATTTATTTTTCCTTCGTCACTTAATAACAAAAGTAAGCTGACCTGAATGATGACAATGGTTCATGAATATTTCTTTATGGATAATGTTTTAATTTAAACAAATATAGTTAAATTTAAATTACTAGGTCAATTAATTCAAATAAATTTGAATTTTAGTTCTCATTAAATTCATAAAACTATTCAATGGAGAGATGAAATAATTTTCATAGACAATAAAATCTGCAAAATAATAAATAATGCCGTACAAATTAAGATTAATTGAAAATAAAAAGAGAGATAGGTATAAATAATAAAAATTATAAAAACAATCCCCAGAACATTAATTTTAAAGATGAATTTATTCCCGTAATAAAAAAATTAAATAAAAATAATAATTGGTACTTTTCTGTTGCTGCTGTGCTATCTATGGTTGCTAGAGACAACTAGTGAAGTTATTTTGAGTATACCTACCTGACAGAACTTGTAAACCTGTCCTAAACAAAGTAAATATTTATTAAGTCATTAATACAAACGTATGTACTTAAATTTTTAAATGATACAAAATTATTAATTCATTATTTTTATTTAATTACTTATCAATTCCTAGTAAAATTTTTTGTCATTGCTCAAATACTATTGAATTTATCACTTCCTTCTTTCAATTGTTTTCTCAAGATATGCTTGCCATATAAAAGTGATTTAAACACACTAATTTCAAGTGATAGTTCCCATCTATTTTTATTTCTCACAAATTTTCCAGATTATTAGATGACATTTGATAGTCATCATTTTATTACAATAATAATTTAAATAGCCATCAGTTTCAAACTTTAATCTTTCTCTTAGGGCCTCATTGTACTATAAATTTGTTCTTTGACAAAGATCTGTTATGAAAGTTATTTCTATGCTTAAATAAAAGTTATACCTAAAGAAATAAAAGTACCGTGTAATTATAAATGGATGAAGAAATAGTCGCCACTGCTGCTGTAACTAGTTAAGATTTAGAAATTAACAAAAATGACCTCAGTTGAAGAGCCTTCATTAAAATTTGTCAGGATAATTGATGGAAAATGGATTAAGATATCTTTTAATTTTTAGTCCTGAACATTTTATAATACTTACATAACCTTCTCCTACAGCACTCAAATCGAGGGACTTGACATGCACACATACAGGGGACTACATCGTACCGAAAACCTATCAAGCCATTTATGAAACCCGGAAGGACATATTTAGTCGTTTATTGGTGTCTATATCTTGTAAAACAGCTGTTTTGTTAGTTTCAGGTGTTTATAATCAATATATATATATATATATATTTTTATAGGACTTTTTCTAAGAAATGGACATTCTTCTATTCTTCTCTATCTAAGGCTTGTTCTTCCACCTCGTCTTTCCCCTTGTCTTCCTTTTTTCTTTCTCCCTTTTACTTTCAGTTCCATACATTCAGGCATCATTATTTTAACATGTCTAAACCAGCATTATCTTTTCTTTTCAATATTTACTATAATGTTCTTTTTTACCAATCAGCTCCAGAATTCTTTTATTTTTAATTCTTTCTCTTCTGGATTTTTCAGCTGGCCTTCTCCAAAAGCCCATCTCTACTGCTAAGTCTTTTCGAGTGTCTTGCATTGATGGCCCATGTCTTCAAGGCACATGTTATAGGCTGAAATATAGCCTTGTCCATTGAACTCTTTGTACTGGGCCGTATATTTAAGCTCCATAGGATTCCGTTGAGTATAGCTATTTCTTTCCTTTCCTCACTAATTCTCCTGTTGTTATCATTGGTGGAAGTTTCTTCTCTATTAAATATTGATCCTAGTTATTTAAACTTATCTACTGTTTTTATACCTCTTTCTATTGACTTTTTCTCACTTAAAGTGTCAAGTTGCTCTGTTTTCTTAGTTAATACTCAGGCCCCATTTTTTATGTCTGGACAATCTTCCTGAACATATAATTGGTGTCTTCTCTATCCTGGGCTATGATTACTTGATCATCATAATCAATATTGCAAAAATGATATAAGATAGTTTAGTGTTAGTATTCTGATAATAAGAGCTTCTTCACCAACAAGAATCATGTCGGGTACGATTAAAAACTTAATATCACAGGAAATATCCCCACATATATTATTACACTAAGGCTCGAAATCGGTTTTGTACCAAATATAAGCTCCTCTCCTGCTCGAATACCATGAATCGTACTCTCCGCTTTTGTTTTTCTTTATAAAATAAATAAAATCGGTACAAACATTTTGCTAGGCTTCAATACTTGAACGGTGGTAATTCTGTAGATCAATACGGGACAAATTGGGCTTTAAAGATTTTGATGTGTACACCAAAAAGCGGGCCATGCGTTCTTAATCCCAAAAGCGTAATATTTTTGAGATAATGCAAGGCAAAGGGTTTGCATCCACACAATCTTACCTTAATTGTTGTACTGTCACTGAATACATGTCTGATTTTGACGACTTGAGGTCTCTATGATTGAGGGAGGAGGAGTTTATATTATTTATCAAAGATATTTTTTGTTTGCAAATCCCAAGATTGAGCTATCAATTTGGAAGGTTTTCTTCTCCTTCAGGCGGGAAAAATAGTCCAATTGCTCCAAAAATTCAGGAAAAAAAATTATGAAAGAAAAGAAACTTTATTTGCGAATAACTCAAAAAGTACATACTTTTTCCTTGGATATGTCCATGATTATTTAAAAGATTACTAAATTCCCTACAAAAGGAAAAAAAATCTTTGAATTTGGAGAATTATTAGCTAAAATACAGCTTATTGAAATTTGTTAAAATGTTGGTTCCAAACAGGAATGAAATTTTTATTTTCTTTGTGGATTAGATTTAGTGAGAAAGTAACAATTGATTTCTCTATCTTTGATACGTTGCATTATTTTATTTTATTATCAATTTGTCATTTGATCACTGAACAATATACTGTGGGGATTTTTCGCACGGGCCTACTAGTTTTATAAAATACAGAATGAATATCATAATCATGATAAAAGAACTTTTCTTTTACGATAAGCTCTCGCACTATCTTTATCCAACTAGTTTATTTGAAAGATCTTTGTCAAAGAACTTTTTTAATATATAATGCCAGTTTTATTAATCTGCTAGTTGAATTTTCACTTGTATAACCTCAATATAATCATTTCAATTTTGTTTTTCTGATAAAGTCTATTCTAGAAATTTCATCAGTTATTCTCATTAGAAATAATTCTAACAAAAGTATTTTTATTTTACCTGAAAGTCAGAAATATAGCTTCTGAATTTAACTATATTCTCCCGGTCACATATCAGACACTAGCTATCAAAATTTTTGATATGGTAACTTAAAATTGGTAGCTTTTCGTGATTATAAAACAGGTTAATTATCCTTTCCCAAGACAAGTAAAATAAAACTGTACCTATTGTTTTTTCTTTTTGTTTTAATATTGCTGAAGCTTTGTTTTTATTATTTTTTAAAGAGAATAGAAATAGTTATATAACAAAATTTACTTAGTCAAATTTTTATGCTTCTATCAATTTATCCGTACCTTGAAAAACAAGATAAGTGATTAATTATTTTTAAAAGCTGTAATTTTTTAGAAATCATTTTCCACATAACATATTCATTTTAGAACAATTATTACTTGTTCTTATCTTAAATTTATTTATTTATGAAATAATGTTTTTTTTTAATTCCCTATGTAAGGCAATATTAAATTCTCATACTAATTACAAGGAAATTGTAGAGAAAAAAAATGTATATTAAATTTAAAATTTTTAATAAGTTGCATAATTAATAACCATTGTTTTGTGTAAGACACCCTTCTAAGTGTGTATACTCCTTTTAAATAAACATACGGTTATCTCCATTTCTAAAATTAACTTATTTTTAATTCACAACTGTCTCTCCAGTCAATTAAAAATGTATGCCATATTATATACATAAAACTATAAATAATTTTATGCACGCTTTGTGACTAATGACATGTTGTACATATCTCATTCTTTTCTAAATCCTTATATGTTTGTAGAATATTGATGAAACTTTAAATCTGAGTATAGGGATATTCGTCACCGTTACAGGAATTTCTGTACATTTTAGTTGGTATACTTCTATTTTATTCTGTCTGTTAATTTTCTTGTTTAGTTGTGCTTTTTTAGTGTTTTATTTAGTTTTGTAATTGTTGTTCAACCATATTAGAAATGTAAATTAGGCAACATTGAATTGTATATTCAATTAATTTAAACTAGAATTCGTTGTAGTTGTGACAGATGAAATTATAAACCGTAAAATAATACTCATTTTTTTTTCTACTCATGCAACATGATACTTGCTGTTACTCAACCGACATACGCTGTTTCCCATTCCATTGACATTGTTCTTGGAAGGATATTTTTGTTTCTGTATGTAAAAAATTGTCATGTGCTCTATTTTAAATTTAATTAAGTGTTTTGAAGTATAAATTGAGTTCATTTTATTTTTTTATAATATAATTTATAATTAATTTTCAGGAATGGGTAAAGAAGTTGAGAATCTTATAATGGAGAACAACGAACTTTTAGCAACTAAGTAAGAATTTTTACTCATTCAAATATAAATTATTTCAACTAAAATAATTTTTCTGTGCCTAATTCTTTTTTTTTTTTTTTTTTACAGGAATGCCTTAAACATTGTTAAGGATGACCTCATCATTAAAGTTGATGAACTTACTAGGTTTGTATTAAATTATATGATAATTGTGTTAGCTTTAATTTTATTATTAATTAATGGATTAAATTATTGTTTTTACTTTTATATATTTAAAAAAAAAAAAATTATAATGCCTTTATCTAGCCTAAATAATATTTTTATTTGCTGAAAACAAATAATGATATAGTCTATTCAGATAAAGTCAATTTATCTCCAAAAATTTGAACATATTTAGGGACTATATCTACAAAATAAAACTTTAACTATTAAAAGCAAATAAGATAAGCTCAATCATATATTAAAGAAAAATTCTAATAAAATTAAAAGCAAATCTGTACCACCCATAGAAAAAAATTTACAAAATATGATATATAAATAAAACTTATAAAACAAATACAATTTGTTTTTCTAATTATAATTTAACAGTGTATTAATTATTGTTATTTTATTAAAAGTTTCTGTTATATCAACCGATTGATTCATCACATCTATCACTATCAGTTTCATAATCACTTTGATAACTTGAACCAGATCAAATTCGACAATGGAAATTATTCAACTAAGCAATTATGTATTTGTTTAAATATAATTTTGTTATAAAGATAAATGTTTTTCTGACATGCAGTATAATAATTTAAGATGGATAGAAGACCATTCATTACCAGTTATAAAATTGTCTCTGAGGATGGGAAAAGTTCTCGAAACATTGGACAAATGAAATAAATACAATTATACGGAAGAGTGAAAAAAATATTTTCATAATAATTATACCTATAAAGTTCTATTTTTCTGGTGGTTGTGATTAAGAAAAACAACAGCTAAATTTAGTGATTTAACGATTATTGTTATTAATGAATTATAATTTAAATCATTATTTTAAAATAATGTCATTACTAAAAATCTTATATACAGAAATATAATTAACACTTGAGAAACAATATAACCTTATCTATGGTAAAACAACTTAAGGGAAGCTTCTCAAATAACCTTCTAAACTCACTGATATATGCTCTCGGGTATTCATATTTCTTCTCAATCAGTATATTCAACTATTTATGAACTAGACTGCCTGATGAGGTTTAATAGCCTACCGACATTCTATATGGGACCAGTCGATTTCTTTGAATATCATTGAGTGAACTGTCTACCAATAGTAGAACTATCTTGATCTTTTGAATAATTTATAATATTTTTGTAACTTTCGATATCCAAAGCCAATATAAAATTAAATTTAACAAATTATAATTATTTTATAAAATTAAATAATAATGAGCTTTCAATAAACAATAGCAGAATCACTACAACATATACTTTTTTTTATCTTTTCTCCCACTGGAATAAAAATTTAAATAAAATATCTGATGTTTTGTACTTTATTTTACTCACATATCTAATTTCTTATTACTGCTTTTTAGAGTCTTGTGACATGAATTATCAATTTTAATGTTTATTTTATTTTAAATAGTGAACAAGAAATTCTCAAGGATGAATTGAAATCTCTTCAAGTAGTCAATGCCAGATTAAAACAGAAAATATCGGAATTAGAAGAGGACTTGAAGAAATCAAAGGAGGAAATGGAAAAACATTCTAAGTCCAATAAATCGGATGATGAGGTAGTTATATGGTTTTCTTATTTTATAAACAAAGAAATAATTTATAAGTATAAACTACAGTGAGGTCAAGTTCCTAAACCCAGTGTTGAACTCATCGATGGCATCGGATCTGCTGTAGACTAAATGATGCCATCGATGAACCAAAATCTGAGTTTAGGAATTTGCGTTGATTAATTAAAGCAATTATTGTTATATTCTCTATAATCAGTACTTATCTTGTTCTGCCATTGTTTTACGTTTGTTGTTTGTAGTAGAATAATTTTTAAATTATTTATGGTCATATAAATGACCAAAAATTTGCTAGCTTGGTCGAACAAAACAAAAATAAAATGTTTAAAAAATTTAGACTTATTTTTTATTTTAACAAATTATCAACTTTCGCCTCATTTTTTTTAAATGGTAGTAATTTAACGTTTGATGATGGTTTTATATAAAATAAGATGAAATAGATCGAATCATCGTTATTGAAAAAATTATAATCTCATATTAGCTAGCAATATTAATTACTACCATATTTAATCTAATTTGTGAATTATTAGTTTTTCTTTCTTTAGATTTTTAATTTTTTTCATCTTTGTCATTATAGCACTATCAAGGATCTACTGTAATTATTTTTCTTATTTAACTTTTTATACATCTATAATTAAAAATATTTTTTTGGCTGTTTTTTATTTTTGATTATCTAATTCATAGCTCATCTATTATTTTATTAAGTTTAAAATAATTGTTTTATTAGATTTCTGTTGTTAAATTATTTTATACAAAGTTATTTTCTTGTAGGAAGATGTCCCAATGGCACAAAGGAAGAGGTTCACTAGAGTCGAAATGGCGAGGGTTCTGATGGAGAGGAATCAATATAAAGAAAGGTTCATGGAACTACAGGAGGCTGTGAGATTTACAGAAATGGTTAGAGCATCGAAGACAGATTCTGATATTGAGAAGAAAGAAAAGAATACTGTCTGGAAACTGTAAGAAATTTTAAATAATGTTATAACGATTTTATTTTAGAGACAGATAAAATTATATTTTCATGGTTTTAACTGTACAAACAATATTTTTAAGTATTGTTAGAGTATAAAAGTGGAAAAATGTTTCTGATTTGGTTTTATTTTAAATGTTTTTTCTATTTTATTGTTATTTTGTCAAATCTAAATTTACTTAGTTTTGGGAATAATTTTTTTTTGGAATCAAAATATTTTTATTGCTCACAGTGCTTTAAGTTCAATGACAGTTTTCACTTTCCCTTTTATTAATTCGCTGTAGTAATCAATGATTTTAAACAATCTATCAACAAAATATCTGGTGTGTCTGCTGACACCACGCGAACGCGACTCATCCCTTTTAGTGCCAAGTCCAATAGAAAAGATCTTTGCTGTATGTTTACTAATATTGGTCTGTTTAAGATTTCTTTTTTTTAATTTAGCATTTTGGACAGCTAAATTATCTTTAAAATGAGCTTTTTAATGTCCCAGATGATTTATAGTTTTCAATTTATGAAACCATTAATCAAAGGTGAATGGTTTTTTACGGAAACTTGTGTACTATACTTTAAATCACACTTGTAAAAAGTTCAAAACGCTATATTTGTCCTACAATTTTATTTGTGCCACGTTTAAAGATAACAAATATTGAGGAGTGTTACAGCGCTAAAACAGTGTTAAGGCGCTTGCAATAGGTAACCAAGTTAAGCAATACCGAGCGTGGTTAGCACTTGGATGGGTGACCGTCCACCAGGGAAAGCCACGCTGACCGAGATCCCGCCCTCAGGTATGTGAGGCCCATCAGACTAATGGAGGCAACTCAAACCGACCGGGCGTAAGACTGATAACCCTACCCCCGTGTACTTAAATCAGGTGCATGTTCTGTAGCACCAACTGGAAAAAAAAAATATATTTATATATACCCGTCCCTTCCCTCCCCTTAATTTAAAATATTTATAAAAACTCTGTTAAAATGAGAAATTTGTTAGCTATTTTTCTCTTCCTTTTCAAACTGAGATTGAAGATAATGATACATTTTTTTATGTTTTATCAATTTTCACGCTTCATAAAATTCACATTTATTATCATTTCGGGAATTTTCTTTTGAAAATCACAAAAAGCATAATAACTTCAACATGCTTCCACCTATTTATATGAAAATTGGCAGGAATTTAGGGCCACATAAACTACACAAATCATACCATGTAAACATATTATAACTGAAGGTTTGAAATAAAAATGTGTGAGGAGTTATTATTTATTTATTCCTTATGGAGGTGATAAGTCAAAAAGTTATTCCAATTCAGCTTTCCAACGGTTATAGTAACATAAAATTAAGAGACAATTCTGTGGAGGTATGTATGTTTTAGAGAACGGCTGGGTAAACGTTTTTATGTAAAGTAAAATGGTTACTATGATAAGCTGCTCAACACAGCACTACTGTTTTTATAAATTATTTCTCTGAGGTATTTTTTTAGTCGGTATACAATGATTGAGCCGTCATTTTGAAAATCTTCAGTGAGAAAAATAGTCACATCCATCTGAAATTTTATAAAAAAAAGTTACAAAGGAAAAGAAACATTATTTGCGAATAACTCAAAAAGTTTTCTTTTGTTTTTATTAATTATTGCCACGATTATTACTAAACCGTCGTTACTACGAACTTAGATACAATAAAGTTATTGATTAAAGAAAACAAATATCAAATGACCTAGAAAAAATGAATTAATCTTTCCGTAACGTAAACACTTTCATTTTAAATGAAGTAATTATGTTTGTTCGAACTTTGTACTAATTTTTGACCCCTTGTGAGAAATAACATTTATACAGTAAACTGAGAAGACGTAATATAAGTAACCTTCTGTTCCTCATCGCAAACGAACGACAGCAGTTCTTCATCTAAATTGAATTATCTATCTCGTAAAAATTGGCATGATTGTAACATGGGCTCTTGAGTATAAAAAATAATCGGGAACATCAAATTAAAAATTATTATTATTATTAAAAAATAATAATAAAAAAGGAGAAAAATCTAACTCTAAAAATGAAGATATTACCATTATTCAAAATCTTAACTTTCTTAAATTTAGTGTGCACTTGCTACCCATTACTTTATCTGTTTATTTTAGTGTTATATCAAAGCTTTCATTTTTTTTTTTTTTTTTTTTTTTTTTTTTACTCCAATATTTTTTGGGTTGTTAGGCTCTGTTGTGGTATCAAAAAAGTTGTAAACTTCATTTCCCTCAAGTTCCAAATAAGCTTTGATCATGCTGAGTGTGATTATGAATGGAGAACTAGTTTTTGGAAAAAGGAAGGTAAGACAGATGTCTAATATCAGCTGACTTCTCTATAGTCAGGTGTTATCAGCTTTAAGCTTTACAATTTGAGCTTGTGGAATATTCCCCATCCTAATGCTGGGTCGTTGTGGCTTTTCATTGTTTTGCTTTTGTGTTGTAAATAAGCAATTCTGTTAAAATTATACCCCTTTACTAAAACCTAAACCCTTGGTAGGTCAGTTTAGCTGAGATTTAAGAATATTTGTCTACATGTTTTATAGAATATTTTAAATTAAAATGATCAACATAAAACCAACACAACTGTACAATACTAGGAGGCCCCAGTACGTGCAATATGGGTAATAAGACATTACCTTTTCTTGAGTAATAAGACATTTGTAAAGAGATATTTGAAATGATTTAAGAAATTAATGCTGTTAAGTTCTTTTATATCATCAAACATTTCTTTTTTCCATGATGGAGCAATAATTTTGATGGGTTAGTAAAATTAAATAAATTATTACATAGAATAAAAATGGGGCTGGTCTTATACTGTTATGAATAATAACTTATCTTCTATGGTGACGCCGTTGGTCATTCCCTTAAGTGCCTCCTCCAACATAGCCAATAGACTGTTAATAGCTTGCGGCCAAAACTCTCTTTTATCTTGGGGCTTTTACTCCGTAGGTCTGTCCCAAAAAAAAAATTCAATCAGCTGAGATTCAAAGTCTGGATTGATGACTGGCACCACTTCTGACTTATCAGCTGTTCCTTATCACTCTCAATCTTACCTAACGCTGTTTACAGATCTGTGTTCACCTTTCTCCATCCAAACTCCAAATCGGCAAGATCAGTCTTAACGCAATCCTCCTACCTATGTTTTGGTCTAGCCCTCAAACATGTACCGGTAGACTCGGTCCTTATTAACTATTCAGGGATTTGGTCTTCTCTTAGTCCAACAATTTTACATGCCCATTTAAACAGATACAGTATGATTGTTTTATTTAAAGTGATGAGATGCATGATCCACAATTCTATACTGTATAAAGCAATTTTGTACAATTCTGTATGACTGTCCTATATTGCAAGCAATGCCTTATTCTCAAAGTAACTGTAGTTGGTTGCAGTTAAAAAAATACTATGGTTATTAGTAGAATATGCATCTTATGAATAACTGATATGTGATGCTTTATATGAAAGAGGGACATCTGTCATTTTCAGAAAGTGAAGAAAAAGTCAATTTTTGTTTTATAATTTCTATTCAATCTGTTTCTGATTAATTTATTTAAGAATGTTCAACTTGAATCATGAAACAAAATCATTAAAATTTGTTAAAATTGGAGCTATATTAAAAAAAATTGCTTTTTCTCCACTTTTTAAAAATGACAGATGTGTCTGTCTTTGATATGAAGCCACTCATATATACATGTAGTTTCTTACATTACACAGTTAGGTTATCAATCCATTATTATTTTGATAATCTTTAGTACTTTCACTGTTATCGAAGTACGTAGTTGATAAAATAGTTTTTCTTCAACTGACAACACAACGGATTTTCTTTTAGTTTATCTCTGCTTATTAAAAATAAACTTAAGACAGAGTAAAAAAAATTTTAACACAAGACTACCTCAAAAAGTGGTGCATACCACCAATAGCTAGCATTTTATTGTGCTATAAGCAATTTGTAACTCCAAAAATTTATATTGTTAAGTGACTAGAAAGAAATTTCCATTTATTAAAAATTAAAATAATTTTATTAATAATGTAAACATAACTATAATTCAATAACATAAACACTACTGAATGCTACTAAAAATGGTTACCATTGCAATAAATTCATGGAGTGAAGAGCTTTAAAAGTAGCTGCCCATGGAAGGGAAACACGAATTAGTTGCGTTGTGAACGTATTAATTAGTTTTGAAAAAGAACCGGAGAGAAATATGTTTCTGTCTGAATGTTACTTATTACTTAGTAACAAAGTAATCAAGAGCCAGAACATAAATGTTAAATTATTATTGGAAATATTCCAAACCACACAGCCTTATCTCTCCAAAATGGCAAAGAACATTCAACCACAAAATTCAATTTCGCAAATTCAAGCATTATCAGGATAGAAAAGCTAATCAAACACCACTTCATGAAATCCAATCACAGTATGCAATCCTGATGAGGCCTGAATTGACGAAACATTAATGGGTTTTTCTTTGTTTGCATTTTGGAGAGATAAGGCTGTGTGGTTTGAAATTTTTCCTATAATAACCTAACAGTTACTTCTTACCTGCAGAGAACTGCGAAACAATTAATGAGAATATTTACACTGGAAAAGTTATCAACTTTGGTAATAACTAAGAATTTACTGTTAATTTTCAACAAGATTTTTCTTATTCAAAAACATTTTTAAATTTCTATTACTGATTAATTGGAAATGACAGTATAATTATGTAAGCATTTGCTATTTATTAACATCTGTATTTCTTCATTTTTTATAGATGTTTATCAATTATTAAAAACCTACTATTTATTATTTTCAGATTCAGTCGATTATTCATAAACAGCGATCGAGGGGTAGTTTCAAAGCCATTGCCGAACGCTAACTTACGATATAACGCTCCATCCCACCACATCAGCCCAGCGTTGGATACAATGAGGAAACGATCCTTACATGAAAGGAAGCGAGGGCTGGACTTAGATGCTGGGGATATGTCAGTATTGTTTTTTGATTTTGAATGCTTTTGCACGAGTATCTGCTTTTATGTTGCTCTGAAATGTTATCTGTTTGTTAATTCCTGTTTGGTATACTCTTTTATAATTCCAATCATTTGCATTGTTCAAGGAAGTATTGTATGCAAAATACTAATCTAAGGCTTTTTCTCTCCTCTCCATATTAATTTTTTCTTATTTCCTCTCTTTTAAATAAATCAGCTCATTCACTAACGTGTTTTTTTTTTTTGTAATATTTGTTTTCTTGTTAATAATAAATGCACAAAAATCAGTCGTTTGATCGTTTTCAAAACATTCTTTAGATTATTGATTGAAATGTATCCTTGCAGGAATGGAGAGGTTCCAGCCGAACAGAAAGCGTCGGTTGCCCCTTCTTCGGGAATAATTGAACTCAGCAAAGAGGCCTTTTCGTGATATTAGTTTAAATAAATGCGTTTATTTATTATAAATTTATTGTATATAGATATGATTTTACAATTGAAAACTTTGTACATAACCTTATGTAAATTCGTTTAAAAAAAAACAAAATACTAAACTCGTTTTGTTTTAAAAACTTTAATAAATTATTATTTCTTTTTGTTGTGTTATAAGTTAAAAATTAGTCAATAAAGCCTTTCCTACCCCCTCCTTTTTTTTTTTTTTTGGAATTTAAGATTCTTCTATCTATGCATAGTTCTTTTATATTGTTATTTCTTTTTCATTTTAAAATGGTGTTTAGTTTCTATTGCTTGCACAATTTATAATTTTAAAAAATATTTTATTTCATTTCTGCATGCTTTTAGTTCCTAAGCTTAATGTAAATTGCAACTATGTCCTTTCTTGCCTTTAGTCTAAGAGAAATATACAATCCTAATTTTTCTTCTAATGCTTCTGAAAGAATTTGACTTAAAGTTCACGCACAAAGTTATATAATAGTTAGTTACACAAACTTTGCAGCACATTTTTTATTTAATTCAGATAATTTATTTTTCTATTCGAAATCATAGGCTACTCGGACAATAGTAAGTAATGCTTGATAAATTTTTCAAATTGAAAAATATAACATTAAACTTTAAAAAAGTTATTTGTCATTCGAATAGGAATTTAAGCATCTGCTTGCTGTGCTTATATGATGGTGTGTTTATCATTTTATTCTGTGTTATAAATCTTAAAATACGAACAGCTGTATAAGTTTTTACATTTTAAATAATAATTTCTAAATTTCCCGAAGTGAATATAAAATTGGTCATTATCAATATTAATTTTGATGATTTATGTGTGAATTTCATGAACTTTATAAATTTGTATGCTATACCATCAAAATTTTATTCTTTAAGTGATAATATGGTCCAATTTCCATTCTGAAAAAGAAAATAATTTAAATTTTTAACAGTTGAAAAAAACATAATTAACAAAGAAATTCAATTACTTTAACCTTAATTAACAAACTCCTCCCTATTCCCTGGTAAAGTGCTTTAGTGAGTTAGTCGCATTTTAAAGATCTGTTTTGATTTTCTCATCTTAAATTTTAAAGTTTTAATAATCAAATGAGAATTTATAAAAATATTCTACTCTATTACTTATTACCAATTTATACATTTATCAAGAATAATTAAGTTCAAGTAAGCAGGTATCGAAGGAAGAATGTAGATTATAACTTATAATAAGGTGAAGGTGATGTATTGTGATAACAAATAATAAGAATACAGGAAAAATAAATTTATTTTGTTTTTCATAATTCTCCCTCAACTTTTTAAGTCTTGTGTTACTTTTAACTAATGTAGTATATTTTTCTTATATACATTATTACAATAGACGTATATAAGATATTTAATTTGTAAATATAATAATTTTAGATGCATAAGAGTTTTTTTATTATACAAAAAGTTCTTATACAAACAGAAGTTTCTGAAAACTATTGTAGTTAGAGGGTTTTTTATTTTATCGAAGTTCAGTATAATTGCATGATCTTAATAAAACTGTAAATTCAGTTGATTGGAGTGCTACCAATGGGTAGTTTCTCAACAAGCGTGTTTCATGTTATTATATTCCTCTGTACACATTTACTTGATGTATTCATACTAATACAGTTGTAAATATCATAATAAAAGTTTTTGAAAAAAATAAATTCAGTTGATAATAGATTTTAAAATAAATCTAAAATTTTTCTTAACCAAAATCAACAGCCATGCTGCTAAAAATTAAAATATTTAAAAGATAGAAAATTTTCTTTTATGCATACATTTGTACATTCAATTTTTATTGCATTTTTACAACTAAAATCTAATCTTTTTAGTAATTATTTTTTGTTTATATTTCTAATTAAGCCCCCAGCTAAGATCAACCAGAAAAGCTCATTGGCCAAAAAATAATTATATTGCACAATGAAATTATTCTTTCAGGGTTTTATAGTGTTGCTGGAAAATAATATCATAATTTTAATATATCATCCAATTTACAAATTTGGCTATTTTAATATTTATTTTTTTCTGTATTCTTATTCTTTGTTACCATAATAAATCACCTTCACCTTATTAAAAGTTATAATCTACATTCTTCCTCGGATACTTGTTTACGTGAACTTAATTATTCTTAATAAATTTCTGTCTCCTGAAGAATGCAGCACATGTTTCAATTCAGTGGTCGCAGGGAATGAGTTGGAAAATAATTTTGGAGTCATGTATATTGTGATCACCATTCAAGGCCTTCTGCTTACAATGAAGAATTTAGTAATCTTTAGTTCATTAGCTTTCTTTTATAACTCGGAAAGGTTAAGAGCTATGTGTTACCGAGCTTATTTATTGAAGTGTACAGAAATCTTGAAAAATAATGACAATACACATGATTTAAAAAAAATCATATATTTTACAAAATTATTAAAAAGTTTTTACATATAGTAATATAGTTTTAATGGACAGCCATCAAACTGGCCCAACCATCCAAGTTGGTAGGTACAACTTTCAAAAAGTTCTAAGCTTCAAATATTTAGGATTCGTTAATGACTGCAGATAATGAATGACATGAATCAGGTGTAGTAAAGACTTATTGCTGCAAACAGATGTTATTATAGCCTCTTGTGTATGAAAAGCCGTTTTCTACTACAATAACTTAACTTCTCCTAAACAAAGTCTTCATACGACTGGTTCTGACTTGTGGGTGTAAAACATGGACAATGACAAAGGCTAATCAGAGAAAAGTATTATTTTTCAAAAGAAAGATCCTTCAGAAGATATTTGTCCCATAAAGAAGAATAATGAATGGAGAATAAGATATAATTAAGAACTAGCTAACTTATACAAGGAGCAGGGTGTGGTGAAATATATTTAAATAGCAAGGCTAAGATGTGTCTTTTATGGTGAATTTCTGTGGTGAGCCAGTTCTTGCGGATGGATGATACCTCAATTCCATAGAAATTGCCCAACTCAGGATGGAACTGGAAAAAGAAAATTGGGAAGAACGAAACTGAGATGGATTGATGGAATAAGTGCTGATACCAGAATTCTTGGAACCAGGAATTGATGTATGGCTGCTCAGGATAGGGAAATGTGGAGGGCAACTCTTGAGGCAGCCATGATCTCGTAATGGAGTTACCTTGGGATGTTGATGAATATAGTTTTAACAGTTTCATTTTTAATAATTCTATATTTTATTGCCATATATGGATGAGTCTTGTTTATGTCATTAATAGTGATCTTTGCCTAGCTCGGATTTGATGATTTTAATAACAGTTTTGAGAGTAGAAAAATGAGATTGAGTGATCAATTATAAAAAGTTTTTGACTTTAGTGGGTCATTTATAACCGGAATAACCGGAATCCATACTAAAGCTGATATTAATTGCAGTTGGATACAGAAAAATAATTATGGACTATCTTGAGTTTAGAAGAGGAACACCCTTGTGAGTTCAACACCTGTCTGAGGAACATTGAAATACACTTCTCAACATCTATCTTTGAATCACATTGTGAAGCTTAGATTAATCATTACGTTCTCTCAGGCTAGCAGTATGAAAAAGTCTTACAGAAAAAGATTATGCCTATTCATTAGAATTGGCTGAGTAGAGTATTTATCTCTAGGATGTGTTTTGTTTTCTGATAAAACCAAAGCGACAGATAAGGCTTTACGACGTTTTTGAACATTATGTCATCTAAATTAGAATATGATAACTTGTTAGTCTCATTTTACTTTGTTGGTTTTGGACTAAAGTTTTGTATTTTGAACTCAGCTTAAGATTGCTCTCAACAGCATGAAAACTTCAATGGTCTCTTACGTTCTGTTTTCGGCTTGCATAAATTCTATACTAGTGGGGATCGCTTTATGTGCTTATTTGAACCATCTTGCTGATCTGTATAAATATACTTGAATCTACATGTGTTATATACTCTTATCTAAGAATATGAGTAATCAGGGTTTATGCCAGTCAGGATTCACAGTAAATTCTACGAAATTCAGGAAAGTCATTATGAGTTCTCAAGATTAATTTTTTTTATTTAAACTATGGGATTGCAAATTTTGACAATTAAAAGTATGAAAAAGAGTTCAGCTGAATAAAAACATATATATATATATATAATGTTTTTATTCAGCTGAACTCTTTTTCATACTTTTAATTATGTATATTTATTAATTATATATAATTATATGTATATATATATATATATATATATATATATATATATATATATATATATATATATATATATACACGTATATACACATATATATATATATATATATACGTATATACACGTATATATATACGTGTATAAAATAAAGACAATAGATTGGTGGTTGAGACTAATAAAACTACATGTTAAATTGCCTAACTGAAAGGGCATATATATATATATATATATAGCTTTGCCCTTTCAGTTAGGCAATTTAACATGTAGGTTTATTAGTCTCAACCACCAATCTATTGTCTTTATTTTTCATATTTTGATTGAATAAGTCTTAAAATAATGATAATAATAATAATAAAAGGCTTAGCAAACCCAAAGGTTCGATGCTGACTTCACCAACCTGACCTCCCCCGGTCAGCATCTAAACCCAAACCCGTCAGATCAGCTTTAACGCTATCTTCCCATCTTCATTTAGGTCTATCCATCAGACGTATATCAGTCGTTACTGTGTATATTAACCTTTTAGGAAATCTTTCGTTACTAGGCCCAACAATTTTACACGTCCATTTTATTTGCCGCATTGTAATTATTATAATTATATTAACTGGGTACAGTTCATGCAATTTGCCATTGTTTAACAATATAAATCTAAAACATTAAAAATAATAATAATAATAAATTGAATATCTATTTTCAAATAATAGATATTCATAATTTATTAAAATTCAATTTTTAATTTTAATAAATTATTGCATGTTTTTACAAATATTTTGCTTGTTAGAAATTTCTATTAACAAAATTGATAGGCACCATTTTTAATGCAATAATACAGTATTTTTTACTTGTTTTAGAGTAGGTTAGGTAAAATAAATGTTATTTGGTTATTTTAAAATTGAATGACTGATGGCTTTCATGTAGTTAATTCTTAAAATTCCTTATGCTGCTCTTAGGAGTGAAAAGATGGAGCAGCGTACTGCGAGGCGTGCGTCAGAGAGAAGAGAGCAATTGAGAGCAGTGCAAGCTCACGTTCGAAAGGACGACGGTAGGCTGCATGCTTACGGCTGGTCTCTGCCGGCCAAAGGAGCTGCGGCGCCCCCTAAGGTCTCTGGCTCCCCTCAAGTTCCGGTACCCGTACCAGTCTATTGCAGGCCCCTTATGGAGAAGGAGGATGGCATGAAGGTACTGTTTTAAATAATTATGCTAAAATTGTTTCCAGTATTAGAATGTAAATTTATAATAAAATTTTGAGAAAAATTTAGTTTATAAAAGATCCATTTTCTTTCAATGTCAGTATAGACCAGTTCAATTGACAATACAACAAAAAGTCATAGAAATAAAGTTGTTTAAACTTCAACTGATTTCAATAGGCCAACTAAATTTGAAGACTTTTGGTGTCCATTAAATATAGAAAATAATTGCATCATAAGAGAAAACTTATAAAATTTAACTTTGTCTAAGGTATGTTTGATGGAAATATGACAAAAATAAATGGAACCAAAATTGTTCATCTACTGGTGCAATCCATTTATGGTTAGATATTAGCATTTAATCACATTAGAATTTAAAAAATAGATTTTTTTACTATCCGACTGCTCTAGCACTTACTAGACAAGCGCTCTAAACTTTCAATTAATTATAAGAGACTCATCTACTTAACCATAATAAGACCTATATAGACATACGGAGTTGAGCTTTGAGACTCTACCAAACCATCGAATTCCTATCGTATCCAATCCTTAATGACTCATATTTTGTCACAAATAAAACCATTCATTAAGACCTTAATGTTCCATATGTCACTGATTTAGCCCGAGTCAGATAAACTTTCACGATAAACTCCAGTTCCATCCGAATCCACTAGCTTCCATCCTTGCTTATTCCTCGATTCCTGATAATCCCCCTAGGCGTCTGAAAAGAAGATGGCCTCGTGATCTTCTTACCTAGAATTAAATAGGAAGTGTTACCACTGCGTAGTATCTCTTCAAGTCTGTTCATTTCATTATTTCTTATTTGTGCATATTTACTGGTTGTATTTTTATACAGTTGTAAACTTCATTGAATAAATAATTAAAAAAAGAGATTTTTTTATTAATTTGTTAAGTTTTTAAACCAATTTTTAAGTTGGGTTCCTCTTTTTAAGTTTTTTGCCATTCAATGGGTTTGGATTAGATTCAAAATTTAAGGTGCTCTATAAACACATTTTTTTTAAAGGATTTTCAATTGTTAAAAGACATTTGAAAATCATATAATTGAATTAGGTGGTAAAGTTTGTAAAAATTACCAGTCTTTTGTTATTCGATTTGAACAATATTTCTGTACCAATTTATTATGTTAGGTACATATGCACTTTGCTATAAGCTAGAAAGCATCCTTATTCAAAATTTTAGTTTTTTTTTTCATGCAACAAAAGCTCACATTAAGGGACTGTACTTTTTTTTTAAAGTCAAATAAACCGACAAAAATTATTTTCTGATTTCTAATATTTATTTTTATCAATGATGCTCATATGGTCTAATTTTACTGGTCTAGTGGATATATTTAACAGAAAAATTTAAAGTTTACAGATTGATTAATTTTTATTGTTGAAATCAAGTTATTAGTCTTTAATTGTATATTTAATAGTTGACTGTTGCATTATAAAGGAAGGAGTTGGTCCTGGGTGGCGGTCATATATAGGCTAAATTGTGGCAAAACTATTTTATTAAAAGCCAACGTTTCTTGTATCTTGTCCGTTCCAGCCCTTAAGAAGACCTGCAAAGTCGTAAGGTTTAATAAAATAGTTTTGCCACTATTTAGCCTATTTATGACCACCACCTCGGATCATCACCTTCCTTTATTAGTCTTTAAGTTTAAATATATCTTAAAAATTTCTTAATGATTTGTCGTAACATTTTTTTTTTTTTGTGATGTATTTTTCCTTTTCTAACAAGCATACAGAATTAGCTATCTGGTTCAATGGGTCTGTTTGATGGTTAAAAGTTATATGATATATTATATAATTTATTATTTTAATATAATAGTTTATTATCAGATTCAATACTATTTACTTTTTTCATTTTCATGCCTTGTTTTGAATTTTTGCATTTAATTGCCAATAATAAGCTCCTCTCTTTCAAAAGTTATTTTTAACCATTCCCATCAAGAAAGGCTATCAGTATATAACGTTAAGAAATTTTTTTTATGGATTTTGGGAGTTTGATGCATCTTGTTCAAACTCCATTACTTCATTTATATTTTGCTAATGTTGGCCACACAATTCCAGCTGGTATAGTTGTATAAATTTTGCAATTGATTAGATTTTTTTGACAACATTTAAAACAATGCTTTATTTTCTAAGACCTATAAACATTATTTCCTTAGCACAAGTAACCATATTTTACATCTTTTAAGAACAGTAAAAAGTTTTGCGAATCTTCATCTGGTTTATTCTTGTAGGACTTAAAATTTTTATTTTTTACAGATTTGGTGTGCAGCTGGAGTCAACTTAGCCGGTGGCAGAACAAGGGACGGCGGAGATATTGTGGGAGCAAGTGTTTTTTATGATAAACCACCAGTAGTCGATGAAATAGTCAATAGCGAACCTGTTAGTCCTATCGAGCAGCTGGAAAAAGATATTCAAGTAATATTTTATTATTTATTTATTCAAGTAGAATAGAGCCTTTCATTAAAGTGTATATCCATAAAATTTGGACAAAAAGATGTAATGGAGGGAGGAGCAAGCATTCATTATATCAACATCGACAAATGAATGCTAAATTATTATACACTAGTGGCCAGTGTTTCAACTGCCTCCCGCAGTGCCACATCCTACGCCCTGAAGACGACCTGCAAAGTGGGTCGAAGCGTCGGCAAAAATTAAAATAATTAATATATTTTAATTTTTTATTTATTTGACCGCACCCTCGACTAACTCCTTCTCAGAATGCTAAATTAGTATTGCAGATCGATTCCTTTTTTCAATTTCATTTGCTAAATTAGTATTGCAGACCAATTCCCTTTTTCAGTTTCATTCTAATCTTAGTTCTTTAGTGATATGGTGTTTACTGGATAAGCACAGGAATTTTATTAAAACTTAAGAAATCCAAGGATTTTATGAAAAAAAAAAACCTACCAAAAACATAGGCTTGAATATACTGTTATTCAGAATCATTATTGATCACTAAAAAGTTTACATAATGGTGATGTAAAGTATACACGACAAGTCAAACATATTTATGGTGTATTTTTATAGATTTTTCATGATGAACCTACTTTTTTTTTTCAGCAATTGGTTATTTTTTTTCAATGATGTACTATCGTATAAAATTTGATGTCACCTATTATTTCCTACTTTTCATTTTATAAAAGAAAAAAGAAGGTCCTATAATATATTCAAGCTTAGTAGTCTATGGTACAGACTACTTTTAATTGAATTATTAACATCCACCTGAAATTTCATAAATGGTTTCATCTCATTGTAACCTACAACTATTTTATTTACGAAAACTCTTGGAATGGCGGTGTGTTCAATCTGGAGGAGGGCAAACTTTGTCTATTTAATTAGGTACTAAAAATTTGTAAATACGCATTTGCTTTCTACTTGAATCGTAAGATAATTTGAGCACAAACTCGAGAAAAAAGGTGGCCTTCAAAAATTTTGAGCCGTTTGGGTGACCTACAACCCAAAAATTACAAAATAACGAGGTTATATAGGACAAACATATATTTTTGTATTTTTTGTAGGCCAACTTTTTTATCTATTTTATGATCAAATTATCTGACTATCCAAGTAGAAAGCAAATGCGTATTTATGAGTTTTTAGTACATAATTAAATAGACAAAGTTTGCACCCTCCAGATTGAAATGTCTCAATTCCAAGAGTTTTCGTAAATAAAATAGTTGTACATTACGATGAGATGAAGCCATTTACGAAGTTTCAGGTAGATGTTAATAATTCGATAAAAAGGGATCTGTTCCACGAGCTGTAGTAAAGTACCAACTTATTTGGTTGTCCTGGTTCCCACTTTCCACATAAGTTCAGTGATATATTCTTATTTTATTTAATAAACAAATAAAATTACAAAATCTTGTATCTTACAATGTGTCTCTTTGTTTTGGAAATCAAAGAAAGATTTATTTATTTAAAAATGTAAGTTATGATCATTAAAACTGAATCCAGTTTCGGTTATGATAACCAATACTAGAGAGAGAGAATCACTTTATTATCATAAAATAGAATAAAATGGTGCTGCCCAATTATATTGGGTTGCTAACAACACAGCATACTTATTAATCACTACAGACATTATTTAAAATTATTATACAATTATACAGGAACAACAATATGTATGAGCATAGTATACAATATTTTATACGTATATATATATATATATATATTATTATTTTTTTTTTTCATTTTTTTTTCTCCTTTTTTTTATTTTATAATTTTTACTATTTCTTTCATTGATTTATTATCATTCTGTACCCTTTCTCTTCCTTCTCTCCCCCTATACATGTTCCCACTCCTCACATTCTCTCCTCTCTATTTCTAACCTAATACATAAAAAAAAATACATTAAGTACAGTGGACGTGTTCAATAAATAATAATATAAAAATGCTGTAACACACGCATGCCTCCCCCCGCGAGCAAACTCTCCCCCTATCCGCTCCCATGCACATGGTGGTGGATGATTCCCAGGGAGTCGAGGATTATATTCTCCGCCAACCTTGCCACGTCCTTTATGTCGACACCAAGGCCCTCCATGAAGCTCCTTGTTGAGTCTGGTATCGTTCCGCGAGCTCCGAACCAAAGGCCTCTCACGTGGAACTCTCTCGGCCCGAAACTCTCGCGGAACTTTTCACTAAGGAAAGGGATGCATTTCTCATATGTATGTTTTTTCTCCCTTTCCACTTTTTCTGCCTGATCGAGGTCGTAGGTCTCATATCTCACGGTCGGATCCAAAATCATCGCCGACTTTCCCGTCTTAGGGAATGCTACAATGTCGGCATATCGGGTGGATCCATCCGTATCTATACAATATACTTCCTCGAAACAGGCGTATTCTCTCTCTTCAAGGAGCCTCATCAGTTCATGCTTGACTCTGTGGTGACGGCGTGTTATAAGGAGGGAGTTGTTGGGGCATTTTCCAAGCACATGTGCTGGTGTTTCTGGCTCTCTGTCGCATTTGCGACAGAGGGACCCAACTTCTCTTACCTGTCCGCTGACACCTGGGACTCCACGCAGGGGAGCATAATTAATATTTAGTTTCAGGGCATTTGACCATTCAGACCCAGAAAGTACTTGCTTATCGTACATGTATTTATTGGCTTTCGGGGTCTCTTTAAAATGGCGAACTCCAATGCCCTGCCACCTGCAATTGGTCCATTCCTCAAACGAATTTTCTCGAAGCGACTGCCGTAGAGCTCTCATATTCCGAATACCCCGATCAACCCCCAATCTCTCGGCACATTCATCAACCTCAGCCGAATAATCAAAGATCGACTGAAAAAGGGCATCGGGCACATTGGACAGTCGCTGAGCAATGGACCAATGTTGTAGAGGAGCCTCCCATTGGCAGCGGATTAATCCTAATCCTCGATACCTCCTGGGAGCGTATAACATCGCCGTGGAGGTGTTCGCAGGGAGTCCAACAATAGCCTTCACACTCCTGCGAATCATGGTGTCGATGCCGTCAAGTACGGCAGGACGCAGCTTTGTGAGGGGCGCAGTTTGGAGAGGGTAAGTAAGACCCGGGAACAGATATTGGTTGACAATGTTTAGCTTCTGCTCCGGCTTCAGCAAGGGAGAGGTTACCAGTTTATTCAGGTTTTCGTTCAGTTTGGTCACCGAATCTTCGTTGAACTGTAGCTCTCCCGAGAATGTACATCCTAAATACTTGATTGTATCTCCATTCTGCATTGTTTGGATGTACTCTCCGTTCTCAAGGGAGAGCATCGCGGTTTCCAGCTCTCCTTTATTTAGAACGATGCCCACGCTTTTTTGAGGATTAATAGCCAAACCAATTCCCTCAAAGGTCCTCTGAACGCTGCCGATCACTCTTTCTGCAGCCCCCTTGTCACGCGCTGACACGGCCTGGTCATCCGCGAAACCTGTGAGGACCACACAACCTTGGTCACTTTTTAACTTGTATCCAAGTTTTTTGGAAAATTCTTCATCGCACAGGTCGCGATAGAGATGGTCAATGGCCAGGTTGAAGAGCGACGACGACAAGGGGCCGCCTTGGGGTACCCCGCGCAGCACTTTGATTTGGCTAGTTGCGTGAACACCGTTACTAATTTTGATCGTGTTCGTGCAGAGGAGAGCCGATATAACGTGTTGAAGATCCGGCGACACACCTCTTGCTTCCAAGGAGCTCACGATATGATTGTGGCCAACATTGTCAAAAGCACCGACAACGTCAAGGAATACCACCGCACAATCTTTTCTCATAGTCTTTGCATCTTTCAATACAGCGTCGATAATCCTTGCGTTGACGTGCGTTCCCGGGAGGCCTTTTATAAAGCCTCTTTGATTCCTGTGGAAGGTGACCTGTTTTCTTAATTCGTGGTCCAGAACCTTCTCTATGATTCGGCGCACAATAGAATAAATGGTGATGGGTCTCCAGGAAGGGATTTTGTTTACATCACCTTTCCCCTTATATATTAGTACTGTGCGCCCTTGTCGAAGTGGTTCTGGGACATAGGCCACCTTCAGCATTATCTCTGCAATTGTTCTAATAATATTTGCAACATCAAAATATTTAATCGTGCGGATCAGAACTCCATCAGGCCCCGGCGATGTGTCCATTGATGTTGATTTAATGGCTTTCTTGACGGTTTCTACATCAATGGACACTAAATTTGGCATCGGGGCACACTGCTCGTAATCCGCACGCCTGCAGAGATTTTCGCTCTCAAAGAGGTCTTTATAATATTTCTCGATATCAGCCATCTTTATAGGACACCTCTTAGGAGCATCGGCATTCATAACAGTTTGCACAACTTTCTTTCTTTTATTGTAATAATTGTACTGTGCAACTTCGTATTGATACTGCTCCTGCCGACGACTCCTGTCTACCTTGTTCGCTCTTTGCGGATTTAAGACTTGTCCAGCACCCTTATCAGCCACTTTAGTTTTATTTTTTTTTCTCCTGTAAAATTTAACGGCTGGGTGCTGGGGACCTGGCAGTTCCGCATTGATATTCTTGAGAAAATTCAGGAACTTGCCTACGGCCTCATCAAAATCCGCAATATTCATTGTGTTTTCTTTTAAGAGATTCTTGAACACGGTAGACCATCCAATAATGTCCTCTTTTATTTTTGATACCTCACCCTCTCCATTTTTTGGACCTATAACATTTTTTACTATGCCCCTCAGTGTATTGGTGTTAGCCTCCCTGGGGTGCTTTTTCGCAATATGGGTTCCAAGACCTCTTTCACCCTTAAAAGAAAGCCCACATATGGGACAAACTTTATTATTATTGCGTAGAACTTCCTCCCCATGCTCCCCGCTCGCCCCTGCGACATTCTGTGGAACATTTGGGAATGCTGGGAAGACATCATCTATCGAAAGTGTCTTTCCCAATAGTACACCTTCTGTGTCTGGCCATTCGACTCTTACAATTTTCTTTTGGCCGCCTTCCGCGGCATCCACAGACATCACAGAGGCAACAACAGCCTCCTGAGCAGGTCCTTCTGTCCTCGGAACCCATACTTTCTGACCAATTTCGATTTTTCTCATTATTTTTAGGTCCATTCAAAATACAATCTATTTATTCGAGGCCATGTATACCACACGCATGATTACAATAAATTATTTTAAGGAGAATTAATATATAAATAAAAATAAATAAATAAAAACTAAACGAGAGAGACATGCATATATGCCAACATTAACACTTAAGTATTAGATAAATATGTTTAAAAAGAGCTAAAATGTAAAATGTATAAAGCTAAAAAACAATTGAGATCTATAAAATCAATTGCTTAAAAATAACTTAAAATATAAAATCGAGAGAATCCAAGTTATAATAAAAAAAAAAGTTAATTAATAGGTTAAAATCTATAGAATCTATTGCACAAAATCAAGTTAAAGTATATCAAACAAATAATGGTAAAATAATCTAAAATTTAAAATCAATAGAAACCAAGTTATACTGTTAAAAGTTAAATTTAATCTTAAAACTAAGCTAAGATATAAAATGAAGTTAAAATATACAAATCAATTGCTTAAAATTAAGTTAAAATATATCAAATAAGTAATGGTAAAAAGTTAAAATCTATAAAATCAATTTTTTTAAAAACAAATTAAAATATACAATTAATATAATCTGAATAAAAAATAAAAGATTAATAAATACGTTAACAATTGAGAACAAGTTAAAATATACAATCAATAAAATCTTATTTAAATAATAATAAATTAATAAATGAGTTAATGAATAAAAACAATTTAAAATATACTGTTAAAAAAAATTAAATAAACTTTAAAAAAAAAACATACCCACGTCCACTGAATAAATAATAAATAAAATTTAATAAATAAATCAATTGATAAAGCTGATATGTATATATATATAATTTTTTTCCCTAAATAAGAGAGCAGAGAGAGAATATAGAAAATCAATGAAACAATGGATAAGGTTAACAAAATAGGTTGGGCTCTTTCGGTGACAGCTGTTGGTATTGATAAGACGCCACTGACCTTGCTGGATGGAGGCGGCCGCTGTGAGGTGGAGGGGGCCGACAAGTCCTGTACTGCACAGTGATAAGGACCCCGGTCCCACAGGCACGTTGAGTTTTTTTTACCTCCTGGTCCTGGCGAAGTTCTTTGCTTGATTTTTTCGAAATTCAAGCAGCAGGTCTCCAGCGTACGTCCTCGGTCATATGTCAATTTTTGGCCTGATTGGGCGAATAAAACCCTATTAAAAGGGAAACTGCCGTGGAGCCGATGTGTCCCTGTCACCGGCTAGAGACGAACTATAATAATAATTGTCAAATTAATCTATTATTACATACAAACTTTTTTTGATAAAATTAACCTGTTAATTGTTGCATCTAGGAGGGCGAGAAGCAGAGAATGGAAAGCCAGGAGCAACTTTCCTCCTTAGTTTGGATCTGCACTAGCACTAGGTCGATCAGCTACGTCACCGTCATAGACGCCAACAACCCGGCCGATATCCTGGAAGCTTTTAGTGTTTGCCCATCCCATCTCCTCTGTATTGCAAGCGTTCCTGGTTAGTTCTGTTATTTTTCATTTCTATACAAATATTGATTTTTTATTTATTTTTATTTTGTATAAAGAAAGAAACAGTATGGGTATGACACATCATACTTAGACTACCGGGAAGTACAAACGAATTATGCTCCTTTCTATTCCATTAAAGCAGTGCTCAACTGCCTTTAGTCACTGCGTTAGGCGGTATCAGCAACATAACACCTTTACATTAATGTAATCAGCAGTTTGGTTACAAGAAATTCAACTTTTGATTCTACTAAATCATTAACAAGTAACTACAGTCAAGGGAATTGCTCAAAATGAGCACCATACTGAGAAACAAAAAAAAATAATAATTATCCGTGGATAATAAATTAACACAACTTTTAATTATAACCATCAATGTCACAAGAAATAAACACAATAGAGATTGCCGTTTCCATCATTTTTATCATTGGGAAAAACAATTGTTTCAAATATTCTAAAAATCAAGGTTGGACAACATATCAAGAGGGGTTGGAGTAAAGGGGGGACTTGCAGCAAATTTCGATTGAATTTTTTTGCTCAAGTGAGAAGGAAAGGGGTCTGTTTCTCATATAATTGTTTTTTTTGTTTTACTTAATTCAGTCAATAAAACAATTTATTATATAATGGTAATAGTCTCTAGATCGATAACGGACAAATTGGGCTATGAAGATTTTGATGCATACGCCAACTCCAAAAATGTACTTTCTTCGAGATAATGCTAGGCAAAGGGTTTGCATCCACACAACCTTTCGTTCATGGTAAGCCAAATCATTGTTAATTCTTCATCAAATCCACAAGAGTGAGTCACCAAGTATATAGTCAAAAAGTTATGAAAGAAAAGAAACTTTACTTGGAAATAACTAAAAAATTACACACTTTTTCCTTGGTTATAGCCATGATTATGTAAAATAATACTAAATTCCCTACAAAAGTAAAAGAAAAAATCTTTGAAATCGGACAATTATTAGCTAAAATACAGCTTATTGAAATTTGCAAACATGTTTCCAAACTAATGAAAACAATATATAAAAATGAAATTTTTCTTTTTCTTTGTCGATTAGATTTAGTGAAAAAGTAGCAATTCATTTCTCTATGTTATGATACGTTGCATTTTATTTTATTTTCTTATCAATTTGTCATTTGATCACTGAACAATATACTGTGAAAATTTTTCGCACGAGCCTACTAGTTTTATAAAATATAGAATGAATATCATAATCATTATAAAAGAGATTTTCTTTTATTATAAGCTCTCACACGATCTTTATCCAACTTGTTTAATGAAAGATCTTTGTCGAAGAACTTCTGCCAGTTTTATTAATCTGCTAGTTGAATTTTCATTTGAAATGTATAACTTCTCAATATAATCATTTCAATTTTGGTTATGTCCATGATTATATAAAATATTACTAAATTTCCTACAAAAGGAAAAAAAAAATCATTGAAATTGGACTATTATTAGCACAAATACAGCTTATTGAAATTTGTAAACATGTTGGTTCCAAACATTAAAGAAGTTTTAAATTAATTTTGGTTTCTTTTGTCCGTTATATTTAGGAAGAAAGTAACAATTGATTTCTTTTATGATATGTTTATTTTCTTATTAATTTATTATTTCATCACTGAACAATATACTGTGCGAATTTTTGCACCGGCATACTAGCTTAAAATATTTCTTCAATATCAAATGTGAGGTAACTTAGGTGCGCGCTAATGCATTTGTAAAACACATGTTGTCCGTCATCCAGATGAAGGAGTAACCGAAGTTTATTAGATCCAAAATAATTATGAGTTCGGGTTCCGGTGCCAGGAGAGCTTTTAACTCTGCCATTGATTCTCCACCCTCTTCCCTGGAAAACCCCTGTATAGCCTTTAAGGTGAGTTAGGGATGGACTGGGGAGAGGACAATAGAGATAACTTATTTTAGCAGTTAATAAAATGAAAGACTTTTCTTATGCAAGTTTTTCCAAACCTAAATTGATAAATGTGCACTGCTTAGCCCTTTCAGTAAGCCAATGTAAAGAGGTCATCTTCTACCTGCCGAGGTTATTTTCTGTAGGACTGCGATGCAAATTTTGTTTTTAGAATGAGCACGAGTTGAAGGAAATCCCCTAAAGAATCTCCTAAAAAAAATTCTCTGTAACTTAATGTTACGATTCGTCATACTATTTTTAAATGGCATTTGATTAAAGTTTCACTTCATTTCTTTTCTTCGAGAATGCTAGATCCAATGCCGAGAGTCAAGAATGCAATTTTGTTACAAAATGGCGCAGCTGGTTAGAGGTTTCATATACTGTATCTTGGTCACTTCATTAAATTTCCATAATTAAAATTTTATTTTATTGTTTTTTTTATAAATATGTTGATTGTCGACAAATTCTTGAATTAGTCATAAATTTCAATTACCTAAATTGGCAGATAGATACGATGAAAGCAGATTTCTCTTTTGAAATCAGATAGAAAGCAGATTGAAAAGCAGATTTTATAACCTTTGATAAATATTTAATGTTTTAGGAGCTTGCGAAAGTGATTATCCTCATACAGATGTCGAAGTTCCCGTAAACCACGAGGAGCCTGTCGAAGAAAACAACGATCCTAACAAAAATGAGCAGAATGGGGAGGTTGAAGACAATAAGAACGAGGAGCAACAAATTAATGAGGAGAACAAGAATGAGACTAAAAAGAGTGAAACCGACGAGGGAACGATCGGTAGGATAATGTTCGTGAGCTGCGCCACCGGCAGTGAAGACACCAGTGCCCTGCCTCCCGCAGCACCCCCTACCGAGTCTGTTCCTGAGCCGATGGACACTAATGCAAATGGTAAGCGATTTATATAGTCGAGTCTAGTCTAGTGCATTTTCATCATGTTAATCACTTTTTTCTTCTCCACTGTGGATTTTTTGTTTATTTTTTTGTATTATTAACCACTCGTCTTGTGCTTAAGTTGGCTGGATTATACTCAGTGCTTTTAATTTGGATATAACCTTATTATTTTGCTGTATTGTGCCTATTTGTTGCTGTGTTTTTGTTGGGGTGATGGTTTTCTTTTTGAAATTATATTATTAACTCTCATTTAATTATTACCATATAATTTGACTAAAAGAAAACAAACCTAGTCTATGTTGTAAATAATTTAATCATTTATATTTACTGTTTTTATAACCATCTTGTCTAGTATTTCGTTCTAAATTGTTGGTTTTTCTTTCATGGTTAATATCTTTATCTTTAGTTAAATTAGAACTTAATTCTGATTTCATAACATACCTGGATAATGATCTAATAAATAACTACATAACTTAACTAATTCAAATTTATTATTTAGAATGTTAATTTATTTTTTATCAACTTATTATATTGTGAGTAACCCTTTCCAACCATCATCTTTGAATTTTGCAATACAACTTGCTCAGTATTTACAGTTAGGATACTAAGATTTCTTAGATGATTCAAATATTTAAACGATAAATTTTCTTAGTTGTAAATTGGTTTTATTTTCATTAAATCATCATTATTTATTTAATTGTTCTTTAACTGCATATCTCTGCAATGGGAGATTTTTTTTTTTTTTTTTATCAGAACAGTCCTGGTGTTAAGGGGTAGTCTTAACATTAACTGTAAGGTAGGGAGTATTGGAACATGCATTGGTGAGAGAACTAGTGCAGCATATGGGTCTCGTTCTTTTTGCTATCCTCTGTCTGACGGCTTCTTAGAGTTAAAGTGTTTAATTTTCTCGAAGCCATCGAAAAATAAATATTTGTTGATCCAGGTGGGAATTAAATCTACAACATTCAGAACCAGGCACTCTGGGATATTCACTCTAACATGCTCGAGCTATGAATCACTTGTATTGGATAGCTACTAAGTAATGTAACTAGTTTTTTATTTATGCCAATAGTCACCAGAAATTCTTTTTATTTGACTGGCAAACCGTAATTAGGCAGAATAAACTGTGAAAATAAAACAAAAAATGATTTTAAGATTTTAACTAAAGATTATTTTTTATGTTAAAATGAAGATGCATAATAGACTTTAAAATTACTCTGGATAGCTGAAAAGTAAAATAAAAAAAGGAAGGTATGTGCTTTAGACTACACAATAGAAGTGTAATCATCAACAAGGCGAGATTAATAATATGAAATATAAGTTATAAGTAATAGCTCATTATTAAGAGGATTAAAAGCTGAATATTTCCTTCGCTTTACAGTATGCAGGTCCGATTTTTAGTTTCTGAGATATTTTAATCCATATCTTCCATAAAATTCGTTAAGATACAATTTGAATAATTGTCCATTACAGAGAGGATAAAATGTTGAACATTCACCTCGCTAGCAATCTGCTCGTCTGATTTTTAGTTATCGAGATATTTTAATCCATATCCAAAAACACTTCAATTAGTCGACCCCAGCTGACTTTACCGGAGTATTAAACATCGGAGATCTAATGGCTTAATCTCATTCACTCTCTACAAAAAAGAGCAAACTTCTTTTGAAGTTTGCATTTAAAAAAAATCTGTTGTGTCCACTCGCACGACTATCCTACCTATTTCAGACAAGTTTTTATATCTTTACATATGTTCATGAAGAAACAAAAAAGAATTGAACTAAATTTATTTTCCTGAAAATTAATCAAACAAAAGATTTGAGTACGATTTATTTGATAAATTAAGGCAATGAAACTTAAGGTAGATCAGTGTAAAAATTTCAATACTCACTAATATTGCTAATCAAAAACTTTTTGCCATAGCTTAGTATTTTCAAACAATAATTTCTGTTAAAAGTAGAGGAAATAGTGAAGGTTGTGTGATGCGGGCAACAGAATTTCTTAATTTCACTTAGTCATCTTTTCTGACACCAGGAAATGAACTCATAATCTTTCATTGGGAATTGAATCGCTGTAACTTCATTAATAGTTGTCCAAAATGAACAATTTTTATATGGCTTTGTAGGGAATTTAATTTTTTGGACTCAGGGGGCTGTGAAACGTATAGATCCGTCGAAAACCGCATTTCAGAAATTTGACCCGATTGCAATACTTTCCTTACCTAGTTTAGGTAGGAAAGTAAAAAAAAGAAATGTAACATAAATAAACATAATTGATGGTAACTATTAGCCTAAAATTGATTAAATAATAAAAACTATATTGGCTCCAAAGTCAACAAATATGGCTGGAAAATAAAATAGATTCATGCTGTTATAAATTTCTGTGTGCAGATACTGCAATAGTATTAATTCTGCAAGTTATGTAGTTTAAACATTCGCTGCCTGCTGAATATTAATGAAAGTACTGTGGTTGGAAAGAGTTGATGCATTATGATTTAGTATTATTTTGAAATTGTGAATTTTCCAAAATATATCAAGTCGATAGTTAAAAAAATATTGTCAATGGTTGTAACTAATTTTAAACAAATTATTATTCAGATCAAGTTTACATTTATTCTAAATAAAATATTTTGATTATGGATTGACAGTGTGCTACCTTCATTGGCTATTAGTATTGCATTTTGATTTTATATTTTAGCTGTATTAAATATGTAGATTTACAATGACTATATTGTATAGTATTTGCATTTTTTTTTTTATTATTTTTATTTATTTTTGTAAATATTAATGTTACATATTGCCATTTGTTTACTGACATCTTTAAGTGTAATTGTTTTAAGTACCTATTGTAATTGAAATAAATTAAAACTTATAATTGTTACTTTAAACTGGATACTAGTTCATTGAACATGTGTCGAAATTCTTGAATAATTTACTTTATTTAATGGGAATATATTTTTAGACACCTGAAAACAATCTATTAGGATCTAAACTAAGTAACCTATGTTAAACCATAAGGTAAATATCCTAGGAGTAGACTGAAAATCATTTGAACTTGTAAATTTAGGTTGTCTTTAGGTTCATTAAAGGCAAGTAATTATTATTTTTGTCTAATTATGTCCTTATGTGAAGTAAAAGGTTTTCCATTTTATTTTTTAACTATGGGTTTTTAGGACATGCTTTTATGGTTGTGCTTTTAGCCATCAATATTTATTTTAGCTCCCTTGAAAATATTTATTTTATTTGTATACTTTTTTTTTAAGTCAAATTATTTTTGTTTGTTTTAACTTTTGGAGGTCTTTTCTTCTAAATGCTTCTTCTCTTAGATGTTTTTGTGGAAGGATTTCTTGCCAGAGCGTATTGTTCACTGTTTCACATCGAATACAGTGGTTGAAAAAATATAATGCGTTTTGATGTTTAACCGTCAAGCTCTTTTTATAAAAGAGATGCTCTGAGATAATATTCAGAAGAACGGTGAGTGTACTTGCACAAGTATAAATTAAAAATATGTCTGAATAATTTCTCTTTTCTGCAAAATAATTTACTGGAAGTTCAGATTATTGGGATTACACTGTATTTTGCTTCCAATTAAATTGAAGTATGTTTTTTAGCTATGGAAATTGGCTTTTCTATTTTATTTTCTTTAAGTTTTACTATGTTTAGTAATCCTTTCTTAGATATCCTCTTAAACAAATAGATCTGTTTATGGATGGTACTGGGAGTTTTCATGAATATTATTATCCTCTGTTTTTGAAGGTGTTCTGATATTAATCTTAAGTCTTTTGTTATAGATTGCTGTTTATATCCTATTTTGGCAATGTGGTTGTACTTCTAAATGCTGTTCTAAATATAATCATCATATTCCTTCATTCATTTTTTTAAGCATCATTCATTCTTTTTTTTTTCTATTGATGGTTCTAAAAGAATTTTAAAAAAGAATAATTTAAAATTAATAAAAAATTTTTATTAAAAAACAAACATAAACATGATAATATAATAAGTATGAAGGAACGGTAATAATTTTTAACATAGATCAAGGAGTTTGAATGCTTGATACCACTACAGAGAATTATATAATTACTATACCCAAAATTCTCAATATCCAACTTTATGCTATCTTTCCACTTATGTTTTGTTCATTGTTTAACCTGATAAATTTTCTTTTTTAATTTCAATCACTTAAATTCAAAGGAAATTATTCTATTTATGGGATACAATATTTATTCTGTTACTATCTTACTTGATGCTTGTACCTCTTTTAACATGTCCTAATAAATGTTCCTTGTGTTTTTGTCATTAATTTGGTGTTGGAGTTAGGCTATCTATCTTTTATTAGATGTTATTCTTGAACAGTTAACAGTTCAATTTTTATCTAATGAGTTTAAAATATGTCATAAGTTTTGTTCATTACATAGAAGTGTTATTGGATTTACATTTTTTTTCAGTTAAAAGTTTTCAATCAGTAAAAAGTTCAATAGGGGATTATCCATAAATAATCAAAAATATTTAAAGATATGATATTTACTTTAGAGTCTAAAATAAATAAGCTTAGATTTTCTTCTCGTTTAAAATAAAAAAAATTATTAATTATATAAAGCTTATATTTCATTTTTCTAAAATTCCATTTATTTTATAAGTAAATTTCATCTTGTTCACTTTGATGTAATTTGTAATTACTTAAATTTAATAGTTTTTTTTAAATTATCGCTTCCTATTTAACAAAAACACAACTTTTAAAAAACCGTAAGTTTTGAATTTCCTGCTTTTCTGAACATAATAGAATTATGGTTTATTTATTTGTTTGTTCCTCGAGAGATTTACTATCAGTTGTTTAAATATTTCTCATTATTTACAGTCCATTCTGTATATTTTGTGTTAATAGCTTTGTTATGTGTTTATTTTATGTTATGTTTTAGTATGTGACTAACATTAATGATATTAGTCACTTGTTTTTTCTTTACTATATTTTAAATTTGTCATTTTCTATAGTTATTTACCCTAACATGTATCGTCAGAAGTACATATTTATATTATTGGGTCTGATTTGGTTTTGAAAGTTGTTAGAACTTCTCATTTTATTTTATTAAATATCCTGATTTTTTTTAGTCAGTATTTATAATCTTTGCTTATCTGTTAAGCAGAAGTCGAATTCTTCTGAAAAATAAATTGGGTTTCCTAAAAGCAGTCAAAATAATCATACTAATTTTTTTATTAATCAATAAACAAATTTTCTTTCTAAAAAGGGTTGATTGCATGAACTCCGACAAATAGTAATCTGAACAAATATGGTGGATTTTGTGGTTCATTTGTTGTATGTATTTTTTTTGGAATGTTTAATCCGGCATTCCTGTGGATTAAATATCACCATTTCATGTTAATTGACATATGTTGATCACTGTTTGAAAAACCATTAAATAGTTTCTTACAGCGCAGAAGATTTTGAGTCTTAAGCTTTCATAAGCTGCCCTGTATGCTTCTTGCCTATACATTAGAGACATCTAAGAGATTTGGGTTTCGATTTTTGGTTTATTATTTTCACTAATCAACTTTTGTAATCGACCAAGAAAAAAAAAAATGAACTCCCCTCAAAATATAAGGTTTTACATTTCAGGATATGTAGAATTAAAAAATCAAACACAAAAAATATGTCCGGTCTGCTGTATGCGTACGTAGTCTGTGGATTTTCTCTGAGATTACTGTACCGAAAAACTTGTGTCGCTATAGTCTATAGGGCACGGGAAAGTACCAGTTTCAATGAAATTTGGCCAGTGTTTTCTCCTCAAACTCCTTTTAATGTGTGCATGTAACATACTTCACTGAAAAGTACTTTCCTTTCAAGATGGCAGCCAAAAAAGTTATACTGTACAGACTATAGCTCCTAAAGAAATGTACCGATTTCAATTAAACTTGGCTAAACTCTCCTATTTCAAAGCTCTTTAAATTTATCTATATAACACACTTTGCTGAAATGAAGCTGGAAAATAACATATGAGGGGTGGTAAAATTATATTTCCAAACAACTCAAAAAGTATACCCTTTTTTGTCAATGTTGTAATGCTCTTTTTAAAGTTTACAAAATTTCTTAAATAATTGTTGAAATTGGATGATTCGGTGCAAACTTATGTTGTTCTAAATATGTACCACATGTCCTACTTCAAAAGTAGTTGTTTTTTTATTTATTTGTCCTCCTCACCTTTTTCGGCTAAATGGGGGTTTTCTCTGGCCAGGGAAGAGGGCTGGCGATCAAAGCCATAGTTTAGATACGGACTTGTAATTATTTTATCAAGTTGATCTTCAGTTGTCAGGTTGATATCGTTTGTTTGTTTTGAATTTTGGAAAGTCTTACATCAACTGAAGCAGTAGAGATTGTTTCCTATATTTCTTAGCAAATTACTAATGGCGAAGAAACAATTATTCAGGCCATTATTAATAATCATCTTTTATTTATTTTCTTCTAAATGACAAAGGAAATAGTATTACATTTATAACTATTTGGAAATAATAATCCATTTTGTAATAATTTGCAGCATTTTCAAAGAAAACCAGGCCCGTTAAGTTCCTTTTATGGGTATACCCAAAAATGACAGAATAATTAGTATAATTTACGTAGCTATATAATATTTTATTTTAATTTTAATAAGATTTTTTCAATTTTATGATTTTCTATCCTCATTGTTATTTGCCATTCTTGAGAGTCTTACATTAATGATATTGGTCATTTATTTATCATTAACTGCATATTGCAAATTTATATTTATTTATTTTTTATAAATTAAGACCCTTAGATATATTTATAGAAGTCAGTAAACAGATGACATGAGTTGGCTTAGCAAGAGTGTTGTCAGTATATGTTATCATGTAGAAATCCTTGGCACGCCGATAAGGCGACATCGCCTAATCAAACATTTGACGGAGGGTTTGCTCAAGGATGGCGTTAGCTCTGGACCTACAGGTAATTGTTATTGCTTGCTTAACATCTATCTCTTTTTATAATTTCTATCTTTTCTTCCTTCTTTATGTGGCAACTTTAAAAATCTGTCCACTTCTATTGCATGGCATTTCAAGCTTTTATATATATATATTTTTTTTTTTGCATATTGAAATTGAGAATAATATTAAATGTTGTAGTAATTAATTGGATGTGAATTTTTATTATTTATATTGTTTAATAAAAAGATTATAATTGATATAAAGTTGACCATTAGATGCAAAAAAAATGCATTCTTAATTTTCCGAATGTGCTCTATATACTTGATTTGTTATGAATATTTTTAATTAAAAGATAATTAATGTGTTCAATTAAAATGAGGTTTTATGTATATATGTATTTATATAATTAAATTTTCTTTTAATTATTTATTCATTAAAAAAAATTATATTTAAAGTTCTAATGATTTCTACATCATTGTTTATCTACATTATTAAAAATATAAATTTTCATTCGTTCAAAACTTCTGATCTCTTCTACTAAGTTCTTCACCAGCTGCTTTGAAATTTTGAATTCAGGAGTGTTTTTATATACATTTCATAATATTTTGGCCTTTCCTTTTGAAAAGATGGCCGAAAAACATGTGTCGCTATAGACTGTAATAGCTGTTACAATTTTAGTGAAACTTGGCTAAAATCTTCTCCTTCAAGATCTTTTATTTTATGTACATAACATGCTTCCCCAAAAAGAGGCTAAAAAAAAGGTTACGATGGATTTAAATTTGTATTTTTACAAATAACTCAAAAACTACACAATGTTTGGTGCATTAAACCGATGTATATTTGAAAGCTTTCTGGATTCCGTACAGAATGAAAAAAAAAATTATCGTAATCGAAAAGAAACATCTTTTTTCTTTTTTCTGGGAAGTTGTCTAATATTCTTAGTTATTTGGCAATAATTAATTCCAATTAGCAACAATTGAATATATTTCTTGTATTATCAACATTACATGTTAACAAGTTTACGTTTCGGGATATTTACTCCCATCTTCAGAACTACAATCCCAATGATCTTGTAGATTCAAGGCTTAAAAATAATAATAATGTGCTCCATCATCAAATTTCTAATTCATGTTATAAAATATATCATCTAGAACAACATTTTATTATCAACGTTACATGTTAACAATTTTACATTTCGGGATATTTACTCCCATCTTCAGAACTACAATCCCAATGATCTTGTGGATTCAAGGCTTAAAAATAATAATAATGTGCTCCATCATCAAATTTCTAGTTCATGTTATAAAATATATCGTCTAGAGCATATATATTGTTACTCTAGATGATATATTTTATAACATGAACTATGAATGGAGCACATTATTATTATTTTTAAGCCTTGCATGCACAAGATCATTGGAATTGTAGTTCTGAAGATGGGAGTAAATATCCCGAAACGTAAAATTGTTAACATGTAACGTTGATAATACAAGAAATATATTCAATTGTTGCTAATTGGAAGTAATTATTGCCAAATAACTAAGAAAAGAATCTTATGTCTAATAAAATATTTTTATTGCATTTTTTAAAATATTTTCTTCAGTTGCTAATTTTTTAGAAGAGCCTTTATTGTGACTAAATTATGTTTTAAATATAGCTATAATACTAGTTAAATATTGAAATGAAGCCATTTGTACCGACCAAAGAAACGGAGTAGTTTAAATTATTTTTTTAAAGAGAAACCAAATTGAGATTGATATTTCATATCTGGAAAAACTCTCTCAAATATGAATTTTCATATCTATCAAAATATAAAAATTGTTTGCCTCAAATTTTCACGGAGTGAGCAAAGTTGGTTCAAATATTTTTCTGGAAAAAGTGCGTATAAAAGTGAATATACATTTGTATAAGAGTAGAAAAAAAATGTTAGAGGCAAATGCACCAATAGGCATTTATCCTACTATTGACATCTCTCCAAGCCATCCAAAAACACAATGAAAGAAAACAGGAGAGGAAGGTTATACTCAATATAATGGGACTACTCACTACTATCTCGTTAAAAAAAATTGCTAATGATTTGGATTAAATATATATTAAAAATAGCTTCTATTGCCAAAAACAGGTTCTTGGACAGCATTTAAGTCGGGAAATGCAAGAAGATAATTTTATAATAAGTTAAAGGTAATTTTTGTTAATCTTAAAATGAAGAATATGATATTTTCATTAATTACACCCTTTTTCTCATCTCTGTCAGTTATAGAAACATTTCAAATCAAACAGTGTCAGCTACTGGTGCAACATAACTGTTCTCTTAATTTTCAATTTTTTTTTTAAAGTTAGATAAATGTTACCAACACTGTCATCACCACATATACTGATGACACATTTATCCTATCTGTTAATAACAATCTATCTGTTAATAACAACCATCTATTGCATCCCAAACCCTTCAATCACACATCACAAGTCTTGAAAAGTGATGTCAAAACTGGAGGATTAAAATAAATTCCATCAAATTACCTTCACTCTTCATCGTAAACCTATGACTTCCTGTCCTACAGTATCCTTCAACAATAGCCCTCTTATCCCTGTCGAACAAATCCGATACTTAGGACTCCACCTTGACAAACGACTCACTTGGAACCCCCATACCACACTGAAACGACTAGAAACCGCCTGACGTTTTCGACTACTGCAGCACTTACTAGACAAACGCTCTAAGCTTTCAATCAATTACAAACGACTCATATATATGACAATAATAAGATCTTTTTGGACTTACGGAATTGAGCTTTGTGGCTCCACTAAACCATCGAATTCCTCTCGTATCCAATCCAAAATCCTTCGTAAAATCCTCAACACTCCTTACTTTGTCACAAATAAAATCATCCATAAAGACCTTAATGTTCCATATGTTTCCAATTTGGCCCAATCCAGATACCTATCCTTCCATAACAAACTGCAGAACCATCCGAATCCTCTCGTTTCAAACCTCGCTTCCCCTCGATCTCTGATAACCCTCCGAGGCGTCTGAAGAGAAGATGGCTTCGGGACCTTCTAATGTAGAACTTTAATTTGAGTTCTACCAATGGGTAGTTTCTCTTCATGTTGTACATGTCATGTTACCAATGTCACATTTACTTGTTGTATTTTCCATGTAATACAGTTATGAAATTTCATTAAAAAAAAAAAAAAAAAAAAGGATAAATGTTACATAGATTTGAAATATGTCTTGTTAAGGTGAGAAATAGTTATATAAAATGAATCCACGATAAATACAATAACATCAATATTTAAGTTTTTACACATAAAAAATCAAAGAAATTTTTATTATGTCATATTCTTAATTATGTCAGCTACTGGTGCATTTATTCTAAATATAAAATGAATTTGTTCATTCAGAAACTAAGCTTTAGAAAAAAAAATCTTAGTAGTTATTAATAAATTAATTAAAAGATTACTTGCTTTTAAAATTGATCAAATACAATCCTCTCTTTAAAATTGATTTCTAACTTTTTTTTTAATTTTTCATTCATTTATTTTCTTAGCCCTATTAAACAAACATCTAAAAAACAAAAACATTAACAAAAAATAAATCATTTTATGTTTCAGATAATGAAATAGCTAGTGAGGAGTTGGAGAAAATGAGCAGTGTGCTTCCGACAATGTGGCTCGGAGCTCAAAACGGTTGTATTTTTGTCCATTCTGCAGTGCGGCAATGGAAGAGGTGCCTGCATTCAATTAAACTCAAAGATTCTGTTTTGAGCATTGTGTAAGTTTAAAATTGTCTAATACTTTAATTATCAATATCGAATTGTAATGTTTGAGATATAACCCTTAAGTTAATTTCTTGATAAGGTTCGTCATGTGTGTCGTTTATTTCCAAAGCAAACCCTATTCATCAATGATTTGTCTTCAGAAAACATCAACAACAACAACTGCATATTTTTAAAACTAAAGAAATCTTTTCAGTTGGGATATAAAAACTTTTTTTTTTCATTTTAAATAAATTTAAAAAACTCTTCATTTGTAGCACATGTTTCCAAAAACTGCTGTTTTTCTTTTTTTTTATTAATTAAAAATTAAAATTTTAAATAGAACCTCTTCTGGAACTAATTAATTTTTAAGAATAAATTTAACTTTTTTACTAATTAAACTGGTTCTAAATTCGAATTTCGAACAAGATTATAGGTTTGATATTTGAAAGTATGGTAGGGGTTCAGTTCAGTAAGAAAATAATGTATTTTATGAAAAAATATATATATATATATATATATATATCGAAGAGAAGAATAGTTGGGGTGATCAGTCAAATAAGAAGGCAAAAATAAATGATAATATTTATTTTGACATTTGCCGGCGTTTCGACCTGAAGTTCAGGCCATGATCAAGACTAAGGAAAGAACCAGATAACAAGGTATGAGAAACATAAAAATTAAAGTAAAATGCAGTTGTTAGAATAATGACAATAGTAAGAACAAGAGACAAATAATAATAACAAGTACAAAGTGTGGAATGATGAAGTAAACATAGTCAAAAAGGTGACATAAGTATTGTAAAGGGAATCTTAGAATAAAATGTAAACAGAAAAATATGAAGTTATATAAGAAATGGAAATAAATAGTAAAATTAAGATTTTATTATTTATTTCCATTTCTTATATAACTTCATATTTTTCTATTTACATTTTATTCTAAGATTCCCTTTACAATACTTATGTCACCTTTTTTACTATGTTTACTTCATCATTCCACACTTTGTACTTGTTATTATTATTTGTCTCTTGTTCTTACTATTGTCATTATTCTAACAACTGCATTTTACTTTAATTTTTATGTTTCTCATATCTTGTTATCTGTTTCTTTTCTTAGCCCTGATGATGGCCTGAACTTCAGGTCGAAACGTCTAAAAATATATATCAACAATATATGGTAATAAAAATTATATATCATGTGAAAAGTCTATCAACCGCAGAAAAACTGCATGACTTAAGGCAATTAATATTGTTCAGAGGAAAAAGTACTGAAGAAATGATCATGTGTAGGTATATTAGAAAATTAGGGCTAGTTTTAGAAATAAAATAAGGATTTATGTTCAACTTTACCAACAACAATATAAAATAATGTTCAAGGTCAGTTTTGGAAATGAACTTACTTTTAAATTACTTCTTTGAAAATTTAGATTCATTGTATGACAAGGATAAGCCTTCTTTATAATCTACTGAAGTAATTTCTGAAACATTTAAACTCATTTAATACTGTTGGCAACATTTTTTTTTATATTAAAATTTTTATAGACACGTTCGAGGAAGAGTCCTTTGCGCCGTAGCCAACTGTACTGTTGCAATATTCCGTCGAGACAGTGATGGACAATGGGACCTGAGTAAGTATCATGTAGTCGACCTCGGTCCGCCCGTTCAATCAATACGATGCCTTATCGCTGTTCACAATAAGGTTTGGTGTGGATATAAAAACAGGATACATGTTCTAGACCCTGCATCGATGGCTGTACAAGTTTGTGTTTTTATTATAATATTTGATTTGTTTTTTTTTTCTTCTAAATATAAACATTGATATCGAAACAAAATAATCTTATTGCAGAAATCGTTAGACGTCCACCCTCGTAAAGAAAGCCATGTAAGGCAGATGGCTTGGATAGGAGACGGTGTCTGGGTCTCGATTCGCTTAGATTCGACTCTTAGGCTTTACCACGCGCACACTTATCAACATCTTCAGGATGTGGACATTGAACCATATGTCAGTAAAATGTTAGGTATGTATGGATTTTGGTTTTTGGAACAATAAGCTGTTAACGCTATCTTGTTAAGTCAAAATGAATCAGTATTTTTACTATTTAATTTGTCAGTGAAATTGTAAACATTATTAATTTATTCAATCTATGTTGAAGATTAAGGCTTCTGATCTTGTGAATTATCTTATATTAGTTCAGGGAGGTAATATAGTATATATTATTAAAATTAAGGGATAATAATTCAAAGAATTTATTACTTTGAATGGTTTGTTAGCTGGAAAGAATTATATATAAATAATTTTTTTTTTTTTTGTTAACGATATATAGTCTGGATAATGAATTTCTCAAATATTAACATTTAAATTATTTTAAAGAGCTCTGAAAATATGCAGAAAAACAAAGGTGCACATATAAATAAACTAGAAAACAGCAAAACAAAACTGTATAGGATATGATTTAACTATTTTAACTATTGTAACATTTCACTTTTCATCTGTTTTTATTAACTTTTTTTTTCTTATTCATTTTAAAAAATTTCAAAATGTAAAATTTCAAATATATAAGGGTAAGTAACATACAAAAGGGAAATATAAGAAATCTATATATTCATTGCATGTACATAAATGATACTAACATGGCATTTCAACATAATCCCTTCTTGGAAGAAGGTTGCTTGGTTGTTGTATAGTAAAGGCGTAAAACCTGTTGGTCATCAACGCCGTTAATTAAAATTATATATTATTATATCTTCTGGTTGTGAATATTAAGAATTGGATAAAATTAAAAAGATGTAAAATGCACATTAAATAAATAAAGTTTAGTTATTTAAAGTTAGCAAGTTAGGTTAACAAGAAGAAAAAAAAAGGTGGGGAGTGCTGTGTGAGAGGTTCAGTGATTTTTTAAGATTCCTTCTTCAAAGAGAAAACATATGATTTTGCCTAGGATTTTTTCATCATTTCCCAAAGCAGCCGGTGTATTTGCTGGTATTCCTCTTATATTTAATTCTCTGATGTAAAAGGCACAACTCTCGAAGATATGGATTACTGTCATTCTCTCTTCACACTTCCTGGAAGAAGGTTTTGGCATGCTTTTCAGAAAATCTTTCACTGCTTCAATGATCCTCTTTATCAAATCAATAATAATTCTCTCGTAACTTCTCTTTTATGGGCCAGCAAGATGACCCAAGTCTGGATTAAATGGTGGTTGGTTCAGCTGTTGAAAACCACAATTTTGAAGGCACAGGATTGTGTTTTTGGCCATATAAGGACTATGAAGCAAAATCATCCCTTTTGAAAATTTACCATATCTTATGAATTTGATTTTGTACTTCAATAAACACAGTAGCTGTCACTATTTATTATTTGACATTTAGATTTGAAATCTACCAAAATTTAACCTTCCATATCCTAGAATATTATCATCATAACCTTTCTTGCAGACATCTGATTTCATCACAAAGAAATTTTATCACCTTAAAAGCGATCAATCCATTCTTAGATATTATTTCCACCCAAACAACTCTGTTTTTCTGCTGGATTTGATGATTAATCTCTGCTGATTTCACACCTTCTAAATTAAGGAAACGTATTACAATCAGACAAAGGAGAACTCATTTGTAACAAACTTTTAAACATAATCATAAGTAGCCAACAATGAAACAATACCTTAAATGAACAGCTGATCGACGTGATGAGTTACAGAAGAACAATCAGTGCTGCCATACACGTGATCCAGAGGGAAATCAAATTTTCCCTTTACTTTTTGACTTTCTCTTGTAACTCCAAAATATAAATGATTAGAATTTTCATGTAAATTTAATCTAATTTTGGTATCAGTTCCTTCAATGTAGTTTGAGGACTCTGTTGCTTACTACGATAAATATATTATTTAACTAAAAGATTATTTTTGTTTAGCATTGATTTCGCCAAGCCATTCAGTATCTACATTGTTATAGTAACTGCAATAGTAGCCTTGTTTTGTTGTAAATGTATGACATAAAAGTTTAATTTGATAATAGTATGATAAACATTATAATATTAAGTTTTTCATTTCCAAAGAAAATTCCTTATCAATTTCCTAAAGCAATTGATAATTAAATGAAATTAAAAAAAAAAAAAATTAGAAATGTTTCAATTACTGAACTGCATGGGAACTTTTATGATTTGTAAATATTAATGTTTTGTGCATAAGTTAAGAAAGCTTTGCCGATTATGTAGTAAGGTTCGTAAAGCTTTATGTTTGCAATCGTTGCCGCATAAAGTTCTATACATATACTTAAATGTATTAATTGCATGTTTTGGGGAATTAATTTAATAGACATAATTAAAGAATTAAGTGGTTTCTACATTTCTACCGAGTAGATCCTAAAGTCGATTGATTGACAGCTGATAAAACAAAATAAATTTCTGCCACAATCAAGCTGAAATCTTAATCTAGGAATTAAAACCTTAACTATTGATCCACTTCACTCCTTTTTTGTTAAGCTAAGGTTTTTGTATAATAATGCTTACCTAGAAATGATTTACAGAAACTTTGATTTTTTTTTAAGAAACATTTATTTTTCTATGATTTTATTTTAACTTTTTCATTCAAATCTAAAATATTAAAAAAAAAATTAACCTGTGACATCAAAAATTCTTAATAGGTGATGCCTATGTTTTAATGAAGAGATCAACTACTAATGATGCTCTTTTACTTATTAACTAATTTATGGATTTGTATTTGTCTATGTAATTTTTCGTTTATTATTTTCAATAATCAACCATTGTGATCGACCAAAAAACTTAACCCCCTCTCAAAATTTGAGGTTTCACGTTTCAGGATGCGTAGAATCCGAAAAACGATTAAAAATATTTTTGTCCGTCCGCCGTCCGCGCATTTTCTCCGAAACTACTAGACCGATTTTTTTTCAAATTTGGATATAAAATCAGAGGTCACCCGAGGATGATCCTCCTTCTTCGACATTACTATCCGCCTTTTACTTTTAAAATGGCGGCCAAAAAACCTTATTTGCTATAGACTGTAGCTCCTAAACGAATGTACGGATTTCAATGAAACTTCGCTAAAGTCATTTTCTTGACACCCTTTAAATTTATCTATACAACGTACTTCAACGAAAAGAACCTGGAAAAAAAGTTAAGAGGGATGCTAAAATTTAATTCCGAATAACTCAAAAACTATACACTTTTTTGTCGATATTGTGATAAGATGTTTCAAAAATATCTAAATGTCCTACAAAATGAAGGAAATTTCATCGAAATCAAAGCACTATTAGTAGAGATATAGCGATTTTTAAATATTTTTTGTTTATTATTTTCAATAATCAACCGTTGTGATCGACTAAAAATTCAAAAACTTAGCCCCCTCTCGAAATTTGAGGTTTCATGTTTTTTCTTCTTTTACTAACAAGTTTATTAATATTTTCAGCTAAATAGAGAAATAATGCAGTACTAAATTGTTGAAAAATTTTCTTCGGGTCTATATCATTTTCTCCTCTCACCAACGGGTTTTTAAAATTTATTTTTTAAGTTTATTTGTTTCTTAGTTTTGGTACATACCTAGGTAAATATACCTGGGACTGAAAAAACAAAACAAATCTTGTTTATTTCACAAGTATGGAACTCGTTATTTAATGTTATCAACTATATTTTTCTGGCCTTTCCTATTGGAACTTGTCCTGTAAATCCTGTCTTTTAATTTTCTCTCATCCATTGTCAACTACTTTTTCCCATCTAGTGTTCAAATTTTTAATACAGAATCGATAAAAATCAATTGGTTTTTGAGAAAAATATATAGAGATAGCATTCAGGATATCATTGAAATTTGCAAATATTTTGCCACTTAAAAAATGTTAAAACAATCTGATTGATGAGGCAGTACCTCTCACCCCAATTCATTAATTTTTTCCAGGATTCATCTTACACAATATGATCTTGCATTTTCGTGTTTCAAAATAACGCCTTTTCTGTTGTCAATTGGTGGCCACTTTTCAATTAAAGATTGCTTTACATGATCAAATTAGAATATTGTACCATAGAAGAAGAGTCAGTTATCGAGACACTGCCGCACATTGGTTCAGGTGCTTCAATAATGGGAATATTAGCTTTGCAGATGAACCCAGATCTCTTATTGTCCGTTGATGATGATATTCTTGAATGTTTGAACTAGGACCCACTTACAACTGCTCGTGATTTATCGTCTTCTAATGCCACAATGGCTCATCATCGGGCTAGACAGAGTTTATGCGTTTTTGAGCATAAATTACACCGCTTTGGTCAACAGAAACCAAGCCATTTTGCAATATGACAATACTCCTACACTTCGTTTTCGTTTTACCGAAGAAAACTTGTTGGAACTGCAAGCAGTAAATATTTACCTCACCCTGTGTCTAGCCCAGATATTACGTCTTCAGATTATGGTTTGTTTAGATCAATGGCTCATTATATAAAAAAAAAACGAGGTCTTTGATAATTATGAGGATGTAGAAATTGGATGTCTGGACTCGTGTCTTTGTTTCTAAACCTTGCCAAGAGATGGCAGCAGTGCTGTTTGCTTTTCCACTGAATTCAAATTAAATAAAATGGGAATTTGGCTATGTTGGCCTTAACCAGAGTGTTACTGGCATCAAATCTAATTACTGGCAGAAAGATGGGTAAAAGTAATAGAAAACAACTTTTCTTTTAAGAGAGGTATTCAGTAATGTTTAAAATATATAATATGAAATAAAGATATACTTATTGACAAGGACATTTGTAAGAAGAACGAGGTCCTAGTTGGTCAGAAACGTCCCAATTTCATCTCAAACTTTAACTTACCTTATGTAGTAGTTCTCTAATTGAGGATGCAAATATCTTACTAATGTGTTTGATTCAGACTCAAAGGTTATTTATCTAGTAGACAAGGTTAAATAAGGGTTAGATGCTTAATGGATATCTTGTATATCATACGTAGTGCTTTAGGAAGTCAGTACATGTGCTTAACTATTTACTGGACTATTAAAGATGTTTGTGTATGTTTTAATTAATACACGTAATATATTGTTTAGAAAGGTTGGTTAGCTTTATAATGTTTTTTATTTAAACTATTTTTTTGTTATTAAGTTATTTGTAAATTATTCTGTATATCTTACATAGCATTTAGTGTGCCTTTTTTTTTTTTTTTTTTTAATAGTTTAATCTAAATGTAGCTGTTGTACTAATGAAAAATGTTATATAAATTGAGGTGGTTATTAAGTTCACTTGATTTTACTCACTTTTGATTCTGTTTTCTTTATCAGTCATAATAAATCATGGACTCTCCATTGACGAGTGAATCATATGTAAAATTTAGTTTTTATTCTGTTAACACGTATTTTCATTTATGTCCTTGCCATGTATATCATAATCTTATGTCTCAGCTCATATTGTTTTTAATTGATTTTGTTTATCTAGATATTTTTATTCATATCATTATTTTTATTTAATTTTTTTTATTTTATGCAATGGATAAAAGACCCATGTAAAAGCAATTCATATTTTAATAGGATGGTTTAGAAAAGTGAAAGTGTTTTTTTTTTTCTTTTCTAATAATAAAACCTATCTCTTATAACACCTAGCTGCTAATTTTTTTTTCTCAAAAAAATTGAGGTATTCAATTTTCTGTGAACGAACTTGAGCGCTTGACACAATACTGTTTTAATTAAAATTAAAGAATATATTAATGGCAATTAGCGTATTTTCCTTCATCTCATTTCATGGAAATCCTCACATCCTTTATTTTTATTTGTTTGCTCTCTTGCTGTGGATGTGCTTCGCTTGCCCACGTAGCAGTCTTACCCTCAGGTATTCAAAAATAGTCATTTCATTCATTGTTACTTTATTTGTTTTGTTTTGTTATTATCCCATCATCATGTTTGCATTTTTGTTTTTGTTTTTTTTTAAAAAAAGACTGTTGTGCGTGTCCAACTTGGAGCATGAGGTAAACATTTCGATGCCACCTGGCTGGTGGTATTACGTGTGCTTTGTGCTTTTTGTTTACTGGATTATTGTTGGTAGTTACATAGTGTTTGCGTGTATACTTGTGTATGTATTTGTTTAAACATTATTGTTAATGTTACTAGTATCATTGTTAGCGTAGATATCATTATCTCTTATATTATGATAAAAAAATTTATATTTCAGGTACTGGAAAGTTGGGATTTTCCTTTGTTCGAATAACAGCGCTGTTGATATCCTGTTCACGTTTATGGATTGGTACAGGAAATGGAGTTATCATATCCGTCCCTCTCTCGGAAGGTATTCTTTTTATATAAGTTTTTTTTATATAAATACTGTTTATACCTCTTTAACGCTAGTTATCACTGAAGTACTTATGTAACGTTGGCCTTATAAATGTATTGTTTTTGACAGGAACTAACAGTCGCACCGGAGGAGTGAAAGTGTACGCAGATCCTGAGTCATCCCACCTGACTCCTGCCACATTTATTCCTTACTGTTCTATGCAGCATGCACAGTTGTCATTCCACGGCCACAAAGACACTGTCAAATTCTTCGTGGCTGTGCCAGGTAACTAAGAATCAATTTTTTTTTTTTTAATCGTATAGATAGATAGATAGAAAGTAAACTTTATTCTGGGACAAGGTCCCTTATGAATAACAGATATGAACAAAAATAATAAAAACTACATCTGGCCAAAAATTACATTAGTCAATATTGAAGAATATATATAGTATCTTCAGTGAAATTATATTAAAACAAGTAAAAATAACACCATTTTGAGAAAAAACGAAATAAAAAAAAAATATTAATTAAATGAAAAGAAAACAAAATAAAATAAGCATGGGTTGATTTTTAAAATTAAAACTCGATCAATTTTAACAACCATTCACCTCAGTCAAAATCTGTTTCACAATATTTATTTTATTGTATAACATCATTTTGGGATGTGAGAAGGAATTGGTAGAGATGATATTTAAATGAGGACAAGGAAGAGGCATGGCGGATATCAGATGGCAAGGAATTCTAGAAGACTGTGGATCGGGCAATAAAGGAATATTCAGAATATATGATGTATTGGCTCTTTTTCTAATTTAGAAAACCTAGTTACTGGGATTCTGTTTTAAAGAGAGTTAATGATTAATATTGTCAATACATATCATTAGATAAAATTGTATTAAGTGGAAACTATTATAATTTTTCATAATATATTTACATACGGTACAATAAGCATATTTGCAATTAATATTTCATGATTTGAAGGTGAGGAGGTTAAGATTGGCAGGTATTGAGCTCATCAGGAAGCCTCGACACGATAATGAATACCTCAATAGTAGGCAAGAGACCCCGTGAAAGGCCAAAAAGCATATGGATTTATCAAATCAACAAATATGCATTAGAGCTGCACGGAGATAACTGGAAAGAAATAGCCCAAGATAGGCAGAGATAGAGAAGGCCTGTTAAGGCGGCAAAAGATTCACAAGATCTGTAATACAAACAGGAAAAATAATAACAAATAGGTTAACTAAGTTTTTGTTCTCCAACGACTTCCACTGCATTTTTCTGTCTTTTTAATTTTTTTATAAAGATTTCATCATTGATTCTGGTTACAAAAACTATACAAGCATATTTGATTTAACTGATGGCGCTAAAAATATTCCAGTTAAAGAGCTTTTAAGCTTGAAATAATTTTCTATCCAGGTTTGACTCTTTTTTTCCTTACACCGATTCTTAAAAATTCGCATTCATATAAATTCGAACTTATATAGGAATATATGTTTCAAAAGCAGTAGATTAAAAGTAATATTATGAAAAATAGGGGCTTATCAAATATTGCTAACTTTATTGAAAGAAGTTAGTCGTCGTCTGTTCTATATATCATGATAAATATTCAGGTCGCAGTCTTTTTTTTTTAATTTTTTATTTATGCCAACATTTCAAACAGTACTTGAACATACTCAGTGCTCAAAGCATATGTTTGGGTTGAAACGTTGGCATAATTAAAAAATTAAAAACAAGACTGCGTCCTGAATATTTATCACCCATTGCTAACTTTAATTTCAGCGTTTTAAAATTCTTAATCCTTATTTATGAGACATTTAATTCCTTACATTTTTTTTTCAGTAATGTCTAGAATTTTTTTTTATTTTTTTATTTATTAGTAGTATTACAGACCAGATCATTTACCGCCTTAACAAGCCTGCTCCATCTCTGCCTGTCTTGGGCTATTTCTTTCCATTTATCTGCACGCAACTCTGTTGCATCTTTGTTGATTCTATCTATTCATCTGCTTTTTGGCCTTTTGCCTTCTATTAAGCCATTCATTGTTACGTAGAGGCTTCCAGATGGATTGCTACAAGCTACATGCCTTCTTCTTCATGTCATGGGATATTGATTGACCAGTTTCTGTAAACAGTTATTTATTGGTCTTTCTTCTCCACGTGTTAGTACTTTGATCTCAGATCGCTCTGGTTATCGTGGGGAGGATTTCCCTCTTAAATCTTTCAACACATTTTTCTTTCTTTTTATATTTAGTCTCAACTATAAACTATTCGCAATTGAAGGCATAACTATTAATGGTAAATATTGGTGTTAATATAGGCAGTGGTGGTATGTCGGCAGCTACTACCGTCAACTCAAATATTCCTGTGATAAACAACAATAATGAGCCAGAAAAGCCGACATCGATGCTGGTCTTATCTGGTGGTGAAGGGTATATAGACTTCAGAGTTGGTGAGTTTTTCTTGAATAATATTGTGTTTGTATTTTCCGTGTTATGTTTTTGGTAATGTCACTGTGCAAGTTTGAGCTTTTCTCATTTTGTGTGGGGACACCACTGTTTTGGTTTATTTCAATTTTAATTTAAATGTTTTCAGCCTTCATAGTGGTTTGGTTAATTTACAAAAATGTTCTAGATTCTCTGCATGAAATTTATATAAATTTCATTTGATCCGGTAAAAAGAAATTCATATTTAGACATTTTTAAGAAATTATTAAGACTTGGAATACTGCATGGACCCAAAAGCTTTTTTTATTTTTATAGTCACCCATTATACTAAAAAAAAAATTATATTTTTTCTTAATTTTATTATATTCAAGTATTTTATTTTCCTAATAAAATCACCTTAGATGATTCAAAATTTAATCCAAAAAAAAATTATTAAGGTCATTAATATTTTTAATATTGAAATAAATTTTTTGATAATACTTCATGATACTCTTGTTCCACAACACCAATAATGGCTAAGATTTATTTATGAGATTACTGGTGTCGATTTATATTGATAATAGCACCTGCCTATTACCTTTTAATTATAGTGTTCGTAGAAACGTGAAAACGTTTGATACTTCATTCATCAAACTCCATCTCTCCTGAGAAGCGGAAAAGTTATCTATATTGCATTATTATACAGGATGTCTCAGTTTTTAATAGCTAAACTCTGGGGGGCGATTCTAGCCAAAATTTACAAAAAAAAAGTTCATTTGATGCATGGACCGATTCCAAACGAAAAAGAAGTTAAGACCAATTTTGTATCTTCCTTAAGGTGGTCATATTTTTTATTGAATAAGAAGAAATTGCTCAGAAACTATTCAAGACAATTAAAGCACGCCATCGTAAAGTAGACAAAATTTTCTTTAAGAAATCAATGATTAAATTTACTCAGGTCAATGATAAAAGGGACTTTCTCTTATACAAATGCTGTACTGCTGCAATTACAAAATCCATGAGTATCGTATTTCTGTGATGACCTTAGTAAATTTAAAAACTTTTGTAAAAAAAAATTTGTCTACTTTACGATAGTGTACTTAGTATACTTTTATGATATTCAAATTCAAATCTCGCCGAATATTACTTTTGGCCGTTTTTGAAATTCATTTCTAAAAAAAGACAAGGTTTTCGAGATTTAAATTTCATCAACAAATAGTACATTGATAGGACTACATATGGGAAAAAAAAAAATTAAAGTTGAGACTCTTTTCATTATTACAATATTGCTGCTCTAAATGTCTCATTTTATGTTAATTTTAATTTTATATTTTTCAACTTTTTTAGCAACTTTCCTCATCACTTATGGAATATATTGTGAGGACAAAAAATTTAGAGTAAAACATCATAATAATTTTAGATTTTGATATCTGCAAAAATGCCGCAGTTAGAGTAGGTAGGATACGATGATGACCGACACACTAGGCAGCCATATTTGTTGCTCTATGACTAATAGAACCAGTTGAGTCTCAATAATCTAATTTGTATCGAACATTCCTATAATTAAGAGACATAAACTGTATCAATTTCATAATTTTTCACTCAGTACCTTTTGTGATATTCAAATTAAAATTTTGCTAAAAACCACTTTTGAGCGTTTTTGAAAATTCATATTTACTAAAGGACAAGATTTTCAAGATTGAAATTTCATCAGGAAGAAGTACAGTGGTAGGACTACGTATGAAGAAAAAAGTAGAGTTGAGACTGTTCTTTATTACACTTTTTGTCTATTTTCATGGAATGTAGAATAAATAATCTAAATTAGTTACGTTTTTATTTTGGCTTGGTATCTACTTAATAACCACAGTTACAGGTATTTTCCCAAAACATGTTTTGAGTCAAAAAGAAAATTAAAAGTGGCCGCTGAGAAAAAACTGTGATCCTCAAATTTTTGTTAAATATGGTTTGTAAATAACTTGTAAAAAAAAAAATTATAAAAATTAAAATGTCGAACAACAAAATTAATTCAAATTGGGTGATTTCAAATGGATTGACCCTTTAATAAATTCATATACTGCATACTTAAAGAAAATTTTGTCTACTTTACGATACATAGAATTTAATTATCTTAAATAGTTTTTGAACAATTTCTTCATCTTCCAATAAAAAACGTGACTATCTTTAGGAAGACACATAATTGGTCTCAACTTCTTTTCTGTTTGGAGTTGTCCCATGCATCGAATGAACTTTTTTGTTGAAAATTTTGTCTAGAATCGCCCCCCAGAGATTGGCCATTAAGAACCGAGACACTCTGTTTACAGTGTGGATTGTATCCTTAGTTCTTTTTGACTAAAAAAAAATAGAGTAATATTTTTATCTATAATCATATCTAGTACTCTTATCGATTAGCAAGGTCATGTTCTGATGTGTTGTGGTTCAAGAATCAGTATTATTAAGTATTACTTTCTGTCATTTGATAACATTGTTACATTTATCTATATATATGTTTAGGAAAAATGTAACTTGAAGGTTTTAATGTTATTTCATAAACTGAGAAGTCTTAACAAGTATCGTATTAAGTAACTGAGTAAATTTTTTAAATATTAAGTTTTTAATTTGAGTTAGATTGTAATATTTTAAACAAGTCCTGTTGATTGTGAACATTAAAAAAAAATACACATGTGTCATCCGTTTTTATGGTGCTTAGTAAATTGTTACCATTAAACATAAAAATCCGTTGTAATTTTACCTAATTTGTGCTAGATGTTTTTAGTTACTAATTTGTTAAATGTAAGTGATTTTGTGTTGGTGTAGCGTGGTTTTAATATTGTTAAAAATGTTATTAAAATTAGATTAAAGTATCATTTAATAGACCTTGTGAATGTCCTCCCCCTTGGTTGTTAGAAGCTGGAGGATTAACTTCAAAGTACTTAAATAACACATGTAGTGTGGATTAGTACTTATGCTGGTTACTATGTGGAGATTATAAAATGGCTAATTTTGGATGGTAAGATTGTTCTAAATCTGATCTTAACAAGTGATTGTGCGTGTACTGTAATGGAAGGAAATAAAGGAACCTATGTGAATGATATCTATTAGACTTCAGTTTATTTGGTATATGGCACTCTTAAAAATTTATTATCATAGAACAAGATGGCTACTAGCTCAAATGATCATACTGTAGGTGGAATTTCAAACCTTTATGGGTGTAGCAAATCCAATAGCACAATCTTCACACTTTCCTATTAAATTAACACGTTAGCTGCTGAGCATGATATCTCTTAAATGTCTTTCCCAACGATATCGGTCTCCAGTGACCAACACTAGTTATGAAGTTCCTAACGTCATCAGACGCCGTAGACATGCATCAGCTTCGAGGTATATCACTATTTTTTGACAACAAAGGCGAAATAAATTCCCTATTCAGAGTCTCTATCTGTTGATTATCTCCTCATTAACGGCCAGCAATCGTAGGAGTGGACTCCGACGTCCGATGCCGTTTTTATCAGGAGTTTTTTATTATTTCTCTTTATTTCAGTAAATAAGTGTTATTTTTAGGAATATAAATCTTAAATATTGAAAATGAAATGAGAAAAAGTTTATTTATCACATATAAATATAATTTATACATTATTTATATGTATGTTATTTATTATTTATACCACCGTGATACCGTTTATATCACGAGTTTTTTACTAGTTCTCTTTATTTCAGTAAATATGTTTTATTTTTAGGAATATAAATCTTAAATATTGAAAATGAAATGAGAAAAAATTTATTTATCACATATAATTATAATTTTCAAAATATAATTTATACATTATTTATATGTATGTTATTTATTATTTATACATGTTAAATAAGCAAGGGGAACAGTCTAAGATGAACTCTCTAGAGTTACTGCACGACAGAAGCACAAAGAAGACAAGACTATGCACGTGCGCTGTCTTGCCAAGGCAGGAATATGTATCAGACGCTGGGGTGGGGGTGATACCATAGGAAAATCATTTTTTATTTGATGTAATGATTATTTACGTTCATATCTTTACATCTATCCAACTCCCATTCAAATATTTTTAAAAATTATCATTTTAGAGACTTCGTAAGATAGACTAAATTCGAAACAATGCCGGCTGTTTGGTAGTTGAGACAAATATCGGACCCAGGGACCGTAACCGCAGCTAACCTGTTAAACCAATACAACCATAACATTTAAATTATGTTAAATGCCATATATCAAAATCAATTCAATTTTTAAGGTTTCTACCATCGATAAAAATCACTTTAGATATGTTTTAATGCCTGTCCTCAACTAAAAAATGACCTGTTGTAAGTTTTACATACCTCTTACGTGAGTCTTGATCTAATTAAACAGTAATGACTTTAATAATCCATATTATCTTGTAAACGCCGATTTGGGTGAACTTTATCCAGTTAATATAACTGAAGTGATTACATCGCTGCGAATCAAATAGACTTGTAAATGTTGGGCTTAGTAATGAAAGAATCCCTAAAAGGTTGGTATTTGCTGTACTGAATGGTAAGCGTCCGAGGTGTAGACCGAAGCAAAGGTGGGAAGATTGTGTTTAAGCCTATCTGAAGGGACTAGGTTTGGACAGTGAACGGTGGAGGGAGTATGTAATAAGCGATTGGTGGTGTCGGGATTGAGCCTTCAGGTTCGCTAAGGCTTTTATTATTATTATATTATCTTCTAATATTTAGAATATAGTGGCAGTGGACCATATTCAATTACAATTAATTTTTTTTATTTGTTGGTCCAAGACTTCCACTGAAGTTCTATACTGCTACTATTGTTATATTATAAAAGAATGAAGATAAGGATATAAATTATTATTATTTTTTTTTTAAATTCCTATCTAAATTTGCATAGCGATTGAATATTGAATATTTGCTACATTTTAGTATAAAATGCAATGGGTTCTCGATGGAGTTGCATGTCGAACATTTATCATTTTTATTGACCCTAACTAGTGTCAAGTCGTGATTGGTACAACCATGGTTAATTGTTAATCTTGTAAGTATGACTATTTCTTATCTGTTTAACTTAACACAAATGTTGGAGAACCATGGGCATAGAGAGACATTAAGTCGGATAGCGTAATGATCTTTTGAACCTGACTCCCAGGCATATCTACACTGCCATTCGCTAATGAAGTCTTTTTTTAACCCATCTGCAAATTTCCTGTAAAGATAGTTACTGATTTTTTTATCACCATTTTGCTGTTGTATCAACTCGTTCATTCCCATCCATACTGACATGACCTGGAATCCATTGAACCTTAAACTTGTTATTTGTAGAACGATGAACTTCTTCTATTATGTTATTTATTAGGTAAGATCAAATATTTTGTCGATGTATGTTTTTGAGTGAATTGCATACATCATTTTAATTTTTTAAAACCTGAATTCCCTCAAAAATATTTTCCTTAACACTCTGCTTCACTCGGAACCTTTCATAATTCCATCTATAGTATGATCATTTGAGCTTTTAACTAAACAGTTGCCATATCTTGTAGGTCATGTTTTATACTAGTATTGAAATATTGTTGATGCAATATTTTACTTTTTTTTAGAGACTTCATGAAATATACTGTTCCATAACTACTATAAAACTGAATGATTTAATTTATCTTGATCTAGAATAGTAGCTTTACTTATGTAATAATTAAAGAGAAGGGCCTTGTGAATTCTTATCTTAGTAATTTTTTTAGGAATAATTTTTAAATAAATTAAAATTAAGAAATTAATTTGTGCCTCCGTAAGTATAGTTAATTTATTAAAATAGGAGGTTACAATGTTTTTGTTTAAAGAAACAGCGCAGTTGGAGTAACTCTTTAAATGTTCCATCTAAGATTAACGGTAATAAGGTCATTTTGATTTTAAACCAGTAATATTACATTTATTTTTCCTATGTACTATACCTTTTGTTTGTTGATGTGCATTCTTTCTTATCTAATAAAAAGAAAAATTTGGTTTAATATAAGACGAACAACAGTCCAACGAAAGAGCATATAACAAAAACTGTTTCTCAACCTTATTGAGTATTATTTTTCTGTTTCCTTTTACTGAATACCAGCATCCTGTGTAGTTGAAAGAATAATTTAATTAACAAGTAAAAGTTAATCGATATATTGAAAAGTTAATTATGTATTAGATAGTTGTGGTGTTATTAATTAGTTTTGGGTCGGGTATGCTGGAGCTAGAGTGAGCTAAGTGGTGTCTTTTACAGTTGAGGACCATGAAGATTCGCTGGATGAGGCTTCACACTTGATCGTTTGGCAACTTTGCCCACCGGTATGTCCTGAGCCTTTACATTGTCCGCTATTTCTTCCTTCTGTGTAGGTTTGACATGGTTCAGTCTCGTGCTAGTATTAATCAAGATGGCATTTATGAAATGTTATTTTCAAGATTAGATAAATAACCTAACCTGTAAATAATAATTTGTGTGTGTGCATATTTTGCTTGCTTTTTTTTTTTTTTTTTAATTTGTATTGTTCTTGTGTTGTGTTTTTTAATGTTATTTATATTAATTTAGACCTATTTAACGTTGAATAAAATCTAAGAAATGATAGTTTAGGTGCAGACAGAAATAAAATGATTGAGTTTATTTAAGATAATGGAATCAGGAACTTATATAGAAATACTTGGATTAAATTTATAAAGATATATAAGTTGTATAGAATTAGGTTTAAGGTTTAAATCACTAATAAATAAATTTGACTTATGATGGTAAGAAGAAAGATGAAAAGGGAACTTTTCTTTTCTTACATTATTTATTGACCACGTCCACTGCATTTTATGTATTTGTGTGCATTTTATGAATTAGGTTAGGAAGAGAGAGGAGAGAATCTAGGGAATGAGAAAAATGTATAAGGGGAGAGAAGGAAGAGAAAGGGATATATAATGCTAATAAATGAATGAAAGAAATAGTAAAAATAAAAAAAAGTATATATAAAAATAGAAAAAAAAAATTATATATAAAAAAAAATTGTATACTATGCTCATTCATATCATTAATAGTATATAATTGTATATTTGTTTTGGAAAATTGTCTGTAGCGATTAATAAGTATGCTGTGTTTAAAGCAACCCAATGTAATTGGGCAGCACCCTTTTATTATCATAAAGTGATTCTCTCTCTCTTATCAACAGTGTTTTGCTCAATGGACGTAATACTCAAAAAATCGATTATTTTTCTTTTTACTGTTTGTTTCAACTTCATCTATTCTATAAGTTGCCCATAAGTTTTCTCAAACTTAACATTAAAATTAGTTCTTGAAAATCCCACAGAAACAGTTTAAAATCTTTTTTTTCTTTCATGGACTCAGCATGAGAGCTTTGTCCATTGTCAAAACATAATAACTATAATTGGAGACAGGATGGCCGAGTATAGCTAACGCATATACCAAACACACGTTACCAGGCAACCTGATAAACTGTGAAAAATTACATGTTAAAATAATTATAAGTCTGCTTTTTAGTGCCAAGGAGGGGCTTTTAACTTTGGCATTCATCCTCTGCTCTCTTCCTTGGCCTGGAAAAAACTTTAAATAGCCAAAAATGTGAGGAAGGAGAGGAAAAAAAAAAAAATAATAATAATGTGAAAGAGAAAACTGACATAGAGATGTGGGTAAACTTTTCTGGGAGTAATTAGGTTTTTTAGGTGAAGCATTTTATTTTGTGTGTGTGTGCCCATCTCTTCTTCGCCTGTTAGAGGATTTTCACAGGTCAGGGAAGAGTGCGGAGGATTAATTTCAGAGTTTAAAAGTCCCCACTGGCACCAGGACGTGGATTATTTTGTATCTCATAACTTTGTTTAATCATGTGGTTGTTTGCCGGGCAACACGTTAGACCACTCGGCCACCCCGCCTCTAGGAGAAGAAGAAGTAGAGAGCAGAATAGGCAAGAATCGAGTGAACTGTTGACTCAAAGCGCCAGGTTTTCTTGGCAGGATCAAATGATATTCCCTATCATCAGTTCTAAGAAATTAGATAATGGATGTGTAGGTTCCATATAAGTATATGGTATGAATGGGAAATGTTATATAAACAATACTGAATAGAATTATTTGTTCAGGAATTGGCCAAAATATATAACAATGCTCACACCATACCTTGATAAACAATTCATAAAATCACCAGTAGGACTGCAAAACTTTGTGTGGCCATTTTATGCTGAACTAGATAAGGAAGGGAACAAACTTTATTTTTATGTTGTAATATTTTCTCTACAATGTTATTTACAATTAAGACCTGCATTGAGATGAATAAATAAAATAGGTGAGAATACACACCAGTCTCTGCTTACCATCTCAACATTACTAGCATTGTTTATGTGTGCATTTTTGAATTAGCATAATTGATGATGATGATGATGATGATGGTGAATAATTCAGCGACTAGCCTTAGACTGACTATGTCAACCTACTTCTGTCAGAGGTTGTGGTATACTAACATCATATGGGCACGCTTATGCTTATAATAATTCACCATTGATTGTGCATCTTCACCGACTACTAACAATAATAACAATATTATTTCTTGTTTATTAACCAATATTGCTTTGGTATGTGGATTAATTATTGTTTCATTATATACTATGTATACTTTGTGTATTTTTTTGTATGTTTTAAATTAATCTGGTCTAATCTTCTGTGTACACTATTATTGTTGTCGTATAATAATTAGATCCTCCCATTAATTTCCTTGATCTCGTGTAAAAAGTTTTGATATTCTTTACTTATTTAGAATTTAATTGATGATATCTGTATCTCCTCTGAATAAGAAGTTGACTCACATGAAATAAAAAATAAGTTGGATCCGCTATGAGAGTGTTAATGTTGACTTTTACATTGTGTATAAACATAAAGATCATTGTATGAAAGTTCGTTAGGATGCAGTAAATGTTTTAATGCTAACACTTCAAGCCAAGCTTGTAGGGGTCATCATACTGAGTAGAGAACTTGAACACTTTCAGTGCTGGGAACATGCCCTAATGATGATTCACAAGCTTGAATTAAAGCATTAGCATTAAAAAAAACTAAAAATTTGACTGCATCCTGATGATCTATCACCCATTACATGTAGTTGACAGACAAACTTCCATCAATAATTCATAAAATTCAATGGAGAGAAATCACAATGTATTTAGAAACTTCCTCAAAAAGCCAGATTTTAAAATGTTCTCATACTTTGAAACAGATCCTTTCAAAAAATGTAATCGCTTATTCATTTGAGGCACAGATATTTGAGGCAAGAAATTTTTTATTGGATATCATTCAGCAGTTTAAACCATGCATTAATAAGATCCCGTTAACATTCTAAATTCCATGGAATGTTATTTTAAAATTAAATATTAAAATCCATAAATAAGATTATAGTTCTTTTAGAAAAATTATCCTTTATTTTTTTTTATTAATTAATGGAATTTTGTATTTAAAAAACATATTTCAATTAAATTTTTTTAGTATACTTGGCAAAAAATTACTTCAATTTTTATCAAAATAAATTATAAAATTATCCTACTCTTTCCAAATATGAAATATAGAAACCTTTTTATATTGTTCATTAACAAATTTATTTAAAGATGAACTATTTTTGAACAAATTAAAGAAATGTTTAAATGGATTGTTTATCCCTGGAGCCAGGTATACACTATGTTCGTTAACCAATGGCACTCCAAGCATGTAACAAGTGGATACTTTTCAGCGCCCCAAACAGGTTGAGAATATTCTAGAGCGCTCTGATGGCTGTCGGTTTTTGCCCAAAGTTTGTGGACGGCATTTAGCCAAGACAAGTTGTGTAACATTGTGCAGCAAGCAATTTGCTGATTACTTGTTTCGAAATTTTAAACGAATACTGGTGATAGTTATATCATCGTAATGTTAAAGCGGGCTTATCCTGAGCCGGTATAACATTTTGGAACTTAGTGTTTGATAAAACGGTGCTACTAAGTTTAATTAATTTTCGAGATTTGAGGAAGACATTTGCAAAAAATGTCCGTATTACTTGCTTAGTTCTTGAGATATTAAGTCTAACAGTAAGTCATTTTTAGCCTTCTCTTCAAAAAATTTTACTTGTCAAAAATGTGGAGGTCTTATATACTATAATCTTCTACCTCAGACATATTGTTTAACGATCACGAAGAACACTGCTGAGTTCCAGGAGCACGGAGCGTTGTTAGTTCACGAACATAGTGGATACCTGGCTTAATATCTTGCCAGAATCATGTATTGTCTAAATTCAAGCCTTAATTATTTATAAAATATTTTAATTTAATAATTAAGAATGGAAAATCAACTGAACTTCAAGAAGTTGAAATTCTTCTGAACACATTTATGAAAACTGGACTTACTTTTTTAAAAATAATATTTGGTTTACAAGAAAGAGAGAAAACTAGAAAAAATTATATCAATAAAATGAAAAATATTAAAAGAATGGAAGTTGGTTAAGTAATGTATAAAATTCAAGGTATGAAGGACATCAACCTATTTGAAGAATTGCAGGTAACTAGCGCTCTTACTGAACAAACAAGCCATGATCATATCAGGCTGACCGAAATCGTAATACCTCATCATGGAATGGATAATTATAAATTAAATGCTGTTTCAACTTCTCGGGAAATAGTGGAGAAATCCGGAAACCCTGATAAATGTGGTAAGACAAGTAATTTTAATATTTTTTGCCATTTTCTACAGAATTAAAAAAACAAAAAATTATTGAAGGCATATGGGATATTTTATAATTATTAGAAGAAAATTATTTTCATGTGAACCCGTTATGATATTATGTCACCCTCTTTATCTTAATTTAAAAATGAAGCGTATAGGAAATTATTTAGATCATTTATCAGCTAAGAACATGGCACAAATATTCGATACTGAATCATTTGAGGATTGTCCGAGCTTAGAAGAAGTGAATCACTGGAATATATTTTTATTTCTATTATTTTTACTTGATTGAATAAAGTTTATTATTTTAATATAAATTTATTTTAGTTGTTAGCATCATATTTTCTGCCCTTTTCTTAATTTTTAATGTCTGAATGAATATATTTTTTTTTTTTTTATATATTATAAAACATACTAGTTTGTTACAGAAGTCCTTATACATAAACAAAACCCTTCATTCCAACTCTTGTAATTAATCCTATAAGAATGTTTATGTACCTACTATTTATGTCAATGCTTATTTTGACTGATCCTTTAATTCCTTGTGACTTGAGTTGACTTTATGGCATTATTTACGTTTTTAATCATTTAAAACGCACGTGCAATGTCAGAATAAAAAATTCATCATTCACTGTCTTTTGAGACATTACTGGAAAAGAAGTCTAACCTCAAAGGCAGCCACCGAAGAATTGTGTGCCATAGAAGGGGAGTCAACTATACATCGAAATACTGTCGCACCAAGACCAGTTTGGGGAAAAAGTGATGCTTTATTTGATAAAACTTC